GAAACATCAATAGCTCATCAGATACGTGATTCACTTAGACCTGAGAACAGACCACCATGCAGACATCTTTCCCCCGCGATATCACTCATCTCCCACGTGGGAGACAGGGGGGCTGTGAGATATCTCCCCTGAACATCCATCATTTCCTCGTCCAATAGGTGGTCCGAGCATACGAATAAGTTGCGACGAACGAGGTGGTCTGATCATCGGTCACGATGGGAATCATACAAGTGCATGCTTACCACATATCGTACATACAGACAAGTGAGTAAGCGAGCCTTCTTCGACACGGGAAGTCGATACAACCATGCATTGCCGAACCTACCCTTAAGCGATGCTGGGTATGTATAAAGCTGGCCCGCACATGATGGCATCTTACACTTTAACTGTCGCAAGGAGGCTTAATAATTGTTTGTGCGTGACCCTGGTACATCTGCAACCCCGTCGTCGCCCGCGATGATGTTATTGCTTACCTATAATTGTAATGATCTATAACGGTATTGATAGGTAGTTAGTAATTATCGAATTTATCCATGAAACTACTAGTCTTCTTCCAGAAATGCTCCCGCGTAGCAGATAGAAAGGCATGCGCGTCCCTCAAGCCATTATCCAGGTCTTATGGTTGCCAACTACTACTAGGCTCGAGAAAGGAAAGAAGAGGTAATCCGAGCACACCCTCTTTTCCAATGTCTCGGAGTTGGTGTACCGCGAAACCATTGATCTGCCCATGATATTACCGTATAAGGCCAGGATTGTGGGGGATATGCGAGGTATCGACTTGTCTTAGTGTGGCGTCAACTTCGCTGGGAATTCCAATTCTATCACGTCTGACAGGTACAAGGACTCGAACCACAATCGTTAGCCCTGGCCAGCACGGACCATAAGATCTCTAACTGCTAACGATATTGGCATTAAACAAAGCTCTAAAAACAAAGACCCGTTATACCTTTTTCTCGCACGAAATTACCCATTCCTAGGTAGCTTGGCTATGCGCCAACCCCTTCTGTTCTGGTCACGCGGCCACTAAAACCGACCAAGGACGGATAAGCGGGAGCTTTAGTCCATTAACTCCATCAATTCTATTAACAAGAGTCGGTCTGACAGGTACGAATTAGGTCAACGACGATCGACCCCTCCATAACTAATATGAAGTGGTGGGCAGCACTCTATTATCGCATCAAAGGGAACATAATAGTAGCAGTGGGGGTTGTTTAGCAATAGTGCAACACATACGCAGTCACACATGCGTTACGGAGTAATAATAGTTGTAGCTGCAAGATGCTAAGTGGCTGAACAAGCCACCGTCGTATTTGAAAGTTCAATAACAAATACTATCCGGGTACATGATCGGCGCGGACCCCAAGTCTCGTTATCATACGACACGGAATGTAAGGCCGATGTGGGATCGCACCATGGTCTGTGATGAGGGGAGTAAAGGAAGTAGAGGGGGAATAAGGAGCCCGAAAGGCGAAGCCTGCCGAGGGAATCCGACGCTCTGGGTTGCCAAGCGTCGTGATCTGCAATCTCGCGACACACGTGTCCCTGGCGGCACAGTCCCAATGGTATGTGACTTGGGCTGGGCTGGCTGGGCAGGCTGGACCTGAAAATGCAGCCAGATAAGCTCGATGAGGGGATATCAGCCGTGATGACGGAGAGGGTTCGATATCCTCCCTCGACCAATCCCGTGTCTCGATCTATCCCCGATCCTCCAATAACAGGCTCTCCCAAGGAACATCTCTCCCGCGCTACCCACACTTATGTGTGTCACATCAGTCAGGGCAGAGGGGCAAAGATGATGATAGTTGTAAGACTATGTAGAAGAGGGTGGGTAAAAGACGGTACGGCACGGCACCGTTGAGACTGATGTGGTGATACCTCCACTTTCCCTCCACTTTCTTCCTCTCTTCCCTTACCTACTCATATCCATACACGCGGAGTATATCCTTCTGGGGATTGAGCAACTTAGCTAGTGAAACACCGACGGAGCCGAAGTTCCCTTAGATAAATTTCTCTATCGTCAGCTGACGAACACCACCTCGTAGCATCGGTGTTATTAGACCCTGTCCTGCTAATGCAAACCCTGGCTGCAATATCCGATAGCTGGGTCATAATAAATGAGAAAAATATGTCGTCAGAAAAGAAAAGAAAAAAGATAAAAAATCCCCGTAATTCCCGAGGAATCCCTAACTCAGCGGACTTGATCCTAGTAACAACTGGGCGAGAAAGGAAAAAGAAAATAATTATGTACTGTACTTACAGATATCTTACGTAGCAGTGCAGACAGGCTGAGTAGAACCCAGGGGGTTTGCCGCACACAAACGAAGAAGGCTGACGAATCAGTTGCTTTAACCTATTTGAATGTACCTACCGACATACATACAAACACACTGGTGCTAATCCAGCCCAACTCAACCCGTAAGCATCTAAACGCCACGCCCAGACTACCTAACCTAACCTTGCTTACAACATTGCAAGTGGAATGCGCATAAACAATATGGCTTACGCGCGTTTGTTCTATAGTCTCCTCTGAACGGGGATAATGGAGTAACGGAGAACCGAGCATATTAACGCGCGCAACCAGGTACAATCTTCACCAAGCTGTTGTTTGCTGACTCCGTTTACACCTACTAACTCAGAGTAGAAGAGCGCTTACGGGGGGTGGGGGTGACTCAGAAATATCTCCAGTAGCCGCCTTCCGTATGCACTCCGCCGCAACCGGGATACGCGTATCCGATTTACGGGAGCCTAGGACCAGGTCCGTCCGGGGTTCTGGGGCTGCGGCGAGGGATTCGTTTGGCGCTGGGTACGAACGATGCGATGGCAGCACCCCCCCTCTCTTTCCCTCCCCTCCCCTCCCCAACCTAGGTAGAGATCCCGCAAATAGATAAAGGTAACCCTCTCACGAGTATCTCCTAGCCTGTGTTCTCCGGACAAACACGGAAACCTGAGGCACGAGACAAACATCGGCCGCCGAGACGGCCGGACTGCGGGGATATCGTGGAGACCGGATGGAGCTGTAGGCCGTAAAGGCGACCGCCCTGTTTGCTGCCTACCTCCATATATACCTATCTACCTAACTCTACCTCATGTAGGTACGTAGTAGGTATTTGCTAACCACGTCGCAATTTGGGCGTTCATATGCGTACATACCCAGCGCTAGATTGAGAAGCTTAAAATAGTTGTTCGTAAATCGATACGTCGCATACATAGTCCTGCATACTGTGGTTTCTGCATTAAGAGGTTGAGAAATAACTGCATTTTGGAAAGGCTTGATTCGGCGCATATATTATTGACACTCCTCATGTACAATATTGTTCGTTAAAGCTACCTAGTTATAAAAATCAAATCATGATTTGTATTAACCACCTACCATTGGTAATACTAAGTTGGTATAGTTCTCTCCTTGAGAGGTATGTTTAAACTTGAGCCAATGTACTCTAATGTGCTCGTCCAATTATTCTTCACCGTATGTACGTTGGTGCAGGCCTGCAATGCACCGCTTATATTACCACAGTAGTCCCCCTTTAAGCCATTGACGAATAGGATGTAAGTAAGGATAAACGTCTTAGTAAGTTCTAAAAATGAACAGATTTAATTCTCTTATGGCTGATTATACATTACCCTTGTTTTTGTGAGTTTAGTTCTGCGTGGCAATTGAAATTAAAATCAAACACCGAACACTGTCATCACTTTGGTTAGTTAACGCTCCGGAGTTGCGGAAATAGGGAAACAATAGGGGCTGTTAAGACTTTTACAATTAGTTCCTTTTTGATGTATACAAATCAAATGACTATTTTATCTCCAAATAACTTATAGTCTATAGTCTATAGTCTACGATGGCATATTCAACAGTCTTAACTTTTAGCTTCCAGTTCTAATTAGCGGTATATCTTATTCTAATTACCTAAAAAATATTGTATCCTCAATTACGATAGCCTGTACCGAGGCTAAAGTCGAACTCTGCCTGTAGGTGCGGAAAACGGGAGCCTCTCCTATAAGCCATCAACTCCGATTTGAAGTTGAGGGTATAAACTGGATCCGGAGTTCTGGTTCGGCCACAAGGAACCTTACTCTTTTCAAAATTTTGTAGACTAAGTCTACTCCAGCCTTAATTTTACAATTTTGTTGTTATGTAGAGTACAATAGTCTAAAAATAATCCCCTTTTCAAATGCCGGGAAACAAATAATTATTAGATCACGATGACTCTCTTCCTCCTTCCAAGAACAAATCATAGGACTATGACCTTTCGCCACCTTCAAGAGTATGAGGCCTACAGATCCAATCTCTTACGTACAGTAAAGCTAATCCAATAGAATTCAACGATGTTGTCTCTTAATAGGAGTTCCTACTCGAAGAAACAGGGAAACCCTCAAATCACGGCATATAGGGGTTGGGGGCTAGATAAGCGGTGTAGTTTAGCATTATAAGCTATCTGCATACTATTCTGCATAGTATTCTGCATCAAAAATGCGTCGTTTTTAAATCGGCGTCTTGATTGCTTAGTCTATCTCATAAAAAGGGGCTGGTGTAGTCTTGCATATACTACGTGGCAGAGAGAGGTATCTACATAGAGGCAACGTGCGAAGTCTATGAAGTCTTCATGCTTCCAGAGACATAAGATGATGAATCCCACCCTGCGGATCCCATGGTAAAATAAATTGTGTATGCCTTGCTCGCGTTGCACCGCAGAAGGATCTGAGTTTGTTTTTCCTGAAGACCGGCAATCAATGGATGGTTTCTACAGCCTCTGTTTCAAGCCCACATACACACCGCATCGAGTGATCTGCCATCTCCAAGATGACATTGTATATCGAATAGATCGCTCTGGAACTACATGCGACCACATGCATCTAGTAAGCCACTGCGTATATGTGTTGGCAGATATTCATTAAAATTACAGCGGTCGACTGGATTCTATAACCCACGTGGTCAAATTTTAGGATTAGGGTGACGTGCATGAATGCTACCGCGACAGCCGCGAATCCGTTGTGGGCACCGTTCACGACATGTCTGCGCCCGCCGGTACTTGGGTAGATATGATGAAGTTCTCCATCATGGCCTGGCCTCCGCCCCCATGTTTCGTCGCATGGCTTCCGCCCGTACCCGACGTCCTGCCGCGTCCCGCAGGTTGGGGGCCGGCGCCGATGTTACCTTCGCGGCGCTTGACGACGAGGCACAGCACGCGTCCGTAAATAGAAAATCCCTCGTACGAGATGTCCATAGCCAGTTTTTTCTTATCATCGTCGTCTTCGGCATTGTCACCCTCCGGCGTTGCTGCTCCCCCTCTGCGTCTCTTGGCTGGTGGCGGCCGCGTGCTAGCGTCGTCATTTGGTTCATCATTGACGAATAGGCTGTCGTCTTCACCATCTTGGCTATCAGATACAATCTCCACATCATTGTTTTGATCATCATTTACGTCGCGATCTGCGTCTGTTTCTGTATTCCTACGGCCGCGCTTGGGTCGCCTGCCGCTGCTAGTATCCGCAGTTTCGTCTACCGCCGGAATCGCGGCCAAGGTAGCAGCAGTATCTTCATCGTCGCTCTCCTCATGTCTAATGAGTGGACCAAATTCTGTTGTAGCATCGACGTCGACAGGTACCTCATTCGTCTCACCAATCAGACGACCCGAGTTCGATGTAAGCTTTGTTTGCGTAGTATCATGGAAATGCTTATGTTTTGTGAGGAGCGCGTGGCGGGTAGCTGTCTCGGTGAGGAATATGGATACCTCGAAATCATCTATAATGTGTTACAAACTGCGGGAACGTGGTATATCTTTAGAAGTAGAAGGACTGCAGAGTGGCGTAAGGGATAAAGTACAGTATATTCTACACGTTTAGGAATTTGTAGTGATGACATAGAATAGGTAACTATTCATGTATGTGACTTACCTTCTATCACTACATCCTTGATTCCCTTCTTCTTGGTACTTCGCTTTCGACTTCTTTCTCGCTCTTCACGTAATTTAGGTAATACAAGCGGCCTCACGCTCTCGATGACTCTTGGCAGTACGGGATTCCTCGGGTTAAGGAGCCAAGTGTGGACGAGTGCAGGATTATCAAGGTATATGCGACATTCAAGGACTGAATATTTGGTTATGCGGAGATATCGGCGAATGGGCGCCATAGCGGGATGGATCGTGACGCATTTCGCGATATAAATTCGTGCATTTGGAGGATTCCAATTAGTTTAGGTACCTCCTAAACATAACGAATTGTAGGATGCAATGATTATGAGATCACTCTCTTTATCGATAATGATCTACATAGACACTGAATTTGAGTGCCTTGCATATGTGGCTGAGGCTCAAATAATCTAGGGCATGATTTAATTGGATCAAAGCTATTCGGCCTTGCTTGATCAATTAGTGGTGGCTTAAGCTTTATCGATAAGTGTTTGCACCAATAATTCTTAGGAAAGCTTCAAAGAAATAAAAGTCAAATGCATTAAATTTTATGATACGATATGCTCATGTATTGTTAATATATCACTCTTAGTTTTTAAACTAAGACAATGAACTTGATATTATCATGCAGAAATCATGGTCTACAACTTTGAGATTGCCGAACTCTAAGTTCCCGTATGTTAATTATTCTGAAATTCTCATGCTCGAGCTGACCGTGGGCCAGTCCGAGACCTCTCCCTAGATTACGGGAGTTGTATATTCAACGATGCGCCGATGATCTATATGAATGGCAGAGGCTTAATCGCCCTTCCGATAATACTTTCGTAATTCATGATGGCCCTCCTTATGCTAATGGTGATCTCCATGTTGGCCACGCCTTAAATAAGATCCTCAAGGATATGATTCTAAGGGTCAAAATACAACAAGGTCAGCAAGAGTATAGGCAAAACATATATCATACTTTTAAGTAACGTGGAACTTAACTTAGGGTATATATATAGGCCGAAGAGTGGAATATACTCCAGGATGGGATTGCCATGGACTTCCTATTGAGCTGAAAGCTCTCGAGAGATCTCAGGGGTCGAAACTTGGGCCCGTTGAAGTTCGAAAGTCAGCTCGAAACCTAGCTTCCAATACGGTTCTGAAGCAAATGAAGAGCTTTAGATCCTACGGGGTTATGGGTGATTGGGACCAAAGATGGACTACGATGGATGCGACGTTCGAGATCCGGCAACTCCGCCTATTTCAGCAGATGGTTAAGAAGGGCTTGATTTATCGCAGATTCAAACCAGTCTACTGGTCACCTTCATCAGGGACTGCCCTTGCCGAGGCAGAGTTGGAGTACCGCGACGATCATATATCACATGCGGCTTGGGTTAGATTCCCTATAACGGAAGATTGGAAGAAGCTTTCGGAATTTGAAAGTGTGCGGGACAACGTTCCGGGACAGCTATACGCCGTAATATGGACCACTACTCCATGGACATTACCAGCAAACAGGGCTATCGCTGTAGAGGATAAACTAGAATATTGTATTGTTCGTTATGGGAATGATGCTCTGCTGGTTGCTAAGAGTCGTCTTGATACTCTTGCGTCTAAGATTGGCGCTGAGGATGTCGAAGTACTTGGGACCTTCGAAGGCGCGCAATTAACGGCTTTAAAGTATACCAATCGGCTTCGTGGAAAGGATGCTCCTCTTCAACCTCTTATACACGCAGATTTCGTATCAGCAGACTCGGGGTCGGGACTCGTACATCTTGCACCAGGCCACGGGTTCGATGATTACGAAGTCTGTCGGAAACTCGATATAGACGTGGTAGCTCCCATTGACGACCAAGGAAGATTTACTTCAGATGCTTTCCCTGATTCTCCTGAACTACTTCAGTCTGCCCCTTCTGTAAATGAGGGCGGGGGCCGAAACGTTCTCGATCTTCTTAAGCCTCACGGGGACGTTTTATGGGTAGAAAGACACCAACATAAGTATCCATATGACTGGAGGACAAAGAAACCGGTAATTATTCGGGCTACCGAGCAATGGTTTGCCGACGTTGGATCTATTAAGCAAGAAGCCCTTGCAGCTCTCAGTGACGTTCGATTTATCCCAGAGTCTGGTAGAAAGCGTCTTGAGAGCTTTGTCCAAGGCCGAAGTGAGTGGTGTATATCACGACAGCGAGCTTGGGGTGTTCCGATCCCGTCTTTGTATGACGAAGCGGGTTCGGCTGTGATGAATGGGGAAGTGGTCGAACACATTATATCTGTTATTCATCAACGAGGAACTCAGGCTTGGTGGTCAGATGCCCCTGACGATGAAGTTTGGATTCCGTCCTCTCTAAAGGGAAAGGGGGAATACCGACGCGGGACCGATACCATGGATGTATGGTTTGATAGCGGAAGTAGTTGGACGATGATGCCAGGTCGCGCAGATGTTTATCTCGAAGGTTCCGACCAGCATCGCGGTTGGTTCCAATCTAGTCTCCTTACACGAATTGCCGCAGGAACCCAGGTAGACACCAGCTTTGAGAAAAGTGCTCCTTTTAAACAGTTAATCACTCATGGATTTACGCTCGACCAAGCTGGAAAAAAGATGTCCAAGTCGCTAGGGAATATCATCGAACCTCAACAAGTTATGGATGGTACCCTCTTGCCGCCAATCAAACGGAAAAAGGGAAACACGGCACCCCAAGGACAACCCGCTTACGACGCTATGGGCCCCGATGCTCTAAGATTGTGGGTTGCAAGTAGTGATTATACGCATGATGTTGCTATCGGAACTCCCGTGCTAAGTGCTATTCATACTGCGCTGATCAAATACCGTACCATCGTAAAGATGCTTCTTGGATCCGTGCACAAATCTGCTCGAACAGCACCTCTGACCGCGACAGATCATATTGCCATCCTACAACTACAAGACACGATGCAAGAAGTGGGCAATGCGTTTGACAACTACGAATTTTATAAGGGATTCGCTGCCTTGAACAGGTGGATAACAAACGATCTCTCCGCCTTCTATCTCGAATCTCTAAAAGACCGGCTATATTGTGGTGATGGCGGAGGTGTCATTGAGCCTTTACTCACCGGGCTTCTGAGGATGCTGACACCAGTGACACCACTGCTCGTTGAAGAAGCGTGGGATCACCGCCCAGATTGGATGAAAGAAGACTCGTAGGTCCGACCAAATTCCTCGTATTTGCACCATGCTAATAGTAAAATATATAGGTCTTTGACTCATCCATTTCACCAACTCTACAGCAATCCCATTATTGAACCTAACCGCCTCACCCGCGACTTAACCACACTGCGGAAAGATATCCCGGTGCTTATGTCGGTCCATACCGCTGTCAAGTCAACCCTCGAAGCTGCCAGGAGCGACAAGGTCCTGGGTTCGTCTCTGCAGAGCAATGTTTTTGTCGAGGTTCCCGATATCCAGATACAGAGGGTGTTAGAATCCTACGCAGACGAACTGGAAAGCATGTTCGTTGTTTCGTCCGTCGCAATTAATACCAAGTCCCCACTAGAGACCGAGTGGACCTATACTCGGGAGTTCGAAGTGGGTGGGATTAAAGGGACGGTGGTGGTACTGCCCCCGAAACATGCCAAATGTCCCCGATGCTGGCGATATGTTTCACCAAAGGAAGATAGCCTGTGCGGGCGGTGTGAGGATGCGGTGGCGAGTTAGTATACTGTAAATTAGCTATATCCTATTAATTGTGATGAATACATAGGCAAAGATCTCCAAGTGTTAGGTAGCTTGCCCTATAGTTCCTACCTCCCTAGCTGTGTAACCCCTTGATGATGAAGTGGCTTTTCTCATCCAATGTAGCTTTGGAAGTCCTAGAGAGCAGAGTGGCGGAGCTGTATGTCGAGTTACTTGACTCAATTTATTTACCATTACCATATCGCTACTTAATATATTGCCTCGTCTTATCTTTCTTTTAAAATCCTTCCTATGTAATGTTGCTTATTGGGGAAAACTTCGTATTTGATATCTTCAGTGTCAAATAAACTCAGAGTTTATAGTCAGTCACCTTCATACTTGCTATGGCCTCAAAAACGCAAAGCATACTTCCTACTCCTCCTGAAAACCCGACTGACAGGCATGTTACAAGCACGCCTTATCACGAATCCTGGATGAAATCGTGTAAATATCCCGAATCTCTTGCTATTATGTTGGTTGCTAATAATATATTAGTCCGTGAGTGGTGCGACTGTACACACTGCCAGACTGGGGGCCTCATACACCCCGTCTATGTCAAGGTACTTCAAACCTTTCTACAAACCACTGGCCGTCCTGCTTTGGTAGCCCAAGCTTTTATTACAATGATTTATCAGCCACTTTACTATAACCAGCTACAGACCTTTGACATCTCTACTGATGCTGAGATGATAAGCTGGGTAAAGGTTTCAATGCCGGTTAGGTGGGTGGGTTTTATTGTGGTGAGCGTCCTTGCTGTTGCTCATACGCTTGTTGTTTTGGGAGTCTTGATTGCCTTTATGATGTCAACAAAATATTTGAAGCTTAAGGACCCGTGGTCGATTTTTGCGTATGCATCGAACGGCGAATTAGCAGATATAATAGAGGAAGCAAAGCGGTTAAATGCTGAGAATTGCGTTGAGCATATTAAAGAACAGGGGGTGGAGAACGAAGTAGTTGGCCTAGGACCCGATGATAACCAAAATATCGGGATTCGAAAAAGGATACAGGGCGCTCAACAGTCGGACGTAGAGGATTTGGAGTAGAGTTATGGTATATTATTATTGGACTCAAAAGGAGTAATGAACATGCAAACGATAAGTGGGATGCACGCGGGAATACAATTTTTGTATATGTACTACTTCCTCCAGATGTCTTCCTGGAGAAGTTGTTCAATAAAGTAGAAGAATAAGTGCTTGTCGTTTCAAATGCAATAGAGGAGGAGAGTACAATGGAGAATCTGGATCTCCCCTCCCCCTTTTATCAAAATTAATAAGAACGATTAATTGAAGAGCCTAACCTAACAAGATACTGTTGCTATTCTACATATAAATGATATGGATAAAATATAAAACACATCTAGGAATATCGACTAGCGATGCCGAGTATTCATCGAATCATAATCCTTCTCGCATCAAACCTTTTGTAAACATGTAAAATATAAGATATAATAGTAGCTCGGATAGAATATTAAGGGCGGTAGCCCGAACACCGTAAGTATTCGAGGTGAATACTACAATGAGGCCAGTATAGAAAAGAAGAATACTCTAGATGAAAGAGAGGGGGTTGACCAACGAGGAGGTAAAATATACATGAATTATGCCGCCAATTTATTGATAAAAGGAAAAGTATGAAAAAAAAGGATCTGCAATGGATTCAGAGTGTAGTAAATGTGATGATGATGAGAAATCGAGCATCAGCGCCAACTTGTTGTAGATGCAGCCTTGCCGGATATATTCGTGTATTGCTAAATCGGCTGAGCGCGGTAGATATTTTGCCCAATGATAATGTCGTTAAATAGACAGTTGGAGATATTACTAGAAGAGGAATTCTCGCCGGAGAGTGATATAATCGATGCCGTGGATTAAAGGTTATCGCAGCGCGGACGCTGATCTTTTTGATCAATCAAAGTATATCCGCTTATTGAGATGATTAGATTGGTGTTACGAGACGAAGAGTCTGCGTTAAGAACGAGGTCCATCCGGTAAGTTAGGAACGAAGACCGCGCGGTCGAGAAGACGCCAGATACGCCAGCGGTTCTCGAGTTCTTTCTCTCCGTGCAGGATGCCGCCCGGCTCAAACAAGTCGTTCTGGCCTAGCTGGCGGCAAAGCAGCTCCCAGTCCAAGTCTCTTATAATGTTGAAGGGCTCGCCGGGTGTTTCAGCTCTGAACTTCTTGTCTACTTTGAACAGATATCTCTCGTCGATATCGAACAGCCACGGGATTAATCTACCGCTTAGCAGCTCCTCCATCCACCACTTGGACGGCAATATGCGCGTGCAGACGAGTTGTTCACGATTAAGGTAGTAGAATGGTTTTAATTTCTCGGTGATCATATCTTGAATCTCGACGGGTAGAGATTCTGTCACCCTGTGCCGTACACCTTGATATGCTGGGCCCGGCATGCTAAAGTGCCTGGGAAGGCGTAGCAAGTGTTTTAGGATGATTGGTGTCGTTATCATTTTATTGCCAGAGGGATTAGCTTCTTGAACGGGTGTCCATGGCCTGCAATGGTCGACGTAAGTCTTATACGTATTCAGATGGATCGTGAACAAACAACAAAGGTAGTTACTTGACTCTTCAATCGGTAATTGGAGGACCCCTCTACTCCACTGGCGGGCCATCCAAGCGCGCTGCATCCAGATTTCGTAGAATTGACCGATGCGAGAGGGGATCCCATATTCATTGCTGCCCCGGGAGAACTTGGTGAAGTGAAGATCGCTGCTGGACCGAAATTGGCAAAACCTCTCAGCTAGGCCAAAGCAAGCATGATGAATTGGGATATACATCGCTGAGTGCCTGGTGTCGACTGAAACCGACCCTCCTTCTTGGAGATCGAAACCACTTCCGCCGCCGCGGAATCTCCAAACTTGAAAAAGCCTGACTGGGTCCGGCTCTTGAAAACGAGATTCTTTCGCGGTTTGAGGATCTACACGCCGCTTTAAAAAGCCATTTTCCGCCTTGACGAGCCACGGGTGCATCCAACTTCGTTCGTTGACATGTCTGCCAAGCGCGTTTGGGACCTAGAGAATCAAATTAGAGAATCCTTCCCTTTTCCGTGCAAAAGAAATATATTTATATTTCCGGGATTTAAGGCGACTTACTGTTGGGACGCATATGCCACCGCACACAACACAATTCATGATATCATTACAGTTAGGATTTGCTATCTCTGGGTCCGGATGGTGAGAAGGACCAGTGAAAGTGGGAAGCAGGGGCATCGGCAAGCGACCCAACGGTGGATGGAAGGCCATTGCTGTTAGAGGAGTCGTCTAAGATGTCTAAGATAATCGCATCGTTTGTGCTGTATTGTGTGGTAGAAAGGTAGGTACCTAGGTATGGATGAGAAATAAAACATAAATGTTTCGATCAAGTCTGGACATAGGGACGGACGGTAAGGCGACTTTTATATAATGGAAGGGTACGGACATAGGTGAGACCGTGCTCTCTAAACTTTGGAAATAATTTGAAGATTTTTTCCTTAGGTAGGAGGTAGGAGATGGCAGTGATAGCAAGAGTAGTGGTCGGATCTATTAGGCTTCAGGAATAGTCTGTCATTAGTACCTGTCCGATGAATTTTAAATGTGCTAAGACGTGAATAGCATCATGAATAGTTGGGCGTAGCGAAAACTCTAACCTCAATGAAATAACCATAAGTGAGACAAGAGTATAGCACCTAAGGTACCTAAGTTGAAAAAATATAATTCTTGTTCCTATTCTAAACAAGGGCAGTCAAGAGTCAAGGGGTATCTAGTATACTAGCCGTGTTGATGAACCAAGACAGGAGAGAAAGCTCCAAAGAGAATATATCAAGCCATGACCCTTTCCGTAACGCAGAAAACAAATCCGCACGTCCACTTCGCTGCTACTATTTGACTCCTATCTAACTCCTATAATTCAAACGCCTATCACTTCCAAATTGCCGCAGCAATTTTTGCACTGACCATCTGCCACCCAATGATTAAATTCCAAAAGCATTTATTCGTCATGCTCTCTAGTTCAGCCTTGGGCTCTTCCTTCTTGAGATACTTTGCGCGAATATCTCTCTACCACCTCCAGGGACCACCGATGAGAGTAGGGGTATATTTTCGCGCCCTTCGGCAGGCATCGACTGCTTACTCACTTTTGATGATCGTGTCGTCCTGCTCTTCTTAAATACGGGCATCGTGAAATCTCCGTCTGTGTTCGCGACCGTATCCATTACCCCTGGGCCGACGTTAGCTCCGAACCTATGGACTGTGGCGTTGGCGCGGGCATCAAGACTGATCGCGCCTGTCGCGTTAAGATTAAGGTTTGGGTGCACCTCTCGTAAACTCATTGATAAAGGGTTCTGATCGCGTTCCGACAGTGGGAACGCGGTATCTGACGAGAAAGGTCTAGATGGAGATCTGTTTTCTGACAAACTCGGATCAGAGTCGGAAAAGACTTTAGCTTTACTGGGTGACGGCTCGCCATTTAACTCTCTAAGTAGTGCTTCGTGCGGCCTAGTATATGGAAGCTCTGAAGGGTATTCATAAGTCGTCTTCCGGGGTGTATCCCCAGTCGGTTGGTATTCTTGGAGAACTGTACTGTTTATATCTTCCCGAAGATCAGACAGAGGCTGGCAAAGACTTTCCGAAAGGGGTTCCATGGAGTTTTGCGCATTGATAACATCAATCTCCATCTCCGAGCCAAGGGTTTGGACCCTAGAATAGGTACTCTTGAAATGGTTGGCGATATTTCCGTATGAACTTTTGACGGTACTAGATAAGCTCTCCACCGAGTCCGCGTGATCGTCGTGATGTAGTGCATTTTGCGAACGAGCACGAGAAACGAAGTCGTCAAGGGACGTCATCTGCTCATGAAGATCCTTCATTTGTTCGTCGACAACTCGCACTGTCTCGGCATGTACTGACTTGGTTGTGTCCTGTATTGAAGTGCTATGTATGTTTGCAATCTGTTATACTGTTAGTGATGCTACCGGTAGAAGAATTTGAAGGGGTGTCTTACTGTCCAATCATCCTTGAGCTTAGTTTTCAAGGTTTCCCGAGAATTGGCAACTTCATCAAGAAGTTTGGTTTCTTTCTCGTTCCAATTATCCATCCCCTGCGAATATTGCGCCATGCTGCTTTCTAGCGCAGTACTATTGCCTTGCACACTCTGCTGTATAGAAACAGCCTTGTTTGCCAGACGCGATTCCTGAATTTCAGCTTGGGAATTGATGAGGCTTGTGATCTGCGCTAGGAGATTCTGTCGTTCCTCAGCCGCTTGTCTCCGCTCTTCGTTGACGACTTTTTGCAGCTGTGTCGAGATAGCAGTGTTCGTTTGGATGATAGTATTGCTCGCCTGGTGAAGTTGCTCCCGGAGATTGTCCGACTCTTTCTTTTGGGAAGTGATGTGTTTTAACAACTCTTCAAATATGGACTTGAAGTCCTTACCAAGCGAAGAATATGATGTGTGCAGCTGATTATGGAAAACCCCCAGTTCGCTGAGGACATCCTGGGATATTCGTTCGGCTGCTGTCGCAATAGCCTGAAGGCTCTCGCCCACCTTTTCTTTGATGTGGTCCCGGACTTCTTTGATCTCTTCGAGTATTTCATCCATCTCTTCTTTAGAATTTTCCTTCTGTTGAATTAATTCTCTCTTAGATTGGGCGAAGAGCTCTAGGTTCTGATCGAGGAATGATTGGGTGGTGGTCAATTTCTGTAGTTCGCCCTGTACGAATGAATGCATCCGCTCCGAAATACTCGATATATGTTGCTGTTGCTCATTACGAAACTCTTCCACGCGGCCTTCTACTAATGAAGTCACGTCCGATACCTCGCCTTGAGCTGTCCTCCAATTCATCCGGTTTAAAGATTGGAGATCCGATTTTCTTTTGTTCTTGGCATGTAGACTACCGACGTCTTTGACAGTCTTATGAATTGTAGTGATAAGCTCTCCACCAATCATCTGCATCTGCTCTTCGGTCCTCTGATGTGCCTTACGTAGGTGGGCTTCTTCGGCAAGACTCTTGCGGGCCGCCTCCAGCACTAACTCGGTTTGATCGAGAACCCCCTTCGTCTCGTCAAGTTGGGCCTTAGTAGCATCGTGGTCCTTCTTCAAGCCCATGAAACTGGAAGTTAAGGAGAGGAGTTCCTGGACTTTATTTCGTAGGTTGGATTCGAGGGTTTCAATTTTGGCGGCCTGCTCCTCATTTCGAATTCTACGAGATTCGCTCTCAGCAGTCATTCCTTCGTAACTCTCATTGGATAAGTAGACGCCATTTCGTTGACGGGTCACGATCAACTCGCTTCGTAGTCGCTCGATCTCATTTGTAAATTCTTTAAGAAGGGTTTCTTTATTGATTCTCTGATTGGTCTGGGGCTTATTTCGGATGTTCTTTGCTCTAAAGGCATAGTCGAGAGTCGATATGGTCTCTTCAAGATTGCTCTTCGCTGGTGAGATGGTGGCGATGATGCAGGTCTTCGTACGGCCACCTAGAGAGTCTTGTAGTAGTCTGGTCAATTTAGATTCTCGATATGGGATATGTGAACTGTGGTCAACTAGCGCGTTGATAACGCGCCCGAGAGTAAGCAAACTTTTGTTGATTAAACCAGCCTCCGCAGCTCTCTTATTCTCGGCCCCGGAACGCTGAATATTCTCGCTACCGGCAAGATCCACGAGATTTAACTTTCCAGCACTGACGTACTCGGCACCATCTTCGGTTTCCTTAACACATGCCGTGATAGTAAACACGGTATGGCTTCGACTACTCAGGTCGTTGCATTTGGTCGCCGCCACTTGTCGCTTCAGACTACCATCCTGCAAGAGCTTGATACCCTCTGCGGCGTTTTTGATGTGTGTCTCTTGCATGCCCTGGACAACTGTAGTGGCGTGACCTCTTCGAGACGCGTCGTCGAATATTTTTAGTTTAGCAGTTTCTTCGACAGAGATTAAGTCCCGAAGTTCCTCGTTGTACAGCTCAATAAAGGAGCATTTGACAAAGCTATCGGTATTCTCTGCATCTAATTTGTGGAAGAGCGAGTGTAAGACTCGCGGGATGATTCCGGCATCGTCAGAAAGAAGACCCAAGGTAGTGTTCATGTCACCAGACATGGTATATGTTTTGCCAGTACCGGTTTGACCATAAGCGAATATAGTGCAATTGTATCCACCAAGCATCTAGGTGGGAGTTAGCTGGGTGTTTGAACAAATTATTAGCTCACGCGACATACCTCTTCGAGTATGGGTTTGACGACATCATCATATAGCACGCTCTGATCGGCAGCTTGGGAGAAGACACGGTCAAAGTTATAGGTCTTATTGCTCAAGGCACTTGGACCCATAGATAATTCGACCAATTTACCCTTCACACCCTCGGTAGAGACCACGACGGCACTGTTCTCTCGCACCTCTCGATCATTACGTCCTCGGCATCTTACAACAACGTCGATATTCGTCTCTGCGCCCGCTTCTATCTCGTAATCGCGCTCCTTACGTTTAGCACCTAAGGTGGCAGCAGATGATAACGAGTCGGCTGGCGAAGGTGCTGCATTCCTGGGAATTCTTCCAGCGACGGCAGCATGATGATGAAGGGCTTGGTTTCGAAGCGACGGAGTTCTATTCGTGGGTTGTCGAATACCGGAGCGGGCAGAAGAAGAAGTAGTTCCAGAACGAGCAGAAGCAGAAGTACTAGGGCGAGTGCTAGAAGCCGTAGGGGGCCTTTCGCTCCTATAAGAGCGGCCCTGCATCGCGGCTGTCTGTCGTAATTTGATTTAGTGGGATATTGGATATAAGCTGGTATTTTAAGCTAACAAATAAGGTTGAGCTGCGTTAACACAGAGCAAAGCGAAGTAGGTGATTTGACAAGGGAAGAGATAATAGCTCATGGGTGATATTGAAGAATTGATTAATTTGCTAAAGAGATAGAACTTGTGTGACGGAATAAGATCTTCGGCTTTGCATGAGGATAAGGTGTACGGTGGGAAGTGGGACGTATAGGGTTTGTACATAGAAGTTAAGTTCGGTCAATAATTGTGCAAGGAAGAGAGACGCGACATGATGTTGTATTCTGCGAAGTCTGTGCTTTCCGCTAATGTTATTGAGAGACCCACTTAAAGTATCAATACATTACTTAACCTGGAATATGCGCCTAATGCTGTTGCTGGGACAACAATCATACATCCATTGATAGAGCTTAGATAAGCTAGATAATGTTGGGCGGGGTAGGATGAAAGCCAGATAGTGTAAAGCCCACCAACTACCTTAGCTGAGGTAATGCAAGGCTAATGCTACCTAGGTACCTCATAGGCGTATGTTGCAGCGTGCCTGACCTGTGCATTGAGGTACCATGTATCATGTACGATCCATATCAAATGACGTCCCAGCGCATCTGATCCATCTCTTGCATCTTCTGCATCTGACAATTATCCCCCCTTTGCGCTTGTAGCCTTTCGAGCCAAGCGGCTTGACTTGAGGCAATCATATATCTATCATACATGTAATCATCATATACATCTTGACCATATCGGCTCTGCTCTTTATGGAGATACCTGGAGCCGGTTTGACGTAGCTAATTATTTACTTGACTTAAGTCTAGTAGCTGATATTTCATCGCACTCCCTGACACATTTTATTCTCACTGGGCCCTATTAGATTCAATTTCAATATGTCGTCGCTATTTACCGCGGCTCTTCACCCTAGTGTTGGCCTAGGTTTTCTCGGTAAGTATCTAATCTAGTTGATATCGTATATTGTTATTGATAAACTGATGAAGGTACTAATCATCTCTTCTCCAGTTCTCGGTGCTTCGCTCCACGATATCCTCACGCGACTAAAGGCTGAACCGCAGCGTTACCCCAAATTAGACCTTGCCTACTCTGCTACCAACCCTGTTGGTGAACCCGTCACTGTCAGCCTTCCCGCGAACGGTATACGATTACGATTCGATGGTCCCGAACAGCGGCTTCGCCTCGTCGAGATTATCGACTTTACCAAAAATCGTATCACCTATCAGGACAAGGATATCGCTAAGCCCGTAACTTCCCAAGGAGTAGTAGGATCCCCTAGGTTAGGCGGAGATGGAACAGCCGGTCCGGCATTTAAGAACATCTACCACCGCCTATTTGGTCCAACGTATGCTGGAGAATATATCCCTCCTGCGGATTCGGGTCACGGAAATGCCATGGGCACCTATATACTGTCCTATCCTGGGGTAGCATTTAGTTTTCCCTTGCCGAAGTCGGCTTACTCTCCGAATAAGGACGTCGTCTCTTTGCTCTCTTCACCTGTAAGCCAGACGGCTATTTCTGTTGCGATATTCAGTGGGAAATCCTGGGCTCATGCCCGTGAGACTCTGTGGGACGAGATTCTCCCAAGCGTCAAGTCGGCGTTTGTGTTTAATAAGAGTAAAGAGGTCGTTCCTGATGAAGTCTCCCTAGTCAAGATACATGGCGGTGGTAGGCTTCAGTTGTTCAGGAAATGGACCAACATGTCAGTATGGATTAATTTAGGGGAGACCACACCCCAAGACCTAGTAGCAGAGCTGGGACCACCCGATGCTATATATCGGAAGAATGACCAAAGGATGTATATCCACAAGACTCGTACCGCAAGTCATAGCCGATCTAGATCGAACGGCGGTGAATATAGGCGTCCAGATGATCTGACCGATACTGATCAATCTTCGGCACACACCGGATCGGATGACTCCGAAGACGAGGCAATCGAAGATGAGATCGTGGGTAACGTATCAGGCGAATGCTTTTACAATTATTTCTATCTGGGGTTTGATATCCTAGTATCGCCACCTCAACCTCCTTCGCGTACACCTCCATCCCAAATCGCTGCGTTGAAAGGGAAGGAGGTGCCCGGAGCGAACTCGTTCAAGAGTGCTACAGCGGATCGGCTGGTGGCTACCAAAATGGTACTCCACGCGAATGTGCCTGGATCGTACCCATTCAATAGGCATCGCCGTTGCCGTTGGGAAATTCAGTATCTTGCGACGGAGAACGCAGATGACGTTATAGACTCCGAAACGCCGTTTGATGAGATTGAAGAGCGGCTAAGGAAAGAATGGAAGAGCACATACCCGTCCGAGGAGGATGCCAAGAGGCGTCAACGAGGTATGGTCCTAAATCGTGGATGGGGAGATAGCCCTGGAAGCAGTTGTGAGTTTTTAGGGGGCTGGGAAGATAGTAGTGGGGGAGTGGCAGCGAAGAAGTTTGACGGAAACGAAGATTCTACAACTACGTTGTATGGATTCCCTGGGATGGTTTTTGAGGTATTGAAGAATGGGTTTGTGAGCGCGGTTACGGTTTATTAGATTCATGGGCTTGAGCATTGGAGTTTGTGGTTGTCCTTTCATTTTCTTTGGGTAGCGCTTAGAATATCCCTAGGAAATTGAACAGCGAGTTATCGCATCTATCATAATATCAGCTAAAGTACATGTACTTGATGTTTGTTATAGCTATCAACCGGCTATACTTACTAAATGTACTATCCATTTGAATATTTTATACGCATTATGCAGCAATAAGCGTACGGCAAACGGGTTTGGCGAGGACTTCGTTTCTGCCGTCCCTTCTATCGTAGTAATCTTAAAAGAGGCGATTGCTATTGGAATTAAGCTGCTACTATCTATGTTAGAATACCATAGTTGGCAATTTAAAGTAATAGATAATTCTTATATGAATATAGATCCTTGCCAGGAGGCATACAATAAATACAATCTCTGCCTCTTTAATTTGTTGTGGCGAATGAAACATTAAGAAATACTGTTTGAACAATAACCTTCTTATTGACATCCTACGGCTCAAGTCCATGATCGCATCTTCTCCGCCGCCGCTTGCCCTAACATCATAGCTGTAGCGCCACCTAAGATTTCAAAGACAGCCAAATCGACTTTGAGCGTTTTAATGAACCAATTCCGCAGCTCTACCGCGATGAGGGAATCTACCCCGTAGTTATGCAAGGGTTGGTTTAGATCAAAGCTTTCCCGTGACATAGAGAAGATTGTTCCAACTTTCATCGCCAGTCCATTTGCCAAAATGTCTGCTGCTTCGCTTAGCGATTCTGAAGCAGCTACTTTCTCGGCTAACTTAGAACCGTTGTCGGTCGTGGCATCAGCATCGGTAGAAATAGGGGTAGCTGTTGTCATCTGTTGAAGATTTGCGAACATTGGTTCGTATGTCCAACTTGACGGTTCCAGGCCACGACTTATGATGTTTTGGGGCAGGTCGAGACCAAGAACAAGCTGGGACCGCGTCGGATCAAGTGGAAGAGATTTATCGCAGAAATGTTCGAGGAGAGCTAGGACCTCGGCCTCGTCGATTGGCAACATTTGCTTGATTTTAGCAAATCGGATCAGAAAGTCCTGGTTTTCCGCAAGATATCCGTCGCCGCTAAGAATACCGAGATCTAAAGATATCACCTTTTCTCCTCGACTCAATCGGTATTTGGCCAGCTCATCTTGGAATGTATTGCCGACCGCATAATTTGACTGCCCTTGGGACCCAATGATGCCAGATATAGACGAGAACATGATAAAAAAGTCCAAGTCCCGTGGTAGTAGTTGATGTAGGTTCCACGACCCACGGATCTTCGGCTTTAGAGATGCAGTCCAAGCTTCGTGGCTCATATTCTCGAATATGGAGTCCTAATTCAGATTAGCATAATACTCGATTGACAATAGGATGGGATCTCTTACTCTAATATCCATTGCTGCTTGAATGCACCCCTTAATCGGCGGCATATGGAGTTTGCAATAATCAATCACTGCGCCCAAAGATGCTGCTTCGGAGATATCGCACGGAGGCGTATAAACTGTTGCCCCCTTTTTCTCTAGACTTCGTATGAAGCCTACCGAATTGTCGTCTCGCGGTCCCGCGCGGGATAGTAAGACGAGATTTCTAGCCCCTTTTGAAACCATCCACTTGGAGATACTTCTGCCTTGTCCGCCGAGACCACCAGCAATCACGAACGTCTCGTCTTGGCTGAATGTCCAGCTCGATATATGAGTAACCGCTGCCTATATTCATATTAGCTTGTTAATAATTTAGTTCAGAGAAGTCTTTTATTCTTACCAAGACACTATCGTTCGGGTCAACCTCGACAACGACTTTTCCGGAGTTGGCACCGGTTTGAAGATAGCGAAAGGCGGCTTCTACTTGGGATATAGGGAACGCTTTTACTGGCGAGGGTAGCTGTAAAACGCCTTTGTTGAAGAGATCGGAAATGGCCACCAAAGAATCTCGTATGAGTTTCGGCTTTTCTCGAACCATAGCTGCTATGTCAACGGCGCTAAATGATACGTTCCGAGCGAATTGAAACATCGGTAGCTTGTTGTGAGAGAATATATCTTTCTTTCCGATTTCAATGAATCTCCCAAAGGAGGCAACACATTCCCATGAAGCAATTAGAGCATCACCCGCCAACGAGTTGAGCACAACATCGACACCCCTATTCCGTGTGAGACGCCGAATCCCATCGGCAAAGGAGAGATCCCTACTGTTGAGGATATTATCCATAGGGATATCGTATAGAGTATTAATAAGCTCCTTTTTGGGTGAGCTCACTGTCGTGAAGACTTGCGCGCCGCACGTTTTGGCGATTTGAATAGCCGCTTGCCCTGTTCCACCTGCACCGGAATGTATGAGAATTGATTCTCCTTGACTAAGTTTCGCAACGACAACGAGTGAATGGTAAGCCGTAACAAAATTCGCTGATAGTGCGCTGGCGTCACTAAATGTCATTCCGGTTGGTATCTTCATGGCTAACATGCCTAGACATCGGAGTCGGCTCCTAAATGTATCTATAGCACATACGAAGACGCAATCGCCCCGTTGGAAGCCGCTTTCGGAACCCGCGCTTATGACTACACCAGCGCATTCGCATCCCATTGAATCATCTGGGACGCGTCCTAGAGCTACGAGGCAATCTTTGAAGTTGACGCCTATAGCTTTTACGTCAACCTCTATCTCATCATTAGCGAGTTGGTTTGGTTCGTGAACTTCTTCAAAGTGCAATGTATCTAAGAGTCCTGACTGTCGTACTTTCAACTTTAGGTTACGTTCCCCAAAGCGCTGCAATCTTTGGACGGGTTCTGATGAAAGCTCGTATATTCGTTTATTTAGCGAGTCGCACTCGTAGACTCTGGGAATATGAAGTAGTTCTCCAATTTGAATCAGTTCTGGTTCGTAAGATTTCGATCCTACCCCATCCAGAAAGTTCCATAACGCACTCTCAATGTTTGCTTCCAAGGTCGCCGTGTGCGAGGTATCGATGCTGACTGTTGCGAAAATATGGTCATTGTTTTCCATTCTCAGAGTTCTGGCTAGGCCTTGAACAGCACCAATGGAAGGGACTTCGTCTAAAGATGGATCGATCTCCGATATCCATAATATGTGTTTATATCGATTGACTGTTCTATGGAATAGCGAATATTCCTCTTTGTCTAAATTTTCAAGCGATAGCCACTGGTGACGTGGCACGACAATGACCAAGTAGGGAGTAGAATCTACCAGTGTAGATACTTCGCCAAAACAACTTTCACGTACATCCATTATGCCGATGGACCTGAGCTTCGTAGCAATTAGATCCTTTAGTGGAGATTGAAGCGGCTTGTCGAAGCCGCTGATGATGAAAATAGGTATGCCTTTGGCGAACTCTAGCTTTCGGAACTCCATTGATGTTTCTACGTTAGACGAGACGAAAACTGTTGTAAACTGGCTTCCTTCGAAATCAGAGGCATGAGATGTGAGATCGACTCCAGACATGCCACTTAATTCCAGCTCTTGAGACCATCGCGCCTCTCCTTCACAAAAATCAGATTCCTGTCGGACTTCCTCCGCTGTATTCATATTAGTATTGCGACTATGAGGGTTTCTAAGAATTATATACCTTGCCACAGTTCGGGAACATAAGGACAAGTTAAGTGTTTTATGATGGAGATTGGATGAACGAAGTCAATAATCAATAACTTCCCGCCGCTATTTTGTTTAATATGATTAGCATTCAAGACTTTATCTGATATTTAACTTTTAACGTACTCTCGTAGCAACTTTCGGAGGCGTTCTAGTGGAAGCTGTGCAGTATCCACGTTATGAGGTAACTGCGGGTATACATCTGTTAGATAACGACGTTCGATCACATTTAATATATAGACACTTATACTTTAAGAAGACTTACATTCACAGCTATGACAAGATCATAGGACTTCTCTTCGTACCCTTGATGAACCGGGTCTTGTTCGACATTGAATGAACGTGCTTGAGCTTTCGCCAGCGTACCTAATCTTCCCAAAATAGATTTGGCCCTTGATTCCGAAGAGTCGGTGATATCATAGTGTGAGAACCGGTAAAGAGTGCCCTCCGATGTTTGTATGGCGAATGAATCAATGATAGACTCTGTAATTGATATATTACCGGCTCCTGTTTGTAATATCTTCATGGCAGGGCTTTTATGAGTTACAGTGTCAATATATCTGTGTAGTGGGTTATAGAATCTAGAGTCTTTGATCAATAGTCTATGATACTCCTCGATAGTTTTGTCTTGGTCAAACTTTTCATTGGGATCTGCTGTTCCTAGAAAAAGGCGGACGAGATGATCGCTAAAATCGAGAAATATCTTTCCAACACTACTGCATGACTTGATATAATCTCTCAATCCATTGAATGAGGAGTCGTCGGTGTGGTCTATCCAATCCGTAGGAAAGTCTAATGGTAGGTGCTGCATAGTCGAAGGAATATGACTTATCATTCGGGCATACTGATTTTGAAAGTTCCTCTTTGCTGTGAAATCGGATGATGCATTTACTCCATTTACTGCTTTAACGACTGATATAAATATAAACAATGTCAAATTGTGAAAGAGCTTGTTTGCCCAGGCTTCACTGTGAGTGTTATCTTGCATATGTCGTGCTAATACAGCAGGGTTGGCTAGATCGAGATTAGGCTTGTATATGAGGTCGTAGCATAACCTCCTTACTTGTGATTGACCTGTCGGTTCGTGATTCTGGGCGTTGTCTATGACCAAGGTAGTCTCAATATTTTCCGCCTCGATGAGCCGTATTGTTTTACCTTCGTTCATAGCATAGATATTGGAACTTCTAAACCTGGAGCTTATGGGATGGCCTGTTGTGTAGATCTGTAACGTATCTTCATTTGCTATTTCGTTGAAGCCAGAACCGGAAATCCATATTCTGGTTAGATATGTAGGAAGCCACGTTGTAGTCTTGTTACCATTCTTTCGAATACCACCGAAAACAGCTAGTTGGAGGATTTCATCGAGTACGCATGGATGAACTATTGCGAAGCTTTTGTTGGAATGGTCAATTGCAGGGTTTTGTAATTGCATTTTGGCCACTCCTTCTTCGTTGGAGTTGTTCCATAATGATTGCCGAACACCCTGGAAGAAAGGGCCGTACTGGTATCCGTTCTTGCGCAGAGTAGTGTAGAAGTCTGTCGAGTCAATCTTGGTGTGATCTGAAGAAGTTACTGATCTAATAAGATTCCGCTTGTAGTCAACTTGCTGTTTTTCTTCACCACATTCAAACCGATTTTGCAGAGAGAAAGTCGCTTTTATGGATCCCCGGCAAATTTCTGTGAACTTCTCCTTATATGCAAATAGGGAAAATGTAGCCCAAGAGCTTGATCTTTCCGAAGGGTCTTGTATAAGCTTGAGATGAAACTGCACTTCAACACCGCTGTCGTCTGTGGGTATGGGAAGCGCCGTGTGAAAATGCACATCTTTTAGCTCATATGCTGTTATCGTACGATCATCCGACACTTTAGTGATACCTTCAATTGCCATCACAATCATAGCCGCAGCAGGATATAAGACTTCGTTATTGATCTAATATTCATGTTAGCAATGGTTTAGTGAATCGAAAGGCTCATATAGTATTACTTGATGATCCTCTAGCCACGAAATTGACGATTTCTTTAGATTGTTCCTCCAGCGGGGCTCCAGCGGGTTCCAGTCCGCGGCTGGAAGCCCTAGGAGTTCATGATGTGGGTATAACGGGAGTCGAATATTCTTCGCAATACGTGGCTCGCTCCAATATAGCTGTGAATGGTCGTAAGGATACTCGGGTAATGTTATCAATGTTTTAGATAGCCTACCTGACGCTTCGAAAGGACCATTGACAAGCTGTAAGTCAATATCAAAGCCGCGACAGTGAAGATTACCTATCAACTCGAGCAAAGTAGTATCGGATGCTTTCCCCCTTACTAGGGCAGAGTTGTATGAAACTTGGAATTTCGGCAATGCAACAGACATCCCTATATCGCGAATCGGTCCTTGTAAAGCACAATGTGGGCCGACCTCAACCAGGTTGGATATCCTGACATATTGACGATGACTCAGATCAATCTTCTTTGCTGCCCTTCTCGCAGAGTTGCGATATAGACGTTCGATGGCATTATCAAAGCGCACCGGAGAGACCATGTTTGTAATCCAGTACTCAGGTCTTCGAAGCTCAGCTCCCGAAACGAAGTCTCCAGTGACTGATGATATCATATTCACATAATGAGAAGGACTATCCCCTTCGACCAGTCTGCCGATGAGCTGTTTATAAGTTGATGAGATTGAGATCATATGGGAAGTGTGATAGGCAACGGGGACCTTTAGTATCCTGGCAAACAACCCCCTTTTCTCTAAGCGGGTCTGTAAATCTCGGATAAGGGGCTCATCACCTGCAACAGTTGTGCTATTGGGGCTATTGAAACAGGCTATCGACAATGTACCGCCTTGTGTGTCTCCCAAAACCTCGTTAATATACGGGCGTAATGTAGATTCGGATAATCCTACAGCCATCATTGCGCCCTGAGATTTATCTACTGAAGAAGCGGCGAGTTCGCTTGAAAGAAGGCCGCGGAAATACGCAAGTTTCAATGCAGACTGGCGACAAATAGCTCCGATCGTATACGCTGCTGCAATTTCACCGCTTGAATGTCCGACAGAAATAGTTGGATGGATACCAAATGATCGCAGAAGATCGACGATGGCAATTTGTACTATAGTGCAGAGCGGCTGCGCGAATCGAGGGTCATGAATGCTTATTTCATCCCCATAGTTCCCAAGTAATATATCTGAATAAACTAGTAAGATTCGAAATCCATAATAGGTACATACTTAAATAGGCTTGCTTACCACTAGCTTTCCAAGAACACCCAATAGTTTGGAGAAACTTATCCGCCTGAGAAATACAATTCTTGAAGACTGTATAAGGAAAAAGCTCCCTAGCCATTCCGACCCATTGTGCCCCTTGGCCTGTGAAAACAAATGCTATTTTTCGATTGGGCGTTGATAGGATGGGCTCTATTGTGGCAGATAGTTGCTTTGCAAGGTGAGATGCGGATTTGGCGATTGCATAAAATCTCCATGAATGTATGCTACGCTTTTGAGTGAGCATATATGCTAGAGTTATGAGATCTCCTCGAGTCATTTCGCCGTTATTTACTCCTTTATCAATATGCTTCTGATAGGCTCTGGCCATACGTAGTGTGGCATCTCGATCCGCAGCAGACCAGACAAAGAGAAGTTTGCTACGACGAGAGAGGCCATTTTCAGATCTAGCTGCTAAGTGGGAGCTTAGCATATGTTCGCTGGATAGGTTGGTTGACGTGCAATGCCTGCCTGCCAACCCCCTAGATTCTAGATAATGGAATGCGTCATCTAGGATAACATGCGCATTTGTCCCTCCAAATCCGAAGCTATTGACGCTGGCGCGGCGTAACCCTATGCTTGGCCATGGTATCGGAGTTTTTGGGAACTAAACCACATTTTAATAAATAAGCAGGTACCTAACTTGGTCATAGTATAACAAACGTACTGTACCTTTAAGTTTAGAAACTCAGTATCAATATTTTCATTGATGTTTTCGAGCTCTGCTACGGGAGGAATGATACCATTTTCTAGAATCAGAATGGTTTTGATTACTCCGGCAATTCCTGCTGCACCTTCGAGGTGTCCGATATTTGCTTTCACGGCCCCTCTAGTAAGGTATTAGTCAAAATGGTATTGGCAGGGGAAGAACAGAGAGCTGGCTTACACAACCAAGGGATTACTTGGATCTCTACCTGAACGAAATGCATCTCCGATGGCGCTTGCTTCTAAAGGATCTCCTGAAGCTGTCCCAGTGCCATGAGCTTCGAAGTATCGCGTTTGGGACATATCGAGGTTTGCCTTGTGATATGTATTCTGTATAAGCTGTCTTTGCATTTCCTTGTTTGGTTGTGCAAGATTAGTATGCCCATTTTGATTCGTGCCTACGGCCCGAATCACAGCACGAATTATATCGCCATCTCGTACAGCTGCGTCTACGGGTTTTATGATGAGGACACCAAACCCTTCGCCTCGACCGTATCCATTCGCTCGAGAATCGAAGCTGTGGCATACGCCATCCGGGGATAGGAAGCCGAGGTTAGAAAGACTTATGAAAAGATCAGTTGTCAATAAAAGGTTGCAGCCAGCGACAATGCCCTGGAGACCAGTTAGCAAATTCAATAAAATAACGTGATATAACGAAATAATATTAGTTGTATACGAACCATCTTTGATCGACCATCTATTATAGATTGGCAAGCTAAATCTAAAGCTACGAGGCTACTAGAGCAGGCAGTATCGACAGTAATGCTGGGGCCTGTCAAGCCGAAAAATGTGCTGATCCTATTGGACAACATACTACCCGCCATTCCAGTAGCAGCATATTTAGGCAAGTTATCCGGGTCCTTTGCATAGTTCAGAGCATAGTCTGTAGTAAAGCAGCCGGTGTGCACAGACGTATCTGAGTTATTGATCATCGCCATCGGAATCCCGGCTGAGAGGTACTTAATGTTAATAGGACAATTGTATACGACATGGGTTGGAATAGCTGGATACTAGAGTATTATGTATAGATATATCATACCATTCTCAAGAGCACGGTAAGTAGTTTCCAGAAGTATTCTTTGCTGGGGGTCCATTGCTGCTGCTTCCTCGGACGTCATCATAAAGAACCGGGCATCGAATGAACTGATGTTTCTTCGTATAAAAGAAGCTTTCTGGGGCCGAATCTGCATGAGGGTTACTATGCCGAGAGTCCCTTACATCATGTTATATCAGGGGTAAAATATGGGACCAGTATTAAACTTGATAGGGCTGTGAAAATAACGCGTTACTTACGGTTCCTGTTCCATCATTGCCACCATCGTGATGTCTAGAATTACAAAGACGTTCCGGAGGAAACTCGGAGGCTACACATTTACCAGATATTAAAAGGTCCCAGAACGATTCCGTAGAGTTGGCCTCTGGCAGTAGGAAGGAGAGGCCGATAATAGCAATGTCACATAGTCCATGAGTCGTTGTACTATTGGTCTTAGACGAACTAGATCGTCTAGATGTCGGTCTCATTGGAATACCGGGGATTTGGTATTCGTCTTGGATTTAGGGTAATATTGCCTACACTATGTAGCAGTTGCCGAAGCAAGGGATTGAAGACGGGAAGGTGTTTACCGAAATGCGGATGTCGAGAGAAGCCGGTAGTGTATGTGATTGGCGTAGTACGAACGATGAGCAGAATTCACATAATACCATACTACCTCATACACTACCCACCATCATCATCACCATCTTCCAATGAATCGGCCATGTCATATTACAACCATAGTACTTCATATGCATAAATGATTGCAACCATAGGTAGGCTTTCGTGTTACACAGTTATCACTTACGTGTGCGTATACGTATAATACAGTGTCTAGAAGGATCGAAGAACTTTTCTTCGTTATATGAGTTGTTGTATGTCAAGAGCTCATGGGGTTTAAGTCTGACTTTATCGAGCATGATGAATTGAATGCTAAAAAAGATGTTTCGTTGTAGATTTTTAAAATGGAGCCCCGCCCCGATCCAATACCCTCCACAGTGCATCTTGTACCTTCTCTCCCGGTAGCCCCTATTATGTATTACCGTCTTTGCACCATCCTTCCCGGCTCCAGGATGTGAGACAGCTTCTATTTCTCCACCAGACAGAACGAATTAAAACTTGGGTTCAGCTCACTCTTTGCAGAATCCTGGCCCCAACGTAACGAATATTTTTCTAATAGGTAACTGTGTGCCGACCCTTGAATTATCATACACCATTCCCACCAGGCTAGGCACCTTAGTTACTTAGATAAAAAATGCGCTTTCTATGTCTACACGGGTCGGGAACCAATTCGCAGGTGAGCTAGTACTCAATATCATTTCGCGGCATGTTTGTTAAGCAACTCTTTAGATTTTTGAGACCCAGACTGGTGAGCCTTTAAGAGGTCTACGAAGCTTCGACATTAGACCCCGCAAAACTAATCTATTTTTAAAGCTGCCCTTCGTTATGAGTTGGGGGATCGCCATACGTACGAGTTCGTGGAGGGCGCCTTACTAAGCATAGGGGCACCCGAACTCGACGGAATGATTTCCTCAAAGGATGAATTCTTCTCGTATATCGATCTAGATAATAAGGAGACCTTCATATCAATACTTACAGATCTCGACAATTATGTCTCAGAGGAAGGGCCATTCGATGCTGTTTTGGCTTTTTCTCAAGGAGCTATGGTTGCAGCAACCTATATTGTTTGGAAAGCAAGGCAAACCCCCAAGCAACAACCGATAGCTTCCCTCTTCAAGTGCGCCATATTCTTTTCTGCATGGAATGCGTATGATCCCGACCTCTTTTCACAGGGGATACTTCGTCCTTTGACATCATTGACTGATAATGGGGCAATTCATATCCCCACGGCCCATATATGGGGACTAGGTGATCCCTCTTCAACCATGGCTTCTAATGTAAGCGGGATTTGTGTACCAGAAATGAGACAAGTTTATGTTCATTCTGGTAGCCACGAAATTCCAGGAGCTAGGATGAGTACCGCAGTCAAACTTAGTGTGAGGATAATCCGCAGGGTTGTTTCGCTAGCTATGGAGATCGATCACCAAGCAAAGCGAAATATCCATAATATGTAATAATCAGATTCATGACCCGTGGTGTTACCTCAGGAAACCGACACTCGTATATTTAAAAGAAATCAAGATCATTCAACCCTGATCGGATTCCTTCGCCACATCAACGCTATACTAAGCACGGATGCAACTGCGAATCCAAGCACAACATGCATTTCGAGATTAAAACCCCTAACAAATATATTTCTAATGCTAGGCTGTAATTGCTTTGGAAGTTCGTAGATAGAGGCTGTCGATTGAAAGATTCGGTCGATTTGAGAAGATGTTAGCGAGCTGGACAGTTCATCTTTTACCCATCCATTACCCACCGCAGTGGTGATGGGAACTACAAAAGCGCTGCCGAGAAAGCGAAATTGAGTTCCAGCTGCAGATGCTATCGCTGTTTTAACTATTAGCTATATTTTCGTGGCGTTGATATATCATGAATAATCGAGGTCCTTACCTAAATCCCTCTTTTCTGTCACATAGGGTGTCAGCAATGTTACTATTCCTATACTCATGCCCATCCCTAAACCAACTAGAACTTCGAGCCCATATAGAGGGTCCCAGTCTGGATTATCAACAGGGCCTCGGGAGATGAAAATAAGCCCCAAAATTTGTAAGATTGAGGCGACGAGAGCTGAGTATAGTGGGGGGACGCGTCGGTTCATAGAGATAGACGCAGTAAGAATAACACCAAGAGGTCCACATAATACAAATGGCAGTAACCTTACGCCAGCTTCGAGTGGGCTAGCTCCTACTGTTGTCTGGTACCGGATAGGAAGTTGGATAATGCACGTTATACTGACCGATCCGGTCGTAAAAGAATTCCTTCCATAACATCGTTAACGACATTATAGTAGTTAGAAGTGGAGATACAATAACTTACACTAGAAGGCCAATTATCTCTCGACTTTGACAGAACCTCCAAGGGAAAATGGGTTCCACCGGACTCGTGGGGCGGGTAAAGTACCACTGGCTGACGAAGAATACCACCCATATGACAACCGAAACACAAATCGGAACAATAACGGTAGCAGATGCCCAGGATAATAGTGAAGCAGCTTGTTCAAGCCCGCTTATAAGCAGTGTTAGTGCTGTAAGCATGAGAAGTGCCCCAGTGAAGTCAAGAGCCTTGAATTTGAGCTGTGGCTTCCTTCGCGGGAGACCCTGATATGGGTAATCGTTCGGCACCATGAAGAAAACCACGACTGCTACGAGAACCCCTGATGGAACACTTCGTTAAAGTTAATACTATGCGGATCTAAGATAGGACTGCAACTTACTTGAGGAGAAATACCCATCGCCATGTTGACCCCTGAGATATCAAGCCGCCAAAGATAGGCCCCAAGGCATTTCCAAGCGCTGCTGCACCAGCTGACACAGACGCGATTTGGGCGAGTTTATCAGGTGGTTTCAACTCGTAGAGCATAACTATGGCTACTGCATAGACACCTCCAGCTCCGAGGCCTTGGAACACGCGACAAGTTATTCTATATGAGTGTTAAATAAGGACACAAGAAGAGGAAGAAAGGAGTGGGTGAATGATGAAAAGAGTACGGACAATTGAACCATAGTCTGAGCTGCACCACATCCTCCCGCAAATGCGCTGAAGACAATTAGAGAAGCAACGTAGGCCGGTTTGCGTCCTACATGGTCGCTGACTTTTGCCCATAGCACTAACCCAGCTGATTATTCAATTAAGCAGCAGGACATCAGAAAATCGGAATCGAACTTCTTACATATATATGTTATTAAATATGCGGTAACCACCCAACTGGCCCTTACGAAATCATTGAGATCGTTGGTAATGGAAACGAGAGCAGTGCCGATAATGGTGAGTTCAAGGTTGACGAGGAAGAGTGCAAAACCTAGCCTTTATCTGAGTTAGCGAATAGCTCCCCTAAAATAAGTTTTTGGGGAAATACGCTGTTATTATAACGTGAGACTTCCATCCCGTTATATAATTAAATCCATTCTCGCCTTGGCCCTGTATAGAGGCTTCATTTCCGCTTTGTGGCCCGTCGGTCAATTCTTCCATTACAAATTTAGAACCGGGTTCGATCACACTAGTACCACAAGTCATTGTAAGAACCATAAAAAGGGTCTAGTAAGCTTAACAAAGTTGATTATGGCACACCCGGATTGAAACGTCTATATAAAGATAGAGGTGCTTTCAAGCCAGAGTTATAGGAAAAGTGATGAGGGAAGATAGATATTGTACTTTGAAAGGGCATTGTAATTCATAGTTAGCTATATGAGTGATATAAATAAAAAACCGACAGTAGGTTGAAGACTCCCTTGCGTTGGTTAGTTAGTCTGGTAGTGAACTAATAACCAACAGACAAGGGATCCAAAGCCCCGGGTACGATCCTACGCCACCATAGAACTTCTAAGATATAATATATAATACAAAGTCTAAGGTGTCGATTTTTAGTTATAATGTAGTTTAAAATCAACCATTGAATCAATACAAAGTTGATTCACATGTTTACCACGAATCTAAGATTTCAGTGTACCCACCTCTTGAAGCACCATGCTATCTACTGGCCCGAATAAAACGCTCCCAAGATCACTTTCATATTTTCAGGACTTATACCCGTTGGTTTATATCATACACAGAGTGAATATCAAGTAGGTAGATCAGGTGGTAGATAGTATTGCACTAGTAACGCCTGGCCTTCTACTCTCTTACGAGGGTGCTGCGCGCCCCTTATATAGTAGATAGAGCCACTATGTTTCTAAAATGAAGGGCTCATTATCCCGCAGTATATGCAAACTTTTTTTAGGTTCGATAACAGCAGTCTGTTTCTATAAACCAGGTGTATATAGAAAGTTAACTTAGGTATATGATGTGCACCTAGATTGAGTACCTAAAGCAGTTACCATCTCCACTCATACTTCTTCTACTTTACTAAGTCTTGCTAAAGGAATTAAGGTAATATATCTTGATGTATTTGGATATATAATTTTATCAACGTGATCTCTCGTCTGCTAGTAAGGGAGATTGCTATTAATGAACATTATATGACATTCTGAAAGGTGGTTGGGGGCATTTACGTCAGGGGAAACCGAGCTAACTATGACATGTTGATAATGGAATTTACCCCTTGTAAAGTATTACTTCAAAATACGTAACTACTTGAATTATACGTTTATCCCATAATCCACTATATTCAGCAGCCGCGGTAACGAGTTTGGCTCAAGAGGCTAATGGCACGATCAAACACAAAATCGATAGTTTACCATGGTTACACTAATAGCTCTATGGTAGAGACTTCTGATAAGCATCACCATCAAAATCCCGACTTTGCAAGAGATGATATTAAGTGGCGGGGATATAATATTAATTCAATACACATATCCTAGAGAGCTACTCAGTACAGCCCCAAAGACCACATAAAACCTATTGAATCTTGAAACATCCCTTTAGAGTACCATAATGATCAGGGTGTATTTTCTTATTATTATACTCGATTTTCCCGAATGCTGGGAAGCCATGAACTCTGTTTACCCTGTTGATCTGTTACTAAATCCTCATCACGACTTTCTGTTACCATAATATCGGTGGTGCAGACGATTCCGTATTGCTGATCTGTAGGCCTACCAGTCTCAAATCTGCCTAAGACCGTAGAGTTTGACTCGTCAATGTGATGGTACTGGCGGGGATCTGATCCGAGCCCTGCAGGCGTCCATATATCCTCACTCTTTCTTGCAGGGCGTCTAACCCAGTAAGAGACATGTGAGCTTGCCCAAGAGTTAACTGCAGAAGCCCACTTGAGTTTAAAGCCCCGAAATAGCTTTGGTACCACGGGCGCGCAGAATATCATTGTACCGCATGTCGATTCGGCAATGGCCCAGAGCGCCACTGCGGAGTAATGATAGGTTAAGTCATTCGACTCGACCCAATTAATTATGGCCGCGAAAAGGCCTATCGCAGCAATGCAAGCACTGTGTTGTTTTACTCTATTAGCATGCCTAACTCCGTGAAGCTCGAGTGCACCGAACCCACAAGATACCGACGGCGAAAACTGTAGAAAGTCCGAACTTTTTAGCATCCGACATTTTCAGTTTCCAGATAATTCCCTGCGGTAATATCAAAATGGCGATGTTGAGTACGACGTTAGTGGCAGTGGCAGCAATGTTGATGGCTTTCAGGTCGATGCAGGTTCCCGCCACAGTTTTATCCCAGATCCTTTTATAAGGAGTACAAGATAAATTTAGCGCAATTATAAGGGAGGCGTAAAATAAAGGGGTAAATATAAGCAAGACTTTGCAGCACCGATGGAAAGTGGTCCTTGTATTTGCGGCGGAGAATATGTGAATCCATTCAAGAAGGATAGCCGACTTCATCAGCGCGGTGCTGGCAGCCCAGAAGCACATACCCATAAATATGACCTAAAAGCTTTTAGTATACCTTAGGTGACAGTTAGAAACTGCGTACATCGAACCGTACCTTGAGATATTCAGCTATATCCCTTCCGCGAAAATCCCACTCGTGTATAAAGATTCCCGTAGCTCCAAAGATCCGGCGCAGGGACCCCACGGCTGTAATGACCCAAAATGGCTACAATCTAGTCAATTTGACTCAGCAAATGGGGTTTTTGTTCTGGTCTTACGTATGCTAAAATCATTAAATCTGTCGGTTCTTAATTAGCATCGCATAGCCTTACAAGTTAACGGGACTCACAGTCTCCAATATGCTGCTGTCTCATCTTAAAAAATCTCATGTATATTCTAATCCCTAGAAAGGTTGATCCTACTACTAAGCAGAGAAAGATCGAAACTAGAGATATGGTGTTCTTGTTCAATGGGTGTTCGAAGTTCGGATGAACACCGTCTGGCGGCTTCAGGGCGGGACTATCCAGGGCAATCTCAAGGTCGGCAGGTGATAAATTAGAAAAGTCAAGGTTTGACATCTTGGGCTCTTGAACAGGTTGTAAGATAAGATAGTATCTTCAAACAAAGGTGAAAAGGAGAACATGTAAGAGATGGGTTTTGCTTAAGAGCGACGTTTGATGATCGGACATGTTCCGAAAATATAAGCCTGGGGAGTTAGACTGGGATTGGAGTGCTTAGTATATGTTGGATGTCGGTTACCAACGCAGTCATACCATCAGTAGCGAGGGTGGCGGAACTTTTGATGTCTTGCTGGCTACCTGTAGGCTGAGTTGATCGGCAGCTGGTAATGCATATTGGCGGTGATACAGATATAAACCTTGGGTTACATCCAAGTGTCCAACACTGACTACCGAACTTTGACTCTCGACAAATCGTATCTTCCCCATACATATAATGATGTACTTTAACGGGTGTGTAATATAGAAATTTTTATTATTTGGTATTGCTATTCCGACTGGATTCCGTCCCTTTGTTCTCAATGCATTATTGTGCTAAGAGGTACCTAAGTAAATTCAAAGAAGTATACGTAATGTATGTGAAATAAGCGATATATCGCCGAACGGTAATTTCAAAGATAGGAGGTAGTAAAGTGTTTGATGAGTTAGCTCTTTGCTCCAACATCTTAAATATACTGACATCGGAAGTGGAGCTCGGAGTTTCCAATGAATACTACGTAGATGGTTGATTAGTCCTATTTACCGCCCAAGTTCATTTGATGGCCAGTGTTGGTTGCAACACTGCTCACTATGCATAGACTCACATCTACCAACCATTCAGAGCGCGTTTTTAATACACTCTCGCGAAGACACAGGAATTAAAAGTTTTGTAGCTTTCATTTCCTAGATTAACCGCGGGCCTAACCTTGGGTACCTAGTTTATTCTTAGGTCGAATATTAAAGGCTTTTAAGATATCTCGGATAATTTCTGATCTTTTCCCTATTGGTAAGAGGCTCAACTTGCGTCACGAAGAGAAAGCGCTAATATTCCTCCTGTGGCGCTTATCACATATTATTGTCTTGCGTAGGTACCTAGGTATCTATACGTTTTTAGGCTACGGTGCGTAGTGCGTAGTGCGTAGAACCATACGGTACCCCCCATATTATGTGGAATATGCTAGTGTTCAAATAGAAATACTTATAGAATATTTATTTACCTTGCATGTACTTGGTGTTTTATAAAAAGGAATTATACAAGTTGATCAACTGCCTAACTACCTCCTAAACTACCTAGTTACATTAATACTTTAACTTAGCCAACTATATGCCTCTTGGAATTAATACAAATTTATCTATGAACGAAATTATCGGGAGAAACATCTATTATATCTACGAAAAGGTAGTGTTTCATAGAAAGTGAAAAGGAATGATTTTTTGAACGGCGCGGACGTGGATGTTTTATATTTAGCGATCTGAAATGATCTCTACAGTAGACCATTGGAAATATATCCCCGGGGGTGACATTGTTAAAGCTACGGACGTATGAATAGGTAAGTACTTGATTCGCCTTTTGAAACACGATAACCGAGTACGGGCGGCCTTTTTACAATCCCTCCGATTCGGCCCCCACTTTCGGCCCCCACTAGACCCCGCCCCCGTGTTGCGGGCCCCGCATTAATCTTTTGTCCACCAAGGCAGCAAGGGATATAGTAAGCTTAGATATAGCCTTTACTTCGTGTTACCTTAATACTCATTGTGTAAGACATTGTTCGTATACCTAGCCATTTAAACTCTAAGTCTCGGAAGTCTTTGTATACCTACCTAGATATGGTGGCAGCCTCAAGCCGAAATCGATCTAGCTTGTAAAACTACTACGTCCTTTTATGGCTGTAAATCACATGCTATCAAAGTCAGGAGAAGGATAAGGTGCACCCACATTTATACAGATAGTAGTCGGATAAACAAGGCACGTTCTTATATCTTCGAAAGCTGTAAAATATTTGTTGGTGTTGAAATGGGTGGTCAAAGGACTGCTTTCAGGTACAGTATAACTATGGTATCTTGGTATGGAATGTATAGGTACCTACCTAATATAAAAAGGACCTCCCTTCTCAGCCATACTGTTGGTATACTTAGTCAATATAGAATCACGGCTCATATACTGTATTTTTCAGCAATTAATTCCAATAGCTGCTTTGTTAAGCTTCTGTCGTCGCTTACATTGCCTATAAATGGTAGGCTCTAAGAAATGCTTATTAAGCTGAAAAGATACCTTCTTTGTCTATACTATACAGTGAACTAATTATATTTTCCTAGTGACAACCAGATAGAAAATGCATAAAAGTGCCTTTAGCCTTGTTCGTACATCTGTGCTTTTAAGTCTTGCATAATGAAATTCAATTGGCGTAGTTTACTTTTAAGCTAAAGTAAGTGCTATAAATTATCTAGGTCTTCTAGATATTATCGATATTATATAGTTACGATGCTATCAGATAATTGCCTTTAAACATATACGACAGTCACGTCAAACTAGTTACTTGGGTGAATTTGAATATGATTTGAGTATCACCGACACCATACCACTCCAAGCTATCGACACCGGTGGTTCTCATTAGTGGTTAGAAAATTAATTTTACTATAATGGTAAGACATCTCAGATAAACACTAAAGTAAGGCCTTGCGATTTGGCTTGTTTAGCCCCAAGGGTATCAAGGGTAGCTACACCGCTCCACTTGTGTTGCTAGTTTATAAGCTTAAAATAAACGCATAAATCACGAATAGACTCGAAAGTCATAGAAATAACTTCATTATACCACGAGGAGCTTTAAAAATAAGCCATGGGAGTCCTTAAATATGTATACTAAAAGCATTCTGCATTTTAAAGGTCTCGTCCTAGATCACAGAACTGTAGTTGACTTAACTTATGGGTATAATTATTGGATGGTAATGTTCCAATGACCAAGATCTAGGAACATATTAACTTTAAATTCTAATTAAGACGTTATATGAGATATCTACCATATCACTTGGGAGGTATTTAAGTTATAAGTCGGCAGAGTAAATTTTTTTTATCGGACTTAACAGGCTCACCGCCGTCTCCCGAGCTTCGTCTAGAGTTATGAGGCCATTTGGATCCGGGCGAAAGTGGGTCGCCGGCGTAAATCCGGGGCAAATAGATTTCGGAAGTGAAAGTAAAATTAAACGTCGCAGGTAAGACATACTAACTATCACCTTTATCGAGTCGACTTAGATTTAGACTCCGCTTATCAGACTACTTTTATTTAGAACACCTAATGTGTATATTATGTGTAGGGCATAGACATGAAGGTAACATTAAGCTGTGGATTTAAACACTATACATGACCTGTATATTGCGTGTCGGTTTGATTTTCCAGTGCTATGTGAGGAGAGGGAGATACCGGTTATATGCATTTCATATAAAGACATTATGTCTTGTATCTAAATACAGACAATAAAAGGAATAAGTATCTCTCATTTCGTCATTCCGGCATAGTTACCTGGATCATATTATCAATCTTGGATGATGAACTGGAGAAGTTTTAACCAATGAATCATTGATTGATTGTTACATTAGGTGTTGTTATGAGTAGTGATGATACACTGCTGAACAATTAATCATTTCTCTACTTCTAGACTTTTCCGTTTGCAAACAACTCCCTGTCATTGTAGTACGTCCGGTATATGCGTCTCGGATGTTGTGACTGTGTAGTTTATTTTGCTGTTACACAGACTATATCTTCCCCTTTTTTTATATTTATCAGCATACGAACAGAGTATAATGCAACATTTTCTCACGGGATTGTTTTTATTCAACTGTACATATCCATTATTTGCGCATATATATAAATATATACTCTGGCTAAAGCATACCTAATACGTGAATAATGAGTCATGTGTAGGATTCATAGGATTTCATGATCTGTAGGTTTTTACTGATCCCAATCTCTATGATTACGTGGAGACTGAGTATTGAAATGCCGGGATAGTAACCCAACCCCAGCTAGTCTCTTACGCACTGGCGCCTTTTTGCATGCGAGCTAATCCTTCACATAAGCGCGAGTTTAGTATTTAACTTTCCATCGTTTCCAAGCTAAAACATGGCAGTTCCATGTCTTCTACACCGCAGTTTCCCGAGCACTAAGGCATACATAATGGCTTTCAAGACAGCAATTGTAAGAAGAGCTTCTACCCCCTATTAGACTCTTCCAGAAGGCTAACCTGTCATAGTTGGTCATCGTTCTAGCGGCGCTGTCGCCAAGCCTCTATGACTTGGCACAGAAGTTATTGTTAATGTACAGCAATGCGCCGGAGCGGTTTTTAACCATAAATAACCTCAACTCCTCTGAGATAAAGTTTTCAGACACCATTAGAAGCTGTGAAGATGCCCTACTAGTTGAATCTAAAGGCCTTGCTATTGTTGCTTGCGACTCTGGACGGGAGGTGTGGAATGCGGTAATGGTAAGTCTTATTATTTAGCCTAACTATACGTGATCCGCTTCAAGCCACTCGTTTAGCCCACATATTCTAAACTTCAACAGGGAGTCTTCATTCCGGGGCCAGTAGCTAACGCCGAGATCTATGCCTACAACTATGGCAGTTCCGGCATTCCCGACTCTGAGTCGTTGACCCGTTTTGAGATACTGGGATACGAGCCTGGTGCAGATTTCCATACATTAGGTATGGCTTACGACGAAGATACTTCAACTCTCTTTGTTACAAACCATCGTAAAGAGGGTAGAACTATCGAGTTATTCAACTTAGATCTTGATACATTCACGGCCAAGCATTTCCGAACAATCCGTCATCCTCTTTTTCGTAACCCAAATTCGATTGCTCTACTCAATAGCCAGGAGTTTCTTGTTACGAATGATCACCACTTCCTCATGGAGGATTCTCGCTTCCTTTCTACAGCGGAGACCCTCCTAGGTCTCCCTCTCGCTACTGTCTTACATGTCGACATATCACCCCTTTTGGAGGATCCCGCTACGCCTGCCAAGGTAAATATCGTTGCTCGTCTCCCTTTCCCGAACGGTATCGAGATCGTAAACGAAACTACTGTGGCCATAGCCTCAACTACCAGCACGGCAGTATATTTTTACACTATTACGAAACCCAAGTCAGTCAACACAACTTCTCCCACACTTACTTATAAATCAAAAATCAAGTTCCCTTTCTGGGTTGACAACATTCAAATCTCGGAAAGTGGGACTATATTTGCTGCCGGTCATCCCCATCCCCCGACGCTAAGTAAGTATGCCTTTTCCCGCCACGACTGCGGCTCGCCTGAGATATTGGCTGCCGCAGATCCCTCATTCCAAGAGTACTGTAGAACAGCCCGAGCATTTTCTGGGGTTTCTAAGTGGACTGAGTCAGGAGGTGTCGAACATATTTACTTTAGCGACGAGTACCCTAGTAGTTCTACAGCAGTGTTCGACTCCAATAGGAAAGTCGGAATAATCACAGGTTTATATGCCAATGGGATACTCGTCTGGAGGGAATGAGGTGGCTCGTACCATTTATTATATCTCAGGAAAATATTAAGCCCAGCCGAAGGGTCGATTTATTTTTGGGACTGGGCTTTTTCAGGGATATAATGGAGATATTTAGACCATAAGATACAGAATTATTTGCATTTACGCATTATACAACTCTATACACCAGATAGTCCTTTACAGGACAATTAAGATGAACCGAGTTTAGCCGAATTATAGTTAATTTGCATATGTTTTTTTAGGTACTATGAAATTATAACTGAATATAATAGCATTTGTTGAACGATCTAATGATAACTAGATAGTAACCTAGCTACTAGCTGACAAATTAATAGAAGTCTTATCAACTCCCTTCTTTAAAAAGAAGGACGACGTCCCCGGGGTCGGGGGGTTGTAGAATTCAAGCGGAATTATCTCTTGGTGGAAGCCATTCTTCTCGTCAAAATCGTATGCTCCAGGAAGAGGTTGTCTCAAAGCTTCGGTCTTTCTTCTAAGGTGCTGGGGAATTTTTTATTTTATCATCGTACTAGGCTTAATGTGCTTAAAGCTATTGTCACTCCATTTGAAAATCTACCGAACTCGGGTGTTTCGCAATTCCTTTGCAAATCTTCGCTAGTCTCTCCTTCGAGGGCTGCAGCCGTCTGTGCGAAAGATGCATTCTCCTAGATAGTTCCCAATTGCCAATCATCGTGGTAATCTTTCAGTGCAAGCCAGCATAAACTATTCAGTTCCAAGATGTATTCGATTTCTCTTGGGGGTGTTCCGTAGTCCTGTTTGCGGCTATCCCCGTATATTCGTAGGGCTTCCAGTTCGGTTTCCGTGGAGGAGGGGGTTTAAACCCGATAACGGACCGAATTGAAAATCATTCCGTTGTCGATATTCGCATATCTTAAGTATTTTATAGTGACTTGCTTAATCTTAAGTTATTCAATGGGAAGGTTATGTAGAGAGTCCTGTATTGTGTGATGTGTCTTTTCAGGTGTGTTTGGTCTGGTTGATGCATTCTGTTCGGGCTCAAAGGTTGAGATGTGAAACAGATATTTTCCGGAATTTTATTGTTACTTTCTTTTATCACTATCCGATGATTCCCACCGCCGTAATACGCTGCCATGTTGTAGTTTAGAACCCCGTGCCTGCCGAGGTACGACAGGAACGCGGCTTGGGAACCATAGATTCGGTAGAGAGACATCTATGGGAAACTGTATCAGGGACTTCAGGTTAAGATCTTTGGTGTATGGGGCGTGTAATAGTCCGGTATTGACCTTCTTTAAGATAAGTGCTTGCTTATTTGGAAAAGGTATTATTCCCTTGTAAATAAGTCAGTAAACATAGGTACCTGCCAAATCGCGTTGTCTCGCCGAACTTGTTGTCACCGAATCCTGTTGTCTCGCCGAATTTTGGGACAGGCTTAATTCCCTCGCCGAATCTCGAGGTTGGCGTTTTGGTTTTCTGTGCGATTTCCTCATTCTTCTCCACAAGTTCGTCTTGTTCGGAATCGTCGATCTGGATAGGTTGGTCTCGGGCTGAATCTTTGGGTTTCTTCCCGGTCTTCCCGGGTTTCCTGGCGGCTCTCGCTTCTCTGGCCTTTTTGGCGTTGGTCTGCCTAACTTTCTTCAGCGCATCCTGTGCGCTGGCGAGAGCCTCGTAATACTTCAGCCAGAACTCAGGGATGTTTCTAGGCTCTGTCAGACCGAGCCACACAAGGCCGGTCTCTGTCAGAAGGTTCTCTATCTGGTTAGGTACCTATGCAAAGCGTTCGAGAAAAAATAAAGCTGTTCAGTCATATCATGCGACATTATTTTCTCTCCCTTACGGAGTGCAAAGGATAACATATTGGCTTTAAGTAGTTAAAATTCATGCAGATAAAAAAGATTGTACATACCTTTGACTTTACTACTAATGCGCCTTTGCCACTACTCTCTGTAGCCAACCCTAGGTGTAGATACCTTCTCCCAGAGAATAGTCGAAAATGTCATTTGTAGTACTAAATGATTATTTAAACAGGGCGTCTTTTCCTTTATTTGTGAATGAAGGTAGTTAATAATCTAATGGAGCATTAGTTAATTGTCCAACACAGCACGACAATTCCTAGAAATACAGCCTTACCAGTATACATACCTTTATTAGTTGCTTTACTGTTATGAAAATAGCATCATAAATAACGATTTCTTGTTGTTATTATTGTTGTTAGGGTTGTCATTGCGGTTTTTGTTATTGCAACTGCTGTTGTTGAAAAGATAGGAGTAATGTGTAAGAAAAGGGGATAATTAAAGTACGTAGGTACCTGTTAACATAACATTGTCCTTAGAAGTACCATTATAATTTATGCTGAAATGAGGAAAGTAGGGTTGTTTTAGTGTAGTATTTTATTTATTTGCTTTGTAGAAAGATGGGAAGAAAGAAAGAAAGAAGAAAAAAGCAGAACTGGCCACAACTATTTTCTGTGCGCGAGTGCCTAGTCTGCCGATTCGTTATTCAACTTTTACGGCAGGTGCTAGCGCGTGCTCCGTAGTTGCCTTGGGGAGATAAAGATAATGTGATCTTGTGTTTGGGTGCCTGAGGGTTTAAGTCGCGAGCCTTAGGTACCTGATCTATTATAACGCGTGGCGTGGCGCAGCATCACGTTACGTTTAAAGAAATGTGAATGGACCTAATAGAAGGAAGCTACAACGAACTTCTGTCTTCTAGCGAACATGAATTATTCCTGCAAGTTACCAACTTACATATTATCTCGATAGTGACACTGGTAATATAATTAATTAGTTGCAGAAAACCAACTGTCATAAAACAGCATTTAGTAACTCAAGTTATTATACACAACTACTGTATATAAGCTGTTGAAATTTTTATTTTCTCTAATAGATATTTACAGTGCTACCTATGTGTATGACAATAAGACTATGTTACGCCTCGGCTGCCTCATCAATCTTGTAAAATGACTGTTTCAAACTCTCTCTAGCAGCTTGAACTGCCTTGGCATTCTGAGGTAACTCTTCTAGGGTTTTGGATAATATCGTCGAAAGATGGGAATAGTTTTCATGTTTAATCTTGCCTCGTAGGTACTCATCGCTGATGACTTTGCTCATCAGCAGCACAGAGTCAACAACGCGAGTAGGGTGCGGATCAAGAGCTATAAGTGATACTACCATTTGATCTTCGGGGGAATTATTCCTACTATGGCTCGTCATGCGCGCTTCATGGCTATGTCGGGATATAGTGTAGGCGTTCTCTAAGCCAAACTTGAGATTATTGAAGGATTCTTGTTCGGCATCGCGTCTCAGTTGAGTTATTTGTGATAAGAGATCTGATCGATCTGCCAATACGAGTGAATTGCAGAGTATCAATATACCCAAATTATACTGCAGATTGGCCTCATACCAGGTAAGTCGGCTCAATTGGCTTAGGAAGTGAAGCCGCCTCTCAAGGCTATTGAGTAAGGGACGAATTGAAGTTTTGAAAATGTTAGCAGAATCTTTAAATGCATTCCATACAAATGAAACTCTTTCTTCTTCTACTCCTTCTCTTAATGCTTCCTTTAATGATGTGATATTCTTCCAGATATATAGCATACTGATAACCGCTGCAGCAATAATCTGAGAAGCTATGTCGTCGGATATGTCAAAGCCACTGCTACGCCAGTGATCCGTTCCGGTATGGAAAGACCCTAGGAACGTCCTAACTAGGCGCCACGCAGGCTCCGAACATCCTCCATTTAGTCCGGATGTCAACGATGTTCTAATATTCAAGGTCAAGGAGTTTGATGTATCCCAAACCACCGCCGCCCAATAAACTCGGCTCTCAAAGTCTAAGTATGCTTCTGTATAAATGAGATTAGATGAGCTAGCTGACACCTCTGACCCGTGGAATTGATGGCTTCGTTGTCGCTCCCTGAGCCTCTGTATCTGTAGTAGAGCGGTTTGGATACATACTGATCCGCTGATACCGTCTAGCTCTTCATCCTCGGAGATTCCTACAGGTATGGGGGTCTGGGCAAAAAGATACAACGTGAGGGCAGACCGATAAGATATGCGGTTGACAACTTTCAGCATATCTTTTCTTGCTATGCGCCAACTTTCCCTTGTGAACTCTTCAATTTGGCTCGTAGCAAAGTGATTTTTACTCGATACCAGCGGGAGCCAATGTGCTGTAAAAGATCGGATTGTCTGTTTCAGGGACTGGTCGATCTGAAAGTCCTTTTCCTGCTGTTGTCCGTGTGCCTCAAGCCCAGAATTAGAACCTTGGCGATCAAGCGCGTCATCCATGTCAGCGTCGAGCGTCCTGAAAAGCTTCGTCGAAGGAATGTAAACTTCACTCGTCGGATTATTCCTATCATTGTCAGGGGATTGTTGACTTCTTCTAAGCGACTATCCATTAGACGTACACGAATGGACAACCATTTCTACCAGCTATGAGACCGAAAAATGTTTCGAACCCATTGAGAAAGATTTGGTCACACCAAGATGTGAGCAAGGTGTCTACCGACTCTGCTTGTGATTCAATTAAGTGTGCGTTTAACTCGTCCAGTGGCGTAATGTGGTCCGTGTCGTATTGGTCATAATGATTCGCATTAGTACCACCCTGAGAAATTTGGGTTATGGCTTGATCGAGACTCTGTTCGTCTGTAGAGATGAAGACTGCTTGACTATGTGATTCAGAGGAAATGGGAGGATCCGTTTCAGTTGAAGAGGAGTGAGATAGTGCTTCTCTGTATGAGTTTAAAGGTTTCCTCTTCGCAGCATTAATCCACTGAATATAATTAGCCACGCACTCTTATATATGAAAAGCACTATACCTAGTTCATTTACCTCAAATGTACATGGTCGTCCTCTAAGACCGCACCTCGAACATGAACCCGCCCAATTCGCTTTACCGAGTTGATAACCCCGTTTTGAGGCGTCGCAAGCAACTCGTGAGCGACGGCAAGCATCGCAACTAGAAAACTGAGTTCTTTTTTGAGAACTGGTACTTGGCATTTTCTTTACTATATGTACCTAAGTTTACCTAGGTATGCTAGTTGTCTTGAGAAGGCGTCTGAATTAAAGACTAAAAGGTGTAAAAAGGAAATTATTGGTATTTCTAATCTTAGCGCTATGAGGGCCTGAGTTGTTAGTAAGCAAGCTTGGCGTGGAATTAGGGGTCCGCCTATCGAGCTGCAACCCCTGAGCCGATCTAGACGCAGTAGACATAACATCATTTGGCGGACCAAGGAGAGGTAAAGAACCATTCTCATCCCGCACGTTACTAATTTTTTTTCTAAATATGCCTTTAATACCTAGATAGATATCTACACTTCACCAAAAAATGAACACTTTCTAAGAAACTACTCCGTTTTAATTTCGTTTGCCTAATACTCATCATCCCCTCTAAATTACTACATATATCACAAGAAACTTTCCACCAGCTTCCTCAGCTCGTCTTCATTCAATTCCTTTATGCCTAACAATTCATTGTCCAAGTGACTGGAGAAATCACAGCCGTAGTCAGAATTAAACATGCCACACAGGGAAAACCCGAGTGTTGCAGCTTCTATGCCTCCCTTGGAACCTTCGGCTTGTGCCGCTAAGCTTTCTTGTTTAAGCTCCTCTGTATCTTTAACAATCGTGTTCCATTTTTTCCCATCCTTCTCCTTTACGTACTGGATTAGCTGGTTTTGAGTAACGAGCGCCGAATGGATATAGACCACGCGGTTTACCGTCTCGTCCTGATGTGCAATGACGCCCAAAACAGCTTTGGCAATGTCGGATAGAAGCGAGGCGCTGAATTTTACATCGCCGCCGTTGTATAGAGTTGCAGTATGTTGAGGTATGTTCAGGATAATGTTCTCCTCAAGACACCAATCTAGGAATAGACCATTGGCGATTGCGGTGTAGGTAAACCCGGGATTGGATCTAGATTTCTCCTGGAGACGCTGCTGTGTTTTTACCTTAGACACGCCTACGATGGGGAGCTGCCTGCATAGAGGATTCATAGAATCTATGCCGAACTCCGCTGGAATGAATCGCTTCACACCTGCCGCAACTGCGGCGTCGATCAGGGGATTTTGATCTCCCATCGCCAATGTCGCCACACAAGAGATGACAACTTGAACCCCTACCAGCGCGGCGGCTAGGGACTCAACGGAGTTGAAGTCGACCTCTTTGATGGTAAGGTTAGGGTGAGGCTTCAGTTTGGATGAATTCCCACCTATACGTGAGAGAGCCGTTACATTGAAGTCCGAGCCGAGGAGGGCTTCGAGAACGGGAGTTCCAATGTTTCCAGTGGCACCGGCGAGCGCAACCCGAACTGAAGGCATTTTCTTAGCTTGTTGGACACACCCGGATCTTTGTTCGGGGGCTGAAAAGGAGAGAGGATTAATTTGAAAGGGAAAGATGTCTTGTATTTTGAAAATACCCTGCTAAGTAAAGTTGATGGTTTCGAATCATCGACAAGAAGGCTTTTATTGGGTGTTGATGGCAAAATAATTCAGAAACTTTCAGGTATTTCATTCGCATATTTATAGATTTTTGGGTTAGTAGTACTGGTATCATCAGAGAGGGGGGAGTATCGGTTCCGATATACAGGGTCTGTGGTATCGGATCCGATCTAGAAGCGTTAAGTGCTCTTACGACGTCATGAAATATCATCAAATAAGGTAACTCACTCCCTAGAATAATTGTTCCGTACCTTACCATCCTATACTACCATGTGACACCGAGTATCGCAGGACAAAAAGGCAATCTCTCTTGATCTGACCTGGATGCAAACTATTGGCATCATTGCTGAAAAATCAAAGTATAAACAGAGTCGGAATGTAGTGGAGGATATAGAACTAATAGAGAAAGAGGAATGAATGGCACTGTTAGACATCTATTGCGATCATTTCTATTCAAGTCGCTCTATAGAAAACTCCCAAGTTCTAATAGGTATCCCTACACCAGAAAATCTCGCTGCTCGCGGCCTAGCCTTTCCAATAATCCTCCAAAGACCACTATTTTCGGGCTTTTCCCAACTACCAGATGAGATGAAAGAAGTTCTTGGAAATGATGAGAGCTCGAGTCTAAAAGTATTATTCAAAGAGGCCAAGAGCACCAACGAGTGTTCCGACGTAGTTACTAAGGCGCTCTAGGTATTTTGGTGGAGAACGTGGAACCATCGAGTCCGTTCTCAGACTACGGCGTAGACTCTCTAACGATAATTAAGTATCACACTCGCTTAGGAGGTATCTATGTACTAGGATAAAACTCGAAAATTTGGTTTCCTTCCAATAGATAGATTAATCATTACCTCAGTGGCTACTAAGAGTCCTTGGATTTTATATCAAACTAGTTGGATAGGTAGGTTTGATACATAAGTCTCTATATGTACTCCGGTGGATACTGGCGACGTTTCCGAGATTCGGTTCCTTCCCAATGGTTCCGACGCTCGGATCCGAAACCCACATTTCGATCGGACTTGTAATTTAGACCCGACAGTACCGGATCCGTATGGAGTAGGTACCTACCTATCTTTCTAGAACTTCTTCCTGCTTCTCCGCTGCTTTAGAAAAATAATTGAAGCAACGATTCTTCCAGTTTTCATCCCACGCCCACCTTCGAAGGAGTTTAAATTCCTGGGTAATAGTCATTAAAATTAGCATTTATCAGGCACCTGGAGATATGAGATTTATTAGTGTAGGGAGCAGCTATGCTGTTACTACCCCGCCTTTTATATTGCACAACGGGTGCACGCATAATAGAGGTCATCACTACGCAGATGGATATTAGGGAAAACAAGATCCGTGAAACCAAAATGCCTTAAAGGTGTTGATCTGGGAACCTAAGAACACTCCATTAACCTTGATACAATCCTCTACGTTTGAAGCCTGCTATTTTCCAAGTTTCCTTGTCTTTTTCAGCCAATCTAATAGGTACCTAATCGGTGATACTATACATTCTAGAGCTAGTTAAAGGGGTTAATATGTCGTCTCTAAAGACTTTCACCCTCTTCCCACGTTTGCCGCCCGAGATACGTTTGGCGATTTGGTGAGTCATCCTCTTTTTCGCCTGGAGCAATATTATGCTATATCTTCTCAACCCGATATTTAATCAACTGAAAACCAAAAATACCCCATCATAAAAAGGAGTAATTTTCGTGTGTTAACACACAAATGTAGGAACTTTTCCATCATTGCGTATCTCTCCGACCCAGCTCTATGCGTGTATAGACCCGAGTTATTACTACGGTCTTTTCCGAGAGATTGGTTTCCCACTAGCCGAGAGATTTCGTTACCGATACCGGTAATTATGCAAATTTGTCAAGAGTCTCGGTCCGTTATGCAAAAATCAACCATTGCCATGTTTGATATCGATGAAGATGGGGCTTGGCTTAATCCTCGTCGCAGATTCTGCCCCGATGTTGATATTCTCTGCGTTGGATTCTTTGATCTTTTTTGCGTAACCGGACACAATGCAATACGATTCATCGGGTCAAACGTTCACCCTTCGGTACAGGCGGAAGAGCTCTTTACAGACCGCAAACAAGGGCCATTACGTTGTGACACTTGCGACGATAGTTGCAATGAATTCAAATCAAGACTGTTTGCCAAAATTTGGAGTTTAAATGAAACCATACCGATAAGACACAGAGAGACTCCAGAGATTTTATTCCTTTTTTGCCCAGTCGCCGAAGAACATGGCTCCGCTAGACAGACTGCTATATTGTCAGTGACAGCGTTGCCAAGAACTTGCTTGTTCAAGGAGATGTCCAAAGATCCGGTGTTGATTATTGGCGGGGATAACTCAGAGTGGAAGTTTGCTGTCCCTGATTTTGAATTCTTTGTTCTTCCACGAGGACGTTGGCCTGCCTGATTGTACTGCTGTTCCTTTCGGTATTCTCAATTTACAAATTTAGGGGTTCTAAAGCATATCAAAGTTATCATAATTGGCACTAAAGACAAAAGATCTGGTGCTGATGGCCAACCTGTGTTATTACGTGTTATCTAGACTTGTCGTATTATATCCATGTATCGGATGCATCTCTATGGAGAGAATGAAGAGGGGTTTCCTAATAGACAACCATTTATAACTCCTGCGTAGCTCAATAACACATGAAGTAAAACGAAGGGGATAATGTCTAAGAAGGGGGTTAGAGAGACACAAACAGGGGTAAGTCGGTTATCTTATCATAACGTTAAGGGGTTATAATGTCAAAGGATCGATCGAACTCCCTTCATTCTATCAAAATCGATAGTAATTGAGATGATTAACAACATTCCATACATATATATTCTTGTTAGACTTCGCAGACACTTTAAGAAATAACTTTGAAAAAGTATTAACTTATTTGCCTGTGGAATATGTACTGTAGGTAAAAGAAGCGGCATAAGATCAGATGCGCGAATGAGTCTCAGCGCGAATTAATCACCTCAACTAGGTAAGTCGAATACGAAGTAACAAAGTATATGAATAGCGTAACAGTGGATCGCGTTCCTGCATGACGAACATCCATTTTAATCTTCGCGGTCTCCGGTATGTGTTTACCATAAGCTAGTGGTATGTAGGTACATGCATATACCTAGCACGGTACACTAAGAAGCAGGTACCATACGCCACAAGCCTCATTTTGTAGTACTTTGCGGGGATTTCTTCAGAACTTTCAGGGGGTATACGGTGGACCATTATTACAACTGTGCCAAAATCGAGAAAATAGGTGGCACTATGTCTAATAAGGTAATAATAAGGCAAAAATACAGTGTAAGCTCAATTAATATGCGCTATATATACAATTAACACCTTATACCACAATAACTTTACGAATATATATTTAAATATTTTTTAAATACACTAATATTTCGATTTAAAAATGATAAAAATTATTATTTAAACCGCATGTAATTTAACTTAAAATTCGTAAAAATATTAAAATAATTATATAATTAATTTTTTTTATTTTAAAAGTTTAAAAAATTAATTAACTAATTAAATATTACCTTTACTTTAGTTTTAACTTTATATATATAAAATACATAAGTAAATTTAATAATAACATTTATTTATACGTATATATATATTTAAATAATTTTATTAATATATTATTTTAAATATTATAATTAATATAATATTATAGTTTTATTTAATGTAAAAATAACAATATAAATTACATTTATATATAATTTTTAATTAACATGTTATGTTAATATTAAATAAATTTTATACAAAAAAGCTAATACGTGATACCTTTTATAACCACTTTAATATTTTATATATACATTATATATATATAACATATTATTTTTACAAAATAAATTTAAACAATTATATAATTAATTTAATAAATTTTTTTATACTTTAATTAAAATAATAATATTTTTTTTAAATTTCTAAAAAAGATATTTAAAAAACTATTAATAATATAAATAAATAATAAAAAAACTTATATATACCCCGTATAGTATATTGTGCACCTTTCATACTAGCCTTTTTTGGACAGATCTGACCTATTTTCTCGATTTTGGCACAGTTGTAATAATGGTCCACCGTAGGGTAGCAACAATTAGTGGATTTGCATATTCCAGGATTAGCTGGATCGGTGGACGCGATGGACCTATGGCGTGCCATATCTTCCCTAGCTTATCTGCTTACATGTACCTAATATACCCATTTTATTGTACCCATCTCCTTTAAGAAAGTTTCCATGTATTTCATGGATCGGCCGGAATTCCTCTTCTAAGTTGTTGACATTTACCTTTAATATCTTGAAATCTTGTCTTCAATTTTCGATAGGAGGGACTACAGCTTCAGTTGCTCAGTTGTACTCGATTGAACTGTTTCGCCTTTTCTAGGATCCTATATAGTGAGTAATTGAATACCTTATACATCATTTACTTTGCTAATCCAGCTTTTTACCTGCTTTAGGTAGCTAGGTGTTGATACGCGACCTCGAGGCTTTTTCTTCAACTCGTTCCGAGTCTTCCGTATCCCCCTTTCTACTTTCCAATTCGAGATTCAGCTACAGAAGACGTGGCAATGTACGCGTCCAAGTCAGCCGTCGGTTCAGCATTGCTGTTCTCTTTGGCTTCTGCCATGCCAAATCTTCGTCCTAGACAGACAGATTCTGCCCTCGAGCCTTGGGTGACCGTTAACGAAGACGGCAAGCCAAGTACTGTTACGCCCGTTCTTAGCACCATCAGCGGAACTCCTACCGTTATATCGGGCGCTCCTCATGATTTGACCGCAACTGTCTTTACCGAGACCAACTACGGGAAGGTTTCAACGAGCACCGGGACCGCTCCGATTCCTACTGCAACCGGTGGTTCAGCTGGAGCTGGCTCGTTCCCCGTTTGCCACAATAAGGATGGTGACCATGCTCCGTGGTGTCAACCGACCCAGGAGACACCATTATATGTTGGTACAACATACTACTGTACGCTACACTACTCTAATACGAGGAGACATACAACTGACTGATTTATCCAATAGTTACATGGGACACATCGTACTTCTCCGTTCCAAACACGACAATTTTAGTCCAGGGTAATTATCTCAACGAGACAACAGGTGAAATCACCGACCAAGCTTTCGAGTCGCCTAAGTGGTCCGCATCTTGGGGTTTCTGGAGCTACAAGATTGAAAGCAGTCTATTGAAACACCAGTCCGGCAAGAATATCACGCTGCAGCTTGCCACTTTAACCGCGCAAGGCAATTCCAGTGATATTATCCCGGGTCCTACTATCCTAGTTACGGACCACCCTGGACCTCAGCCGGAAACCGGCAAGACGCCCGATATGCGCGCATTAGTAATTGCCCTACCAACTGTGCTCGGTTTCGTTGCTCTGTGTCTTGTCGGAACTTGTCTATGGCACAGAAGGGATCGCCAGATTGGCCTTGGAAACATCATGTCTCGCAGCAGAAATGGATATGGTGTTGGCAAGAGCTCGCGATCCCGGATGGGCCTCGGCAAGAAGAATAAGGCCAACGAGCGTATTCAATTGATGCAGCGGGAGGTCGAGGCCGATGGTGGCGAGGTCTACCATGACGAGCCTGACCGCCCGCGACGGGATTCGGATGCCCTAGGTAGCCTAGCCGGGACACCAACTGAAGAACGGCGTATGGATTTCCGGGAGCAGCAAGACCGAAACATGTTCCGAGAGGAATTAAGAAGACAGAATGAGAGACCGTAGAGTGGACTCTTGAATCTTTTGTTTGGAAAATTGCACTACAAGAAAATCAATGGTGGATAGTAATGATACGGGAAACCTCACGGGAAACCTCACCGTCACCATTAAATGAAGAGGCTTATATGTATATGATGATGAGTCTATTGCTGTACATATATACCGAACTTGCTCCGGCTACGACATGATTATTTCAGAGGAGCTAGGGCTCACAATGATTGGCTTATAGATCACGTTTAGTAATGAATCAAAATGAAATCAAGACATTATTAATACCTATAATGTCAAGGCGATGTTTACTAAAGACCAATAGAGGGATAAGCGTTTAACGCCAACTGCCCTCCGAGATGTGCATATAACACGTTACTCCCTTCTCCTATTTCTCCCTTCCGAATTAAATCCATCATGCCTGCCAGACTTTTCCCTTCATATACGGGATCCGTAATGAAAGCCTCGGTCTTGGCACCAAACCGGATCGCATCCAACGTCTGCTCGTCCGCGATTCCGTACACGCCAGCATGATACCTATCATCCAATTCAATATCTTCTTCCGTAATATCGCTCTCCTCTAATCCGATCTTCACAGCTGTCGCTTTAGCTATCCGCAATACTTGGTCGAAAGTCTGCTTCACCTTGGCAGACGCATCAATTCCAATTACACGCCGTTTCTTGGAACCGAGTTTCTTCTGCGCAAGTTTGAACCCAGCTACTATACCTGCGAACGTAGAGCCTGTAACCGCACACACGATTACCGTGTCGAAAAATACGCCCGTCGCGCGTTCCTGCGCCTCGACTTCAAAGGCCCAGCGCGCGAAACCAAGGCCACCTAACGGGTGGTCTGACGCTCCTGCCGGAATATAATAGGGCTTGCGACCAGCGGACGTAAGTTCAGCCTGCAGCTGTGCGAGCGTGGGCTTATGCTCGATGCCGAAAGTGGTTGCGGGCTCGAGACGCGCATCTGCTCCCATGAGCCGCGAGAGTTGGATGTTGCCGACGGAGCTGTAGAGGATTTCATCTGGGGATCCAGGAGGAAGATCTACCCAGTGCTCTTGCACCAGAGCACATTGGAGACCTAGTGCAGTGGCTACGGCGGCGACTTGTCGGGTATGGTTCGACTGAACGCCACCGATAGAGACGAGAGTGTCGGCACCTTGGGCTAGGGCCTCTGCGGCGAGATACCTGCACGATTCATCAGTCTATGATCCTATTTCTCCAAGTGTATCCATGGTGTATATGATATGCATCTACACGCATGGCGTATGTGGCATGTGTAGTGGTTGATTCATCAATGAGCCATGAATACTCACTCAAGCTTCCGTGTCTTATTCCCGCCGTATGCAAGTCCAGAATTACAGTCATCGCGCTTGGCATAAACGTTCACTTTACCACCCAGCGCGGCGGATATCCGCGGCAGATGCTGGATAGGTGAGGGTCCAAATAGGAAGGATTCCCTCGGGATACTAGCGAAGGGTTCGGGCAAGCGGAGGTCGAGGCTAGCCATTTTAGAGACTAACAGATAGATAATGAAGTTGTTGAAGACTAAATGATATCACGGATGTCAGGTAAATTTAATACTTCAAAAACACAGTAGCTTCTTGAATTCCCATTATTGTCATCCCATGTTCATGTCCTACCCACACTTAATATATAAGGAGATATCTCGGTAGAGCTCATGACCGAAGTCGGATACTAGTAGTGGGCATAAGACGGAGCGGAGAGATGCCAATACTCTCCACTCCTGATCGACTCTGGGCATCCACCAACCAACCAACCAATGTCGAGCAGTCAACCGATTTTAGTAATGCTACATATAGATCCTTTTAGGTAATCATTTACCCTGTATCTATCTTGCGTGATTACATTATCTAGATACGATCTAAGGAGATCGTCAATACTTCTTATCAAAGCGTAAAGGGGTTTATTTAGCACTGATAAACAAATATTTAAGATATCTACATCTAAAATATGTATCCAGAGGGATAGTGCGATGAGGGAGAAGAGTCTGAAAATGGATAGATACTGCCCCCCCTAGTTTGCTGTTAGTCATTAAGCCATTGATCCTATGATTGATCGTGTTATACATACATTGTCTAGAGGTATCACTTGCTGTACAAACAAATGTGCTAACTCTGATTGTTGATGTTAGTCGTATAAGCATTCCATCATATGCCACAGTGAATATATGTGAGAGGTACAAACCACAAGGGTGTTCAGCGTTTCTTGCTCACCAGACCAGTCATAGCAAAGCTTTGAAACCCATTTGACTGGATATTTAGGTAGGCACCAGTTAATTGGCTCAATATATTGATATAATGGCAGCGTTGTCTAGCCGTTGTTAAGTACTTAAAGTGACTTGCCCCCCTTAAATTCACATGTGGGCCATGGGGGGGGTGACCTACTTCCATATATAGCCAACTTGCAAGAAAACATCCTTAAGAGCCACTCAGAATCGACGTATATAATGTAGCTACCTAATGCAGTAGTCGTATTAGCAGCTGCCGCTGTTGCTTGCATACGACTAGCGCCTAAATTCCAATGACAACGTCCCAAGATACCATTACAACCAAATCACTGTGTAGTTCAAGGAGGTTTTCGTCCCATCCCAATTCACCCATACATATCATTAGCCAGTCATTCGTACTTTCCCTGCCCTTGTTCAGTATTCATATGATGAAAGCTTAATCACAAATAACGAAGCGATTCTGAATGTGAATTCTATCCAGTTAAATCCCAGTACTATCTATAAATATCGCCTTTCAAGTTACCAAGAATCTTGTTAATCTTTTCTCCTACAGCCATCACCAGTCCATGAATTCTTAGCCAGCATCTTCATATCAAGCATCTGCTATCAGGCATCATGAATTCAAATGTACGTGAATAAGCTGAGGGTTTCTATTCTTGCCTTCCCGTCGCTAACCTCTGCTGACTTACGATATAGAAGATAACAGCATTAGATATCCTAGTCCCCTCTACTCCAGGGAAACTGGTCACCCACGAGTAAGTTTCTTGTTCAAATACTCCCCTTTTCTTCTCTTACCTACAATCATAATATGTAATCCTGTCTAACCCAGAAATGCAGAATCATCATTGTACATGGTTTCAAAACCCGTTCGGACGACCAGAAACGCCTAGCAAAGTTCAAAGATGTGCTCGAGAACTGGGTCACGGTCGCTACTAATCCCATTCGCAACCACGTGAACGTTCGTACCTTCGCCTTTGATGGCGCCCACGTCCTACACAATGGACGACATGGTCTATCTGAGGCCACTATCGAGCTTTCACAGAAGTTCGCAGTGACAAGCGAAGACTCCTCTTCGCCGTTATTCTGCCCGAGATCAAAGGAGGGTAATCGCGACCGCGTGCCCCGAGCCGTCGTATTTGTCGCTCATGGACTAGGCACCTGGGTCGTGAAAGATTTCTTGGTTCTATTCAGCGAAGCATCTAACCGTATTGATCCTACAGGGTTGATATTCCTCGACGCGCCTGAGATGTCTTCTAGCATGACCCCTGTCGATGTACGATCCGAGTCTATCGTGTCTCAGCATCTCTACGAGCTTACAGAGATCTACAAGCTCCAGGCGCTACCATTAAAGATCCACGAACTCCAAGAAAAACTGCGGATCATCGACATGAACTTTAGATTGCTAACGAACTCCCGCTATGGGATTTGTGAAGAGATCAAAGACGCCTCAGGAGATCGCGACATGTACACTATGAAAATGTGGTATGATAGTGTTTGGATGTGCTCCAATCCTCCTCTTACGATTGATTCTGTGAGTCTACTAACTCTCTTTATAACTCCCTACTTTCTCTCGTTGACCTTCCACCCAAATATCATACTAATAATATTCCAGTCGGTTATCAAGACGTTCTTTCGAGGAGCCCACAACATGATACGCATCAAGAAAGTGACGAAGATGGAGGAACAGCTGAAGAAGCTCGAGCGACTCAAACTAGCCCAAACACTTGAAGAGGTAACGGCCTGCCAGGGACTCTACGATGTCGGATCTGATGATACCAAACGCTCTGCCACAACTCACTTTTCTCCTGACAATGAGAAAGGTAAACGTAAGTCCAAGAGTTCCGTTAAACTACCGTAGTAGTACCCAATTTCCTAATAATAACAGAGAAAGCAGCTTCTACTTCCGAATCTTCCGGAAGATGTGGTATCCTCAAACACTCGAATTCCATGAAGCCTCTTCCTAAAATCCCTGAGGAGGCGGAAGCTGAGCACCGCTCAGAGCACGCTTTTGGTTTCCGTCTAGAAACTAAGTCCGATGAAGCCGCCTGTGACGACAAATTCTACAACTTCGACGATGCTATTCGCCAGCGAGACGAGGCAATAGAAGCAGAAGACCCAGAGGCGCTATCGGCCGCGCAGTCCAGACTGCAGCTTGTCAAGTGGCACCAGGAGCAGAATCTCGGCAAGAACCATCCCAACGTCCTCATCACGCAGCGTGAGATAATTACCACAAGCCTCGCGTCCGGAATGTGGAACGGAAAGCCTATCGAACTTTGGACGAAGGAGGATTTCTGTGAGATAGAAGACGAAATGCGTCGCGCCTTCGAAGCCTTGGAAGAATCCCTCGGTCCTCTCCACCGCGAAGTCCTCGAAGCGCTTTCCGTGTTCCTCAGCGTGCGGGTCTCGCTATTGAAGAGCGATATGGTCTCCTGGGAAGCTGTTTACGCAGTGATTGAGATGATGAAGGGGCGGTTGGAGAACCGGGTATCGCTGACACCAGAGACAACGCTCGACACCTTTCGCATCAGATACAAGGTTGCGTTGACCCTGGCCCAGATCTCAGATTGCGGAGACGCGATGCTGAGCAGTCTGCTGAAGGCTACTGAAGGCCTTCTAGTCACTATTGGTAGGGAGTACGTTGCAGACTTGTCAGCGCTACGTCTCAATATCCTGGCGAGAATCGCCGAGTTGAAGGATATGAGAAACGAGGAGACGGCGGTAGGAAAGGCGGAGGGATCGAAGTAGATATGGATGCGGGTTGTTTTCTTTCAAAGCTTCAAAAGGATGAAATTCATTGATACCCCCAGGGACGAGGTTCACAGCTAGGTTGAACCCATATTTCCAGTTCAACTCGAATTTGATTTTACTGATTTTACTTCATTGTCATGTATTTGCTCTTGGTGAACTAATGTGCTCGTCACTCAATATTGTGACGGAAGATGGGCCTGATGTCCCCAAATCCATTAATGTATTAGATATCACAGCTGTCTTCCAAGACATGCCGAGCCACGATTTGGTTCTTATCCATCATAGCACAATGCTCTTAGCTTTATCGATGCGCATCTCTAAGCTTTGATCAAAGGAGTGAAGCACTTCAGGTTTGCCTTTTTCACATGTTGCACAGCTAGATAGGTAGTAATAGGGAGAAAAGTGGCGGCTAGGTACGATTTTAATTAGGGACCACTGGCACACACACAGGTAGCTCCTTTTAATAATTTCAATACTCATAGGACTGTTTTAATAGTAACGACAAGCATCATTAGTCGTGCGAACTGGCGGGAACTCAGGGCTATTTGAACCTTTACGTGCCTAACAATCATCTTGCAGTCTGACTACCATGCTGGACTTCTCCTATTTCCTTGTCGTATAAAGACCAACTTGATCAATTATTGATAATCCATCGAGTCCTTTTATATCTTCGTAAATGCATATATCGAAGGTTATGGGTGCAGAGCTAGACTTCTGTGTTTTTATATGCTGATTTCTACATAGAAGAACAGTAACGTCAATGGTTACATCGATAGGAAGCGCAACAGCCAAGTAATTAAAATACTCCTATAATTTAGGAATCGGGTGTAGGATATAGATAAAAGAAGGTGCAATAGATGAGCAAATATTATCCTAATATCCATTTTATGCTTAACCCCTATTATGTACGAGGCCATAATTAGGTACGTATATGGTATGGATATGAGTTTGGTTTTTGGTATGCCCATGAAACGACTACCTGCATTGTTCAAACATGCTACACGTACGCTGAAGAACAAGGAATCTGATCACTGGCTCACTTTGGAATTGCGAAAGGACTAGAGCTTAAGAATCTCAACGATGTATCTCATATGATTAAGACTACCTATCTACTAGCTGTGACTAAATAGATGAATAAAGTAGTCTCAACTAGGGCCTTTTGATAGCTTCTTTGGTGTTTAAAAGACCAGTTCATTTAGCCTACCAAAGCAAATCCATATCATTCATCAAGGAAACGTAAATCACTCATAAAGCCTAGGCTACTCAAGCTGCCGCGACGAAGGGACATGAGTTCCTCCCGGGTGCCAGATAAGACTCCTACTTCTTATCACCACTGCTGCTGTTACTACCTCCATTTCCTGATGCGGATGTCGAGCCTGACGCAGGCGTGTAGGTTGAGTTACCCTGACCGTCGTTGTAGTAGGATGAGCCGTCGGGGTTGGAGTAATAGTACGAGCCATCCCTACGTTCGTACAAGGCTTAGATTAGTATTGAAAATCACGCGAGGTTTACTCTTACTACACTGGAATAAGAGTGGCCATGTGGTAGATATAAAACGGTAGGAATATAAATGTGACCTACTGATTGGAATAATGGTACGAGTTCGAATCCGAAGCGCTGCTGCCGTAGTCACGGGAGCAGTAATGGTTACCCTAGGTAGAGTTAGCTTGGACTAAAATTACCCAAGATCCGAGAAATGAAGGTGGATGAAGAAGCCAAGATGTTAGAATGCTTACCTGGCTGTTATGGCCGGAGCTCTTGTACGAGTAATCTCTGTCGCTCATGGTGACAATGAATGATAGTGAGTAGTAGTGTGAATAGGTTTTGATGAAACTTATGGAGAGACTTCGGAATGGTAGAGTAGATGACGCCCAAGAGGGTTCAAGCTGTTGGCAACTTCGGAAATGGAAAAAGAGGAGGGGGGAGAGGGCTGTATTAATAGCCAGATAACGATCCGTTGAAGCGGGGAGGCTATTGCGACTGAGACACGGACGATCTGGGGTCTTAGCGGGGGATTCCTTGATTGAGGCTAGGGACAGAGCGGTGTGTGTATTTGTCGGTGTGTTTCTAGTGATTTGCCCTTACGAACAAAGAATATAGGAGGTATAACTAGCGGGAAAAGACCAATGAGCAATACCTTTAGTATTTGGACGAAATATGAAAACGGCATGTCACACTGGGAAGACGCCACTCTGTTCTTATCCGTTCAATCAGGGAAGCTTTAAAGAGGAGAGATACCATCGCGATTAAGATGCAGCTACCCAGTAGGAGTAAAACATTCAATCACAAACTACTAGCCAGTCATAAGGGTTTAGTCACATGGAGGTTTGCTCATTGGGTTCAGCTAAAATAGCAAGAGGGGAGAAAGAGGGTAGCAAGAGTACCAAACAAGAGCAAGCGGCCACACCAAAGTTGGGCTATTCTCAATTCTGTCTATCTGGTATCTGTCTAATGTATCGAGACTGTCAACGCATACGCTAATATAGAACTCTATGCGGTGGTATCAATTACATCTTCGCGGGTATTAGCTACTCAGCTTTGCCCTGAGCAGCCCCCTCTCGATCGTCTACTTCGTGCTCCGCAAGGTACTTCTCCGCATCCATGGCAGCCATGCATCCGGAACCTGTCGATCATCGATGTTAGCATGAAATCCACACTGTATTAGATATGGGGGGGTAAATGGAAACGTACCTGCGCTAGTGATAGCTTGTCTATATCTCTTGTCTTGTACATCGCCAGCAGCGAAAACACCCTCAATGCTTGTTGCCGGTGTTCCATTCTTGGTGATAATGTAGCCGTCCTCATCGATATCCAGTTGTCCCTTGACCAAGCTTGTGGCCGGGTCGTGGCCAACGGCATAGAATAGACCATTGGCCTCTATTAGCTGTCGTTTCCCGGTAGCTGTATTTTCGATAACCATATGGGTCATCACCTTGTCGTCTCCTCTAACTTCCACGCCCCTGGTGTTAAATTGAACAGTGACCTTGGGGTGTTTCAATAACCGCTGTGCCATGATACTGCTGGCACGTAGCTGATCTTTCCGTACCAACACCGTTACGTGGCTCCCGTACTTTGTAAGGAAAGTTGCTTCCTCGGCAGCGCTGTCTCCACCACCAATAACAACCAGGGGTTTATTTCTGAATATAGGGACAGCACCATCGCAAACGGCACAAGCGCTAATGCCGCTTTGCCAGTATTTCTCCTCTCCCGGGAGACCTAACCTCCTCGCTGAAGCACCCGTGGCAATGATGACGGAATCTGCGGTGTGCACCTCACCAGGTGACCACTCTGTCTCGTACTTGAACGGCCTCGAAGAAAGGTCGAGCTTGGCTACTGTTTCGGTAATAATCTTGGTACCAAATCGTTCCGATTGTTGTCTCATAGCATCCTATAATAAAAGGACTTTTGTTAGTATATCTATCCAACGCATAAAATATTCGTGTGGTAACGTGAAAATACTTACCATTAACTCGCCACCCATAATACCCTTGGGGAATCCGGGAAAGTTCTCAATATCGGTAGTAGTTGTTAACTGACCGCCAGCAGCAACACCGTTCGCCATAAAACCCTCATAGAGAACTGGGTTTAATTCGGCACGAGCGAGATAAATGGCAGCCGTATGGGCAGCAGGCCCAGAGCCGATAATAACAACCTTGCTATGCATCTTCCTGACTGCTGTTTGCGTTGCGAATTTGGTGGTCTGTCCTGTATATTTCTGTAACCCCGAGGAAGCAAATGCTGCAACTGATATTCCGGATGCGCCTGCGCAAAGAGTTCTTTTAATAGTCTGAGAAAACACTTTGGCGGTTTTATGTCGAATAACTGGGTTTGTATGTGGTATATAGTAGGTTATAGGTAAGGGAAGACGACCAGATTATTCAAATATCGGTAGGCTCGGAGGACGTTCGGAAGAGATAGGGATAGGGCTAAGATTGTTGTTAAGATTGTTGAGGCTGGGGCTGTCGTTACGCTGTACTGCACAATGACATGGACCGAGTCACAAGTACTAGGCTGTAGTAAGACAGGCTGAAAATTTGCAATTATTTCAAATGCGGCTCTATATGTAGTTCCGAAAATAGTTCAAATTTGGAATTAAGTCTTTAGTACCTTATTTATTGTACGACAGAGTCAATACATATTCTTTTTTTTTTTAGCTTGTCAGCTTTCACGCGGTCGATTCGAGAAGGCGAGAAAATAAAATAAAAATCCCCCGCATTATTCAGCAACAGACCCTTAGATAAAAATCACATGCATTGGACTTACAGCATGGGCAGTATCGATCCGGACCGGAGCTGACTCGAGTTGCCCCACCATGGACCGATCTAAAAAAAAATCATGCAATTGGCGGGTCAAGTTCAGGTACACTATCCTATATTTGCATAAATCCTTAAGAAAGAAATCGGTAAGTGATTGCGTAGTATATTGATAAAATAAACTTTACGTACTATGTATAACCAGATACATAATCCCCGGTCGGTGTTTGCAACGGTCAGTTCATTCGCCTCGGCATTCCGGTCTCTAGTGTAACAAAGCCCCTCCTCCGTCACCGGATGCGACCCAACGTGCCGATAGATATGATATTTATTTTTAGCTATAACATCATCCTTGGTCTCATATGTATGGATGGGTTAATTTACCTACTTATGATTGATACACACTAATCGTCTCTTCTGCATGAACTATGGCACCGCAACAGGATATCCCGGTTGCCGCTAATGTCCTCGGCGTACGTTATTTTCATATGTGCAACTATTCGGAATTTAATAGCTAAATATATCATCTACGTAGACTATCGGTACGATCTTGTGGTGCGTGCAAACAATACCTCAGATAGTACGTATATTATATAGCGATTAATCAGGTATGTGTAATTGATTTGACATTTCAGTGGACGAATTGGCGAACGAAAAAGACCGATGGCCTCCCCGGCTCCATGATGTATCTATGGGCTTTATGTAAGACGTTCCCTATCCACTAACGTAGGTAATGTCTCAAATATTGACCATGCTCTTAATTAGGTGGTGTACCCTTCGGGGCTTATAATATCGTACAGAGGTTTAACTACCCCTTGCAGGTACAGCCTCAAGCCTTTATGGCACTTTGTCTTGTGAACTGGTGTCAGATACTGCTATATAATAGTAAATGGTCTATGTGGAAGGTGGTTCTTATAGGTCTAGCTAATGCTGCAGCTTTTGCTGGTGTGCAAGCGGCCTTAATTATCACACTACGAGTATGTGAAATGAGTCGTCGATTTAAACACCGTACGAAATAAACTAAACCGATATAGCCATTGTACGATGCCGGTAGTAGCACCGGGGTCTTGGTAGTTGGTATAATTGCGAATATTCTCTTAGCAGTTGGTTTATTGCCGCCATATGGCGAACTATGGAAGCGGAGAGGAAGAGTGATTGGGATCAACTTCGTCTTTCTGTCCAGTATGTATAATTGAAAATTCGCGATTATCTTCTTACCCCTATCCAGGTTCCCCAGACTCTACTAAAGGAGGCGGTCACTAATCTTCATCGGCAGTGGACTGGCTAGGCGCATTTTTCTCTCTTATGTCACTTGGTAAAGTCCCTTGATATCCTTAGATACCCGTGTATTACTTACCTTAGCTTAGCCGTCCAGAATAGTTTCGATATCTTGGGTGGTGTGTTGTATATCGTATGGTAAGTGGTACCTGAGCTCTATTCATCAAAATTGATACCAAATCCTAGAGATATTAGGCTGACCTGTATAATAGCATCCTTCTTGAATCCGGTATATTCCTTTCTCATTTGATTTGGCTCTTCCGCACTAGGAAGTTGAGAAAGGACGCGGCATCAAGAGGGAAGACCTTCGACGATATTGCGGCAGAGCACGAACAGGAAGGCATATCATTCAAATTCGCCGAGCGAAAGATCTTCAAGAAACATGATGTAGAAACGGGCAATACTGGGAATAGTGAAGATCTTAGCGATCAGACGCAGCAACATCCAATCACGGCAACTATGCAGGATGGCAGATCAGGAGATGCTCAGCAAAATTCAAATTCGGGGTTAGAAAGAGAGACGAGCGAAAAAAGTGATATAATCCGTATTCATAGTTGATTGAAACTAAAGCAGAACCATATGTAGTGGTGTGATATCTTAGTCTAAAGTCAACGCAAAAGTCGTGCCTCATTATTATCATCCCCCAGTATTATTAATTAGCCACGTCACTTAACCACCTCGATGCATACCGACGATCAAAACCCGTGATAATGATCTAACTCAGTGTCATCAGGTGATGAGAGTTTACTCGACAGAAGGCCCCTTTCCCTGAGCGTTCAGATCTCCACCCTTACCACCGTACTCGGCGGGCAACTTTTCGCCAAGCGCGGGAACCTTGCTGCCAGCGAATTCCTGGGCTAAGTTTCCGCCGTTCGACATTGGATGGAACTTCTTGATCGTCTTGGGGGCGACGAAGAGCTTCATAACACCGTACATGAAACCCATAATCGCAGGCACATTGACAAAGAATTTCTCCTTGAGAAGCTCGGGATAGGCCAGGGCGAACACGCGGATAGTCTCGGTGCTGGCGGCTTTGACCTGAGGCGATTGGCGCAGGAAGCTGATGGACTTGTAGTCGTGAACCTGGAAGATCTTGTACGGATCCCAGTCGGCTGTGATGGGCTTCGTGGCCGTGGAGAGAGATAGCTCATGTATGGCGAGCTCCATGAGGGCGACGCGCCAGCTGATGAACCTAATATGCAGGTTAGAGAATTATTCCGCTCGTTCCGCAGTATGATAGTAGATCGGATCTGCAATAAATGGTACATAACTTACTCATCTAAAACGCCAAAGGTCTCATTGATCGACTTAACACCACCGTAGATGTTCCAGGTGAAGACCTCTTTGGACTCGGGGTCGTCATCAGTGGCCTTCTCCTCGCCGGCGACATACTTGGTAACATATCCAAGACCCTCAAACTTGGCCTTTGAGAATGTCTTCTCAAGGAGCTCTAAAGGCTTCGTCTTAGCGCGCCACGCCAGAGTCTTTTCTAGCTGATCTCGGGCCTTGACGATGTCGCCGTCATTGGCATTTAGGTACTTCTGCAACACGATCTGACTGGGGATGTGAGTATCCGGATCTGCTAGGGTGACGCCCCAGACTTCAGGATAAGACTGGGCTTGAACGGCTTTCCATAGCTCCTGAATTGGCGTGGTGGGCTCGTCGGGTTTAGGAGCCTCGGTCTTCGGAGCTTCGGCCATGATTACAATATCGAGAGTGCAGATTGAATACTGCAATAAATAAAACCCTGCCTTTGTACGATTCGGATTTTGGATTTCAGGATATTAAGAATATAGAATGTAGTTGTAAAATGTAAAGGCTTGCGCGGAAGTTCGTAACTCGGCGATCCGATGAAGGTAGGCGGAATGTGGGTCCGTGCTTGTTCGAAGCTTCCCCAGTTGGGGCATAGTAGAATCAGATAATGCAGGCAGCTGCAGCTTAGGCTTGGCACTGTTGGGGAAATTACTACCCGGTCTTTAGCCGATCTTACCTTTACGGAACATTCCGTCCGTCCATTGGAATCACAACGTTGAACACCGCCAACCATATTCTTAGGTTAAGGAAATTGCGAACAACAAAGTATTTATTCCGTAATTAAGATACAAGAAAAACAATGAGTTAAACCCGAATTGGCACATAATACCTACTTTGAAATGTGGCTATTATCAAATGTGTGGCAGTTTGTGTACGGCCGAACATTCAGATGATTCAAGGAATCTTTTACGCAAGGTTCCTTCCTCAAGAAGGTATGTGGATATCTTTAATTATCTATTTCATTCAATCATTTATATATGCATCTTAACCCATCTTATAATGAAAGATATAAATGAAAGATATATAAAACTAAAAGTTATCTAAATAACCTACATCTCATCTTATCTCATCTTAATTCAACAAATCTGACTTCCATTCCATTCCAACTCTTATACTTAACTCACTTGATATTCAGGAACCAAGATCGTAGCTCAATCCCCACCAGGATGTATCGTTGCAACAACATATACGCCGCATCTCAAGCCGCCCCTGGTTGACTTCGATATAATACAGGAGTACATCATCCCACGGAAAGCTTTCTTCAACCGGTTTATGACAGTAAACTCGCCAGATAATAAGTACAGCATTCTGCTATTTCCAGTCTCCATTCCCAATGAGAGATACCACCGTAACGAATTCATATTCAACTTCGGGCTAGTCATAGAATCAGATGTAGACCATATCCCATACGAAAAGCTAGTGAGGCGTCTAGCAGTAACCTTTGCTGAGATGGAGCGCCAACACGGGTATCTAAGCTCGGAGGGGCGGGTAGACGATGGCAGACGCCCTATCGAGAGCTTATTAGAGATCGTAAAGGAAGACCTCAACAACTACGGCGAGTGTATGATCCCCGTCGACGACGCTAATACCCTCAATATGAAGCTTTTCCCTTACCACCCACCTCCGCCACCTGTCCGCGGCTGGCATGTGCCCGTACCCAAGATGAAACTAGCCGACATCGTCGACCCTACTTGGGACTTAACCCTACAGAAGATCATCCCTCACGTCGACGGTGTCAACGACGTACGCCGCATTGCGTGGCTAGCCGACGTATCATTACCGCTCACCCAGATCGCGCTACAGCACCTTCTATACTATGACACCATTCTCCTCCTAGACATGTTCTTCTTCGGCAGCTGCTATGCGCCGAGGCCCGGCGTGCACGATTTCATCGTCAACAGGGACGGTATCGTCGATGAGTGCGCCGGGTATGTATGCGTTAGCAATCCCCTTACCGGTAGCAGCAGCACTGCCAATGCGTCTTCTACTACCGTTACGACTGAGGACGGACGTGATACCTCAACGGATGCCGATGCAGGACGGCAACAGCAGCAACAACAACAACCGGTATCCCACTACCAGCTAGTGAAGCTGATGACCACGTTTTGCGCAGGGCGCAGCGTCATGGAGTGGATCAAGCTGCACCAGGACGCGGGATTCGACGTTCTTCGACACGTAGACGTGCGACGGCTAGTTCAGTTCGGGGTGATCAAGGGGCTATTGTACCGGGTGCACAAGTATGTCGTGTCAAAGCAGTGTCTTGAAGCTCTAGCGACAGGGAGGCGCGTATTGTTGTCAAGAAGCGACGATGGTGAAGAGGACACGTTGCTGCGGTACGCTGATGGCTGCCACTCCTTCGACCAGATCATCACCGAGCAGAACATGACGGATGGCGAGATCATGAGGAAGCTGAGAAGTCTTGAGCCGGGAGATCGCACCGTGTTCTACCGGTAGTGGATTTACGAAAGCAGAAGTGATTATGAAGGAATAGCCAAACGAATAATTTACGATAGCCGTAAATATGTTATTCGACAGATCGCAGCACTAAGACCACCTGTTATAGACTCCTCTCTACTGGGCATATGGCTGCTCGCTCACAAGAGCAACTAAGAAGCGCATTAAATAGACATGTTTTGCTAGACAGTCAGCATGATGGGCAACTATATTAGGATCGTATACTGGGAATGCAGCTTACGTACAAAGTGCTAAAAAAGCCACCATAATAGAATGAGCGACGAGGTTTGATACGGGTATAAGCTACTCACTTTACGAAAGGTGAAAGACTAGAACGACTCTAGGTTGTAGGTATATAGACTCGTTCCCAGTTAACGCCGTTGAGCTTTAGAATATTATCTATTCAGTCCCTATGTTCGAATTTTCTATTATACATTATAACCTCGCCTATAGCATCATAAGCCCTGGATACAGGCTATAGCATGCCTCTCCGCGTCAAGGCACCCGCTCTAGCAATGAATACGGAAGACCATGGTAATTTGAGATGAATTCATTTGATTTTACAGTCAAATTAGAATTATTCTACAAAGTGGCGCGTTACTAAACCCTCTTGCTTAGGAGGTGCACTACTCGGTGCTTTCTTGGGCTGTTTTTGCTTCTGGGACTTCCTAGCCTCCTCGTTGCGGTGTCCTATCTCCTGACGGGCCCTCTCTAGCACCTCGTCGATCGCCGCCGTCTTTACCTTCGTGGACGTCGCCCCCCCACTAGTGGGGATATACATGAGCGACTCTCGGAGGATCTGCCTCGCGCGGTTGCTATCGACCTGGAGCGACTCGGGTAGAAAATCCTCTAGTAGGCCTGCTCTGTCCTGGTACAGGTTTGTCGCTCCGTCTAGAAGCTTCTCCCTTGTATCAGGGTCATTTACACTGAGGTCCTTATCTTCAGCAGCCTTCCTCAGCGTGTCTCTCAGTAATCGCACCCGGCCCGTACCCGGTTCGCCCGGGTACATCGCGCCGCTCTCTTCCCATTCTTTATTGCTAACCATCTTGACTACTCGGACAAAGTGTTTTCCTCGCCGCAATATTAGGAGTTCGCCATCGATGAGGAAATTCTTGGTATCCTGGGGAAACCAGTTCTTGATCGGCGTGTAGGTCAACTCGCCGTAAGACATCCCTTTGTTAGTAGCAGAAGGTTGGCCGGGAGAACCGCCTATATAAGCGCCCTGGTGTTGTGTTAAGCGATTTCCATCGGTAACGCTGTCTGCGAGGCCGGCAGCATATAAAATTCGACTTAACGACTTGCCCAAAATCAGCGACTCGGGGAGTTTCAGATCAATTTGAAAGCCCGATGCCATGTTCGCCGAGACCGGCCCATCCGTCGGGTATGAAGATATCTGGTTACCGCCTGGCTTCGAGAATAGCCCCTTATGCCGATTCTGTACATTTGTTGCTTCTTTTGTTCCGTAAATAAGCGCAACTACTTCGTGCGCAAGAATATGCTGGGCATGCCGCTTAGAAGGGTCTTCGTTGTGTTTCTCTACAATCTTACTAATTTCCTCCAACGGAAGAAAGGTAAACTGCTTCAGTAGTCCCTCAACATCAGCATCGGGTCGTCGTATAAAGTACCCGTATAGATCGAAAATGCTCGTCATGAATTGGTCGAGCCAGACTGCGTTGCCCGCACTCTTCCCAAACTTAACACCAGAAGAATCTGTCAGGAGAGGAACAGTAAAGCCGACAGGCATATGAAGAAAATCATTAGGGATTTTCTCGGCCGGGTTGGGTTCATTATCTCTGATGTGTTTGACTGCGTCAATACCGGAGATGATATTCCCGTATTGGTCAGAACCACCTATTTGCATTTGAACACCTTGTTTGTTATACAAATGCCACCAGTCCCAACCCTGCATCAGTGGATATACGAATTCATCCAATGACATGCCATCGCCCTGTTCCATCTTGCGCTTGACGGTCTCGCGCGAGAGCATAGGCCCTATTCGTATTCCCTTGAACAGCCGAGCTACGACCTCGATGAAAGGCACGTTGTTATACCACATGCTGTTATTTACCAACGCCCGACTCCATATCCTAGGTTGTTTCTTATAGCCGAAACGGTCCCCTTGGGCCTCGACGTTAGCCCATATACGTTTCAACTGGTAGTGTATCTTGGTAATATTCATAGTTATGTCCGATTTCGAAATGGGATCGCGGCTCTGTAAACGACCGGTAGGGTCGCCGACCTTGACTGTAGCGCCTCCAACTAAGCTAACAGCTCGGTAGCCATGTATGTACATCCAGAAAAGAGGCATTAGAGGCAATAGGTGGCCGACGTGAAGAGAGGGTGCGGTGGGATCAATTCCGACGTAAGCGCCTATTCTTTTTACCCTCATAAGCTCTCTAATCTGTTCATCGGTGCCGGCGATATCTTTGACGTATCCACGCTCCTTGAACATATCCCAGAGGTGCGGTATCTTTCCCTCTTTAATTAACTGGGCTCTCTCGTCCCATATCTTCTTCGCCTCTGCCTGTTTTTCAAGAAACGAGGTGGATATTGATCTAGTTTGCTGCCCCCTTGCAGCTAAAGATTTAAGGAGGCATCTTCGACAGAGATTTAAGGGCGAGCCTCGTACAGCGGGAAGGGCAGCGCTGGACAACATATTCCTTTAAGATGGCGCAGGTCGCAGTTAGGAATAGTAGAAATAGCGAAGGTCGGAATTTGAATTGGGGTACAAGGGACGCCCCCACAACTCTAAAAAATGAAATACATATAGCGAGAGTTCAGGTATTGGGGTTTCCCGAATTTTGAATCCTATTTACTCTCGAGATGAGAATATATAATAAAGTCCAGATATATGCACATATAAACGTTCTTGGACTTAGAAAATTCAAAGCTTCAAAAAGTTTAGTGGGGCAGAGATTATGTGCATATCTTTATCGATTATCTATACCTCTATACATCTATACCTCTATAAGTACAACTTACTTTACTATATGCATATACATAGCATGAGAGGTAGTGGCAGTGGGCATTATGTAATTCCTAGCCAGGCTTTTCCCGGGCAAGTTCAACCAATCAAAAATAACTTATTTCATTCGGTCCTCGGCAATGAACATGTGGGAAATTCGCATTCCTTTGATTCGAACGCATCATCGTCGGCCTCAAATTCCACTCTACCGTTAATACCATCAATTAATACTTCCTCTCTTCTCCTACCCTCGATACATATCAGGGACTTAGAGACTAGTTGAGCGAAGATCAAATAACGTCGAACTATCTCCTCGTCCCTCTCAATGGCTTCCCTCGCTCGTCCCGTATTGCTCCGGCAGACAGCTTTAGCCGCCTCGACCCGACGAGTTGCAACCACCACATTCTCTAGACAGCAGCTAATCCGACCAACGATTTCGAAAGATGTCGCGCAAGTTGCTGCCTTCCACGCTTCTAGCAGAAGAAACCTATTGCCTCCAGGACCACGTATGTTGTTATCAGTCGCATTGCGATCTTAGCCATACTAATGAATATCCTTACTAACACAATGCGCTCTTAGAGGTTATAAAGGGATCCGGTATGCGATTTTTTATTCCCCCATTACCAATCGATATATTAGAAATATCCCATCGTCTATAAAGGGGATATAAACATAGAAACCTAAGAAGAGAGAAAAGAAAAGAAAAATTAGCGCTAACCCTCCGAACAACAGTCAACGACCCGGCGCCGATCCCCGAGACTAGCCCCTCCCATGGCTCATACCACTGGACCTTCGAGCGTCTCGTAGCCGCCGGTATCATCCCGCTTACCATTGCGCCCTTCGCCGGCGGTTCGCTAAACCCCGGTCTTGACGCAATTCTATGCTCTCTATTGCTAGTCCACAGTCATCTTGGCTTCCAGTCCGTCCTTGTCGACTATATTCCTACCAGCCGCTTCCCTAAGTCCCGCAAGGCATCTATGTGGCTCCTTAACGCCGCCACCGCCCTCGTCGGCGTCGGCCTGTACGAATTCGAGACGAACGATGTCGGTCTAACCGAGGCTGTCAAGAGAGTCTGGAAGGCTCAAGCTTAAATACCAAAACTTAAGAAGAGAGAAATGAGTAAGAACTACCTCGACTAGCTGAAGTAGAAGTGAGTGTTGTATGAGCGATGAAGATACGAGGATGAAGCATTACTTGAGGGCTCAAAGAAGAGACAGGTCGGATTGTGTGAACATACGTGACATACAGTCACGAATTCCTTTGTATTGGATTATGCTCATCTGTTGGAACAGCTGGGTTCGGAATAGGTGTAGGAGACTGGCAGACTTGCTCGTCCGTGTATCCAGTACAACTAGTATATATAGAGCTATTCTTCGCCTACGCATATATGCACCAAGTTCAGTATCTACATCAATGCAGTCAGTAGAAATAAGTGCTTTACTATTGAATTAACCAGGATCGAATTTTGACCAGACAGGATCCTTATCAAGTATTCACATAGACATTATCTACTCGAAGTCAACGAGTACGCATACACATCTTCTCGTAAAGGTAGGATTATCCTATTTCATCCCTTCACTTAATCCCTTCTCTTGTCTTCTCTTCTCTCTCTTCCGCTCGTCCTCTTCACTCATCGTCCTCCCTGATGTTCATCCGCGCTTCCATCTCTCTTCCCGAATCTAACCCCCAGGCCACCGATATCCCTACGAAAAAATTTGCCAAAATTCTTCAGGTTCTCGTTAATACTGGCCGCGTTATTCTGCGCCGAGCCGCTGCTACCATTGGCGCCCCCTGGTTGTCCCTGCTCAGCAGGGTTACCCATCCTCTCGACGCCATCGCGCGCTGCATTTAGCAACTTCTCTCCTAAGGAGGCTGCGTCAAAACGCGAAGCGGCACCTTGTGCTGCCGTTGACAGAGCTGCTCCGGGTCCGGAGGCCAGACGGTCGATGCCTAGACCAAGGTTAAGGTTATTGCCACCGCTACCGTTCGCGCCCGTCCCGCTACTGCCGAACCCAGGTGCGTTTAGGAGCGGCGTCAACAGCGGGCTCTGCGCGACCAACTTGCCACCGCCGCTATTAGCGGGACCGTCACGGTGAATGGCAAATAACTCGATCAAGTGCGCCTGTTCTTGTTTGCGGATACCCTTAAGGTCGAGGATCTTGCGGAAGTTAGTATCGGAGCGATCGCCCACATGGATCAAGTACGCCTGCACAAGCCCCTCCGGCGGGCTTGGGCGAACCTGGAGCGTCTTCAGGAGCGGGTCTATGCGCGTCATCGTTGCATTGACGCGCTTGACGAAGCCTGCTGGAGGCACGTGCGGTGTCTGGGACGAGGCAGGCGGATTGTGGTGCGAGAGCAGGTTTTCCAGGGCTTTAGTTAGGACGTACTTGTCCAACAGCATCTGTTCGGCGCCTACTTCAGATATAGGCCTGCACTGAACGATGGCATGGATGTACGAGGTTGCTAGTTGTTCTACTAGCTTGTCGGCGAATGCGCGCGCATACTGCTGCTTAACCACAACAGCTAGGATTTCCTCTACCTTTGCATTGATGTGACTGACTAGTTCGCCTACGTAGGAACTCTGGTCTCCGACACTTTCCATCTTGCTCCAGTTCGTGTTCTTCATCTCACGCCAAGCGCCCTCGCAATCTGCCTCGACTTTGTTGACAAGTGCTATAACCGCAGCACTGGCAACTCCCAAGAATGCGTCAGCTTGCGACGATAGGTCAACCTTTGGCGCAAGGTCATGGTCTATACGTTTTTTGATATTTTCTTCGAGCTGTCCCGTATTCGCATGCCAGAAATCCGCAGTGTTTAGGACAAGGATAATATCATGGAGAGATGCCCCTGTCGGCCCTGACCTCTGTAAAATCGTGAGCAGTACTTGCTGTGCATATTCATCGAGATATTTAGCCAATGTTTTTGTCAAGTCTAATAACCGCTCACTCGTCGAAAGCTTAGCGCATTGCGATAGCGTGAGCTTGTAGAAATGGAAGAGTTCGATAGCAGAGCTAATAACAGCTTGCGGTGAAAACTCTTCGTCGGCTGGCAACAAAGGTTGGGCTTTGTATTTAGGGATCATAGCCGCCAACGCCTTGTCCTGGGACTCTACCCATAGACTTAGGTAGGGTTCAAAGGCCACGGATATCGACCCATTAAAGCTCTGCGTTCTTTCGTCTGCAGAGCTAAGCGTGTCGATACTTGCACGTGGCTCGTTTGAAAACCTTCGTTCCAGAGTTTGCTCAAAGTCCATCGTCTCCTGCAGACAACTCAGTAGGAGGTTGACATCAATTTTGGCACCATCCACCCTCCTCATGCTCTTTTCCAAGATGCCCTTATAGTCGTCTCTCGTACCATCACAAAAAGCCATAGCCAGAGTCTCGCCAACTCTCCAGTGCGGTGGGAATATGCCAGCATGTTCCTCCTCGTAGCTCTTGACCATCCTCTTGAACCAAGCGTACCGTCTTCCAATATTATCCAAGCTTCCAGCTTCATCATTACCCCTGAAGACTTGGCGGTATTCCCGCAACTCGGTGTTGATGTACCACGTTATTAGTCTCGCCCTCGCATTATCCCCGAGCGCATCCATGACCCCACAAGCCTCGACCAGTGTCGCTTTCCTTGACCCGACCTCACTCTTCGCGAACGCTATCTCGAAGTCCTCGCATACCTGCTCCAGCAGCTCCCTTTGTAATTCGCCCACCCCTCGGCTCAGTGTAGCGATCTGGTCTATACTTCTGTAACTGTTGAAATGGCGCATAAGTTGTAGTACCGCTTGTAGAAGACTTGCGCATTCCCTGTATTGTCTGGTCTTAGCTAGTCCTCTCAGTTGTTCATAGGCCGTAGTCAACATCTGTAGCCGCTTAAGGGCGGTCATAGATAGGGTCAAGTTTCGTTTCGTGCCATCGAGTCGCTTTATATCGGCAGTCATGGAGGTAATATTCTGTTCAGTCTGAATAGCACGTGAGCGCACCGTTTCGATCTTCTTGAAAAGCCCAGCGAGTTCAGCCTGGGCGGTTTGCATGCGTTCGAGGGAAGAGTCAGGACCGTAAGCCTGGGCCGTCTGGAGGCTTGATATTTCGGCTGAGAGGTCATCATGGTGGGATTGGAGAGTTGATGATACTCGAGTTATAGATGATACGGTAGAAGGATGAGAGAAAAGTAGGTTGAGATGTTGAATTGGATCATAGTCGGCTAGTCTTATGTGTTAGCTAGTCAGCGAGCCCCTTTCTCGTATATCTATAGGAGGTAGGTATCCAAGTGTTCAAGTCAAGGACTATAATAACTTATAATAACTTATAAGAGAGTTAACTGACCTGCGTCTAATGACGGCGGCTCAGATGTGATGCCATTCATCTTAAGTAAAGAAACCTAATTTTGGTGAGTCGCATTGGGTCATACGTGGTAGTTTAGAAGTACGAAGTATTCCACAAGTATTCCACAAGTCTTAGATATCGTTGTAAGCTTGTCTTAGCTTATACGATGATGCCGCTAACATATAAGGTTATGCATTAAAGATGAATCTGGTATTAAAATCACGTGCCTTTGTGTGTCTTTGTTTATCGATAAGATTAGTTCTCACCTTAATTTATTTTGGTTCACCTTTGTTCACCTTAGCTCACCTTCCCCACCCTGCATAGACGGGAAGGTCCGGTCCAATCAAAATTGAATGCACTATAACTTCACTTACTCTTTTTGGAAAGGTGTCTAATTGGTTCCTTTCACCGAAGGTCCATGGAATTTAGGACCAACTATTCTATTTTGTAAATTATTGCAATCAAGCACATGTTTTTTATTTTATGAGAATATTTAGAAATATTTCTTTCCTAACCTATCAAGTCTCAACCATCTTCTGACAGAATCCGCCCCAATCCCCCTTAATGCATCATACAATCCTCCTTTATGCCTCCGTCTATTCACAATGATCTTATAACTTAAAGGAAGCGCTTCTGGTATCTCTGGTATCTTTGGTATCTTTAATATAAACCCCGCACCCATCTTTGTCAGGTTCTGTTAAATGGTGTATACCTACCTGCCTGTTACCTAAAGGTAGGTATGATGATATCGCCAGGTCGAAAATGCAGAAAGCCATCGGTGTATCTCCTTAAACAACTCCAACTCTTTTGTGATGTAATACAAGCATAATATGCTGTCTCAAGGAAAACCAAATCTTGAAGGATCTGCCTTATAAATAGGAATTTAACGCCATGAAAATGCAAACAGTCATAGTGACTGCATCAACTCCGTTCACCAAGTGTGATAAAAGCCCAAAATATCGATTCGTTCGTTTACGAACTATGCAACGCTCGAAATCCGGCCGCGATCAAGCTTCGAGATTTTTCCCGGGAGTCAGCGGGTCCGGACCAATAGAACAAGCCCTATATTATCCAAGTTAGAAACATTCTGGGTAGTATCGTAAAGTTTGGGCAGCATCGGTAATTAAAAGGTTTACGAAAGGAACAATAGAAACTTACCCCGAGTCCTTTCTGTTTGCAGTATGCTGCCTTCATCTTGACGGTATCCGGGTTATCGTAGGTGACAAATCCTCCATCCCCTCCGACGCAACTCGCAGCCCCTATCCGTTTATCCACAGATTCTTTGGCATGTTTTCTTGGCAACGTGCTATATTCGAATACGCCGTCTTCGCCTCCTGCGCCCTTGTTTCGATGTCCTGGTCCGCTAACCCCGAGAAAGCTCCGTCCATAGAGGGGAATGCCTAGCAAAATTTTTCTAGTCGGACAGCCGTGGCCCACAAGGTACGAGACACCAAACGATCCTGATGTCTCGTCCTTGCTCATCGAGTACAATTGGGCTTGGTGCCCGCTTCGTTGTGACCATGAACCGCAAAAGTCATACGCCATCAGATTCACGTAGTCGAGATAGGACGTAGCTTGCGCAATATCGATATTATGCAAAACTGAGCGACTTGCTGGGAGAGCTGCCGTGACGAAGAACTGCTCCTCCGGAAGTTGGACCCGCACGGCGGCCAGGAGCGCAACGAAGTCGGCCCCTTGCTGGGGGTCGATAGGATATTCCCAGTTTACTAATTACAGGAGATCAGTAAATTTGCAATGTAACATGATGTAACCTTCCGGTGAGATGTGGGGGGAGGGGAAAAGAGAAGGCATACTATCAATACCATCCATACCGGAGGCCTCCACTAAACCTCGCGCAGATCGCGCAAAGTTATCTCGCAGCAGGGCGTTAGAAGCAATGACCGGGAATGTCTCACTTGAAGTGCCGCCACCGATTGATATGGTGACTTGCAGATGCGGATGCTTCTGCTTAAGATGCATCAAAGATCCAAGCCCACCTTGGACTCCGTCGCAAGGGGCTTGAGTATCTGCCCACTCATCGCTCAACTAGACCAGATATTAATATCAGGATTCCTGCTGTGTGTAACTTTCGAGTACACGGCTTGAAGCAAATAAATTTGAAAACTTACAAACACGGAACCGTCCGCCGCTACGTTAGCGAAAGCGTAGTACACGTGGTTAATGCAACTATAGTTCATCATACCCGGCGAAGCGCCGTTATAGATCTTGTAGTTTGGAAAATAAGCGGCGTTCGTGAGCATGACATTGGACGCGCCAGCAGTCTTCCGCCGTCGAGATGATGAAGAGCTCATATTAAGTAACTATTTCCAGCAACAAACTATAACTGTAAAGATGAATTATCGAGGCCGCTGTGTCTATCTGGAACGCTTTCTAAAGAAATATTTGAAGGAATCAAGAAGGAACAGTTCCGGTTTTAAGTCGAGGAGCAACAGCTGGAATGCCAATAACTAAGAGGATAAGAGAGCTCAAGATGGCGCATGTTGAAATTACCTTCGTGGTATAAATGGGTACCTGTCTTCGGCAAGTTATGAGGTGTTATGGCTTGTATTTGTTGTCTCAGGGCCACTATTAGAGCCCGAAACGACCAACCTTGCGTGTGAAACTTTTATACATGAGAGGCTTGGGGGAGACCTGATCATCTCCCAAGCGCGGAAGCGGTGGAGAAAAGCGCAACATCACCAACCTTTTTTTCGCCTCAAGGGGGACAATCTAGGTACATATGTATTCGGATACCCTTACGGAGATCGTTCGCTGAGCTATCCATGCATGACATAATTGCGACGGGGATCAGTAGATATAGGGCCGCTATATGGTCAGCTCAGGCGGAGGAGGGCAAGCCAGTAGTAAACAGTCGCCAGCCTGACATGGCCCGAATGAAAGGACAGAGTGGGATTGGTGGTCGGAATTCCATCAGCTCATGAAATAAGTGGTGAAGGAGACTGGCTGGAGTTACTTAGTTGGTACCTACATAATATGATTAGGCATGCAAATAGGTAGGGGAAGAAGAATATGGACCGGCGTGTCGCGGGCTGGCCATGGGGAAGGGGTTAGGCCGTCTACTAAACTAGTAACGGCTCATATCACAGTAATAAGGCCCTCCGGGTTTGATTACCTGCCTCGAAGGGGAGGAATTGGCCGCCTGGCTTCGGGCTGATGATTCCAATGGGCTTCTTTCTGATAGAGGGTGGGGTTCGGGAACGTCGTTGTCAAAGATCGTTGTCAAGGATGAGACAGGACCCTGAGCGACGCTATCTACTATGGTTGGTAATGTTGCCTGTCACGAATTTAGATATGATATGGCTGCATATCTTGTACGTACAGCACAAACAAGCAACAAACGCGGATGCTTCTCCTTGGCGGGAATTAGCCGATCATGACCTCGCCGGGCACGCAGAAGACATCGGTCACTGTGGTGGAAAGGTGCCACGACTTCAAATTGACCCATGGGCTGGCAAATCTCCTGCGAGCCGGATTCCGCTCTTTGATTATTTTTTTTGGTGGCCTTAAGTCGTCCGTTTGGATTAAAACTACCCAATCAGTCTAGCTTTCCAGTCGGGGCATTGATGACTTGTGGAGCGTGGGATGAATACAAACGAAGCTTCTACAACGTAGTATGTAACATTAGGCGAGCCCTAGTGAGGATTACAGATGTACCGAGGCGAGACTCACTAACGTGTATATGGTAAAGGGAGATGCCGTAAGAAGCTTGATAAACGACCTAGTTGCCAAGACGTATGAGGATGCAGTTAACGAAGCGGTACGTAGTATACCAAGCCTGTCGCTGCGTTGTCTCGACAGAAGTCCCCCTCTCTATCACCAGTCGAGCAAAAACCGATGGATATAAGCGGACCGGGATGCCGGAGAAATTTCACCAAACCCTTGTCCTACGTTAGACAATTAGTATTGTCTTTAGAGATAGGAACTAGCCAAAAGTGATTCAGGTGAGACTCCTCGATGTAGAAAAAAGAGGCGTTCTAGCTCTATGATCTTCATATACGGAGATGATACCGAAGCCCTCAACCTTAAACGTCATCAATTAGTTTAGGGGTCCTCGACCAAGGAGAAAAAACTACCTAGCTAAGGAAGTTAGTTACTCTAGTAGACTAGCTGCTATGGATAAATACTAGGATGTAATTCGAAGGTTTAGTTCAGCCTCTTTGAATATCTCACCTGGAATATTTAGCGAACACGATTATAGGTATAATAAGTTCCTATAACTAGACATATAGCAAACCAATGTTAGATATTCTCGGATTCTATCACGCCTTCTTCAAATGCGAATCCCGCAGATACGCATGAAAGCAAGATCAGTTGACCGGCGTATAACAGTCCCGCTATAAAGACGACAGTGGAAGTGTTGAGAATCCGGGTACGTAAAGGAATCAAATGGAGACCTTTCGTATGCGACGGTGAGACAATAGCTCCGACTTGCCTATTCAGGTTGATTTCCAATATTTTAGTCTTGACACCAACCTAGACCTGGCAGCTTGGGATGTGCATATTCGCTGTGTAGAAAGCTTCTCGAAGGTCGCCCCGCTCGCCCAAGGATAGTTATATGGATAAGGGTAGTAGGGGAGTCGACTGGGTTAAGGAATAACCTTGAACAAACTGCCCCTGTCTCGGTCCGTGAGTGTATGGAGGTTCTGATTGGCGATATATATGTAGCCTTCGACTCCTTTAGGCAAGCTAACCAAGTAGGCTAGCTGTAACCGATCACAATGACGCATCTGGGGTGCAGGGAACCAAGTCGGTACGACCGAGATGAAGGATTCCGACTTCTCCTCGACCCTCGACCCTCGACCCTCGACCGAACTGATAATGCGAACTGCAGAACCTGCAGATGCCAGCATAAGAGCTCCAAAATATATATCATTTTTATTATTATTTTCTTTTCGTGGAGATGGTAATATCTACCTGTCATAAGGAGAAGATCATTACATAAACTCCGCTTTTTACTCCTGTGGTCCTGTGGGGGAGCAATACAACCTGCAGCTAAGGTGAAAATCATTTCCAATAAAAACACACACTTCCTCACCTAACTTTGTACCACGAGGAGACTCGCGATATTTGTCTTAAAGAAACAATTCAGAAAAATTCGGTGTAGGATCGTAGTGTAAGAAGTAGCTAGAGCGTCCGCAATATCGTCATCAGCTTCCCGGCGAGCAAGATCCGAATCCGCTTGGCACTCCTTAGCTCTTTATCCAGAACACTGGGACGTCTCAGCACCACGCTAACTAGAAACTGCCTGCTCTAGATGTCACAAATGTGACAGGTCAGATGGTTGTTGGATCGGATTACAGGCCATAGCTCCATAGATCTCACCGAAAAGCCAAAAGGTTTTTCGGTTTACTTGATATAGTTGACTGTCTCCTCTCAAGACAAACATGGGTCCATTTACCGAGCAAGACAGGATTAACCTGGATAGTCAGGTCGAGATTGTCCGAAAGCCAGGCCTCTTCTCCGTAGTAATACCCCGTCAAGTTGAATTGTTAATATCTGAAGGAGTCTTATAGACTCTTGCATAGCGCAGTAGCATCGCAGCACGGCGCGAACTAGATATTTGAATCATGCTAGACCATTCAACTTAATTAATCGAATTCTACAGCGTATCGTTCACCAGTCAACCCCCGAGAATTGTTAATATTGTCCCACCCCGGACTAAATTTTGGATATGGCCAGACATGGCTGCTGCATGGCGTCAAAAAGTGTAGGACGTACATACCCCTTATTTCTTTAATATACCTACCTACCTAGGTACCTATGCATACCTCTTAGCGTGCCGGAGAGGTGACCCTTGAGCATCATTAGAGCGAATCTATGCTTCTCGGTATTTACCAATAGTTATGTACCGTGACGGGAATTTCCATGGTGAAAATTTTTATCCAACATACATAGAGGCTAAGGATGGAGTCGAAGAAAAGATCCCTTGACCCGGAGGTATTACGGACGACGATCATCGACTACCAATGGAAAAGAGAGGCGCTAACGCAAGCAATGGGATAAACACGATTCGGGCCTAGCCGTATTTTGTTGAGCCTCCACACGGAAACGCTACCTAGAAGACTATTGGCTAGGCGTAATAAGAAATAACCATGGTTGAATACTGCCGTGAACTGATGTACTTTGTCAGTCGATAAATATGGCCTGTTGCCTCATAACTTGGAGTTTAATATTGTATAACTAACTAAAACATATATATGTAGTAACTATGCTTAATGTATGTATAATCCATAGCCGGCGTCGTACATCCACGGATTACTCGTATTCGCCGATTGCTTCTCTTGTTACAACGATCGTTTCCCGAGCTTCCGGATATAGGCTGGTCGTACAAAGCATTACTACATACGTCCTGTTTCTTAATGTACCTAGGTAGTCTGGACTCGCATCACGCTGCATGAGCAAGTCCGGCAGCGCTTATTTCGAGTTACCTCGCAGGGAAAGGGAGGGACCCGAGTGGAAGAAAATAATGAAAAGGATTCCTGAAAGAAATAAAGTTTTACAAAATACTGCTACCGAGATATTCGCTTATACCGATGCGCATGTGCCGCATGCATTCCAGGCCGGTCCAAGCAAGTGAGTTGTATCCAGCAGGCTTCGGCTGCTAGGTCGGTACTGTGTAAGTAAGTAAGTGTATTCTACCTATGTATATATGTACACACATACAAGTTTGCTCGGCGTACACAATATGTGGTTGCGATAGATGTTGATTCGCATACTACCGCGCGATAATCCCTGAACTTGATCAACAGCGCGTCTAGTGAGGCTATAGTGAGGCGAGCCAAAGTGACATTGAGTAATAGCGATCGTCGGATCGGCTAGCCAGGCGAAAGTGTCAGTTAGCCGCCGGCCGCCAACGAGACTTCGATGACCGAAGGATTTATAGTGCATACATGATGCCGTGTAAGTGGGACTCGGCAACGAAATGGAAGCGGGAGGGATCCGCAGGTGATAAAATGCTATCGCCGAATGATACGAGGTCCGGAGGTTTGAACGACGACGTCAATAATTACCATGTAAATTATAAGATTTAGGGTAAATCGTACCACTAGACATATATTATGCTCACTTTACGTAGATTCTTGATACTGTTCATATCAGGTTACGAAATTTATGACAACAATAGTACGGAATTATACAAACATTTCTCTCCATGTAGCCCTACATAACAAAGCCGTAAAAACACGTGCTTATCCTGGAATCCCTATTAGTGAATACCAACTAGGTTGCTGTAGCTGAATATTCAGGAGACGATAAAGCTTACGTACCATTGTTATGCACTATCTGTGTTATAGAAGTTATTTAAGTTATTGGTATGTGTACGTAGAAAAGTGAGGTAACATGGTTGGGCATTCATAAAGAATATGTGCAAACCTATAATCTAGAATGCCATTAAACGTGCATATACAGCACTGTATGCAAATGCAGCCTAACAGTAACACCCTGAATATCATAATCCCGATATCAGGTTGATGATTTGCCACAACACGTAGCTCCTCTTATACGCCAACCCTATTCTCACACGTATAAATACCAACCTTCTCATGCCACCCCGTTGCGTAATACAGATCCTGAAATCCTGGATTCAAGCAGTTGATACCTTACGCCACGGTAAGTTCTAGGATCTTACCTAAAGTTGGGCGGTATTATAGTTCGAACACTTTGCGATATTGGGCATTTAAGCTTTTTGACAAAGTCGGTGTAGAGTCGAGAAGGTTAGTTAAGAGACACGTCAAGAAAAAGCTTCTTCGAAACGACAATCATGCTCATATTCGCAATATGCCAAGGCACTATTATGTACGATTCTTTCGTGGTACAAGGAATTGGGCATGAATACCAGATAACGATGGAAATAGACTAATAACGAAGAGAGAAAAAAACAGGGAATATCTCTAATAATAAGAGCAAGCTAAAGCGAGTGTACATTTACTAAGCTTATTCAAGGTAATAATAAGTCTCCTTCCTGAATAAGAGTTGATATATTGACAAAGATCTCATACAAAACTTGAAATCCCAATATTAACCTAGAAGTTATGAATTTCGGCGATAACTAGGTAGTAATATCAACACATCACTTTTCACACTGTCTAACTAGAAGATAGAAGCCATACTGTCTTAAGGTGTAGTTAACCCAGATTAGGTAGCTACTAAATCGACGAACAACTACCCAAGTTATAATAGAAAACTACCTGCTCAGAATAGAACAACAATCTAGTCATCCTAATTCTAGTTGTTGGCATACTACGGAATCACCCAGCTACCTAAAAAGGTAAACCAACTTAGTCAAGTTGTGGTTCGTGCAACAACCAGGCTGTTTTGTTACTATTTGCTTACACCTTGACGAATCCTAAGTCCTGTCTAATTTGGTAAGAATCATTCCACCCATTGCTAGAAGCCGAGAACGAATTAGCTTGCATTTTAATTTATATTCAAGTCACAAAGCATCCGTTTATGCGCCGAACATGTAGAGTGAGCCCGGTAACGGCTGCAGCTAAGTACCCAAGACAGCAGTGAAAAGACGTCATGTGAGTGGGATGTGTACCTAACTTAATCAACTAACTGAGATTCTTCATCATGTGTGAAGGGTAAAAGCCTCACCTAAACCTAGTCTCTAAACTTATGTGTATTAGGTCGATTTTAAGCCTACAATTAGTCATTTTTAAGGAAGAATATAAAAGTTTTAGGATACAAGCAAGGACTTTCATAGAGAAAGTTACCACTCGCAACTTCATTTATGACATTAACTATTATAATCGAGCCGGCTTGATGACATATACCTCACTAAGACTCCTACCTATAAGTGTAATGAATCTAGACGTAGCACCAATGTGATATAAAAAGCCTCTGGTGAATTGTGTTGCTTCTCTTCTCGTTATTATAAGACGTTACAAAGGTAAAGTATGACCCTCCAACCGCAGCAACTCATGCCCAAGCAGGATTTCCGATCGGGCTTCCTTAGAAAGGATATTTATCAAGCCATGAACTTCAATCCAACCGCTGGTCTCTAGCTAAGTGCCTACTACCGCCTCCTTCCATACGAGGGGTTCGTCGCCCATACCCATCCTAACCTCGTAATAGCGTTTACATTAAAAACACGATGAAGTAACGAGACATTTATGATTCATCTTCCGTTAAGAGTTTAATAGATGCTCAATGGCGCCTTGTACGCTCCCACCGCTTCGTCGCAAGGCGGCTACGTTTCTGTCGAAGTCATAGAAACCCATGTCGTTTAGTTGTCTCAATTGTTCCGCGTAGCGTTCCTCGGGAGGTCGGTTGTCTGGTGGAGCAGGTGATCCTGACGGCGACCCCATACCTAGAACTTGGACCATCTGCTGTAAAAGCTCGGGGGTCACAGGGGGTAAGTTGCCCAAAGGGTTTGCGCCCGCGCCCGCGCCCGCGCCTGCACCTACACCGGTTCCAGCACCGGCACCAGCGCCCATTCCCGGAAAGGCACCGCTTCCACCAAAGAGACTAGCGAAAGGGTTGGGAGGCTGACCTGAGGGGTTTTCCGTGCTGGTTCCTTGACCCCGGTCAGTACTGGTGTTACCACTTTCGGTTTGTGCGCCACCTGTCGCCTGGGTTGCCCCTGGGCTAGTTGCTCCTTGAGCTGGCTGACCCGCTGCGAATGGGTTAAAGAAAGCGCCGAAAGGATTAGCGGCACCACCACCACCACCACCGGCACCTGGAACTTGAATGTTGCTCCAGGAGGCTGGGTCGAACGGGTTGTACTGGCCACCAGCATTCTGGTTATTACCAGGACTACTGTTAGCGTTATCCGATGCACCACTAGAAGATAGATCGCCAGGAGTGGTGTCAGTTACACCAGGCATGGGAAAGGCATTCTGAGCAGCTTGGCGACCTCCCATTGCTCGTTGTAATCGTGCGGCTCCTCGTAAAGCGTCAGGGTTGGTCATCATATGGCGGAAAAGCGGAGACCGCACAATCTCGCGAGCGTTGGGGTTGTTTCGCAACATAGGATTCGACTGAATCATCATGTCAATGAAGGCATCGTTGTTCATCATCTCATTCATCTGTTGAGCGACGTTCGGGTTGCTGAGCATATTGGCCAGCTGCTCCTCGTCCATCATGGAACCGACCATCTGAGCAAGGCTTATATCAGTCTTGGGCTCTAGTAATAAAGAATAGGTATCTACGGTGAAAAACTCACTCCGCCGTCAGGACCGAACATATCCGCGGATGGTAGATTGGTCAGGCCGGCGTATCTTGCACCGGTCAGACCTGCTAAGGGATTGTTTGCTGTGCCTGCAGCCATATTGGTGGGAATTTGGGGAGCTGATGGCGTAGAAGAGGATGTCGATGACGAGGCTGGGGCGGGTGTCGGGTTGCTCGCAGCGCTTTTGACTAGGTGAACAGTGTTACCATTTTTAATTTTATATGTGCTCAAGGGCTCCTCGTTCTTCATGACACGGCCAGAGTAGATCAGACGTTGTCGGTCAATAGGAATATCCTCGAATTCGGCACCGGCAAGCTTATTTTTCAAATCGGAAACGGTAGCGGTCTCGGCCATGGTGATGGTATGCTGCTTATCGCCCGACGTCTTCACCTTGAAGGTGACTTGAGGGTCAGAGCCGCCCTCGGTTGGTTCGGCCATTTTCGGGATCGATCGTCAATTGAAATGTTGAAAAGGCACAGACAAGACAGCAATATTAATAATGTTGTCTTACTGTCTTAGGAACGATTTCGATTTTAATAGAAAAATGTTGTTCTACTGTAGTTAGGAAGTCAGGAGATCGAATAGTAAGAAAGCCTGACGAGTTGATGAAGGCGGCAATAGTTTAGATCGAGTGATGTGTGATTGGGTGATGAGATGTTGGTTAGCGATGGTTGATGATTGTCCTAAGTACGAGGTACCATGTTGAGTACTGAGGTTCTGGTCTAGGTCTCAACGTGGGGCAGTCGGCATTGTCCGATTATCTAAGGTACTAGATAAGATTCTATATTTGCCCAATTTTAATATGTAATCTCCGTAATCGTCTTGTACCTATTGATAATGTAAAGTAAAGTACGCCATCAGCCTCGCGGATAGCCCCTCCATTGGTGACTTATGCGACACTAGCTCTTTCAACGTTCTTTTAACATCCATATCCTTCCGCCTTCCGCTAGAAGCTCAAAGAGTTTACACATATACATTAATACATAATCGCATACATAATGATATGGTTGCCTATCGGACAGAGTCACGCAGCTTCTTTATTAAGGGGCGCCAAGTTAAACCCAGAGTTCAATATTACACATGGTTATTATTAGTATACATGGTACTACGCATTGGTGTTAATTATCCTATGCGCGACTTTTCTATATTCTGTTCTGTCGCATGTTGCATGTTGAGACTTGATTGCCAATTATAGAATTGCTCATTTGGCCCCAACATTTGATTCCCTTTTTATATATCTATTAGTCATATAGTTTGATATAATAAGTAAATAAGAGCTAATTGATATGAATTAGTTGAGTATGGTTAGGTATTCTTATGATTTTGAGTTATAAATGTTAAAATAGTTTGTGTTGCTAGGGGGTAAAGACAATTAACATATGTGGCATGCTACCTTTCTTAAAATCAAGACATTATTCAAACACGAAATGACAGTATAAAAGTAGAAGATTTAATTTAATTTTACGGCAAAAAAAAAGTAGCTGTCATCTCAATTTATCATAATGGCGCTTCAGATTAACAGAAAAATCCAGCATCTAGCAACTCTTTATAATCAATTTCGGTTTCTAATCGACGACAAGCATGTAGTATACGTAACCATTGAACCGGGTATCTTCCCAGTGGGTGATTGGTCATTCATAGATTTTCTCTCATTTCCCCCTGGTGACTGGAATCGGGGCCGTATTTCGAAAGACCAATACACAGGGAGTTTAACTTTCTCCTCCATCTCATATGACATTATCCTAGGAGTCGAGAATATATGGCACCAAACATATATCGATCATTTAGAATTTGAGCAGATTGATTCTCTGAGTCAGAACGTCCGCATAGCCACGCACCCTCTTTTCCATTATCCAGTAATCATCAAATTTGCTTCGTTTCCTAGTGAGATAGGCGACATTGAGACCGAAACAGCGATGTATAGTCGGCTTCATGGTACAGGAATTAGCCCTAAGTTTCTAGGTCACGTAACGGAAGAGGGTAGGGGAGTTATCGGATTTGTCTTAGAGTTTATCACGAAAAGCAGGCTAGCAGAACCTCGAGATCTAACCATCTGCCAAAAGGTCTTAGCAAGGCTACATAATCTAGGTATAAAACATGACAATATTCGCAAGGATAACTTCCTCGTCCTAGGGGGGAAAGCGTTTCTGATCGGCTTCAAGGTATCGTATTTGTGCGATGAAAAAAAGGAACTTGAACTTGAATATGATAATCTTCAAGAGCTATTTGGCGGGTGTATAAAGAATGACAGAGGGACAAAAAGCTATACCAACTAGAATAGGTTGATATTGGTACAGGATAAATCTGGTCTGCTAAAATTTACGTGCGGTTTATAAGTTCAGAAACTACTCTTCGTTGAGATGCTACGGTTGAAATAAATTGTTGTTAGTTGAATTTCTTTTTTTTTAAGATTGCAATGTAGAACACTTTCTCAATAATCTGAAAGATGTACGGTACGTATTATTACATAATCGCTCAGCCAGGGATTTCCAACGTGAACCTCGGCATCTCCAGACTACAATAACCGACTTCCCCATGGGGCGAGCTGCAAGCTGCTAATCCTCATTATTCATCTATTCATTCAAAGCGGCACTTAGATATTTTACATATCTGCACAAGCGTCCCATCTTTTAAATTGTAGTTAAGCATATCTCATTTTGCTTGTAACTATAACCCGAATTGTATACACTATGCGGGGAATCCAAGTCGGTCAATATGTCAAGGTGAGAAGAGATAAATACTCTTAAATACCTAAATCAAACAACTTTCGGCTTTAAATACAACTAACACCCGTATAGGGCCCGAAAGAGCTTAAGATAACCGAGCTCCCAGACCCAACACCAAAACCAGACCAGTACCTAATCGAGGTGCACGCCGCGGCCACCAACTTCTTCGACATCTTACAGATACAAGGGAAGTATCAAAACCAGCCTCGTAAGCTCGCACCTAGAACCTAACCCTAGTCTTACCGTTGACTTCTAACACACCACTAAAGCATTCCCCTGGGTCGCCGGCGTCGAGTTCTCAGGTATCGTCCTCGCCACGCCGTCTGCCTCCAAATCGCCTAAGTTCCCAGTCGGCAGCCGCGTCTTCGGCGCCAGCCAAGGCGCCTACGCGACGCGCGTATGCGCTGCGGAGCACGAGCTGCTGGCCGTGCCGCAGGGATGGTCGTTTGCTGACGCAGCGGGCCTGTTCATCACAGCGCCTACGAGCTATAGCGCATTAGTCCTACGCGCAGATGTAAAGGCCGGCGACTGGGTGCTCGTGCATGCAGCGGCGGGAGGTGTCGGATTGGCTGCCGTGCAAGTCGCTAAGGCGTTCGGAGCGACTGTCATTGCGACGGCAGGAACGCCGCATAAGTTAGAGGTTGCGCGCCGGTTTGGTGCTGACCATGTAGTGGATTATCGCGATCCGAACTGGCCTGATCAAGTGAAGAAGTTGACGCCAAAGGGTCGCGGCGTGGATATCGTGTATGACCCCGTAGGGCTGGTAGACAAGAGCACCAAGTGCGTCGCGTGGAACGGGCGCATCCTGGTAGTTGGGTTTGCAGCCGGGTCGATTGAGAAGGTAGCTATGAATAAGGTACTGCTTAAGAACATCAGTTTGGTCGGTATCCATTGGGGTGCGTGGGCGAAATTTCAGAAGGAGGGGATTCCCGTGGTGTGGAATGGGATCAACCAGTTGGTTGAGCAGGGCAAGTTCAAGGGTACTGTATTCTCGGATAAGGAGTTTATTGGACTTGAGAGCATTCCTGATGCCTTGGTTGCGTTGGGGGGAAGAGAGACGTGGGGTAAGGTGGTCGTGAAGATCCCGCAAGAGGGTGGGAGCAAGCTGTAGATTTCGAGAATAATATAGGTTGGAATTTATTAGCTCTTGTAATATTACAAACTTCGCGGGTACCTTGATGGAAAGGTAGTGGAGTATTATATAGGCGCTCTATCTGACCATTTATCAGGCATTCATTTGCTCATTCTGAGTTTTGATCATCTTAGCTTTTTGAATGACATTTAGATCTCCTGCTCAGCGCTCACTGAACCCTCCGTGTATAAGCCCCCCTTTACGGTACAGTTTCCTTCAAAAATGCATGGTTACCATAACCCATATACTTAATCTGGATCTGCATGCTCTCCAGCACCCTACGCTTCATCTCTGGCACAGTCTTCAAAATATCCATCTTGAGGAACGCCCCGTGCGTAGAGCTAAAGTCGTATTTCTTGAGTATACTCCACATCCGCTGCAACTCATCCGGGGCCAAGGGGATCATGTTCGGGATACTCCACATGAACGAATAGCTATTTAGACCCGCGGGTCGGACCCGCGCAGCTCCTATGGCATCCGTATCCCAGCTGCCTAGCCCCGAAGGCGTTGTAACTAGCGTGTCGGCGATGAATAGGTGCTCTTTATACAATGCCACAAAAGATCCTGGAAAGTGACCGCCAAGTTTGATGGCTTTGACACCGGAAGACTTGCCATCGATCTGTAAGTCAAGCTCTATGTCCTCCACGAAGACCTGGTGCAATGAGCTCTGAGTCGTCCATTGCTTATCCTCGGCAGCTAGATAGACGGGGCAGTTAAAAGCGCGAGCCCATTCTACGTGCGTTGAATAATAGTGCGGATGAGAGATGACGATAGCTTTGAGACCACCTAAATCTTTAATCTTGTTGACAGTATCATCATCAATGAGAGTGAGACAATCCCAAAGGACGTTACCATCTGGAGTATTGATGAGGATGGCCCGCTGACCGATGCCTATCTTGGGCTCCGTATGAATAGATGCAAACCTGTCGTCACTTTCGAAGGGTGTCCATACGTTTTTGGCAACTGCACGAATATCGCGAAGATTGGTAAAAGCTTGACCAGTCGGTAATGTGAATTGACGAGGGTCGTCACAAATGAAGCACGTTTTCAACTCTAGCCTGTTTGCGGTGGGAAATTGTGTCCCGCAAGCTGTGCAGATGAGCCATGATTCTGTTCTCTTAGGATCATATGCGGGCTCACTGGATGCCATGTCTAAATGTGTTTGCTGTTCAGCCAAATCCAGACTATCGTTGATTTCGAATTAAGAATTCCCTTCTAGGCTTCGATGTGTCTCTCTGAAATACGAAAGACATACCATAGCCATTATAGAGGTGTTTGAAAATAGTAACATTATTTGGGAGCTCTGCGGGGTGCATTGGTGGGGGAGGAGACTTGGAGAAGTGGGGGAAGACTCCTATTAACATGAGCTGAAGTGACACTATTACACTAATAGAATTATACCTTATATTTGTATATTTTTATGTGAATTTATTTTTAATCGATGTGTAACACACTTATACCATTAAAATTTATTAGAAGGTACCTAATCTAACCTTACGTACATGCCTTATCGGATGAAAGTAGTACATAGGTAAATTCTATTCCGTGTGCGGAAGTTGTAGCCGGTTATCAGCGGCCGGCGAAGAAGGTGAGCTGAGAAATGCGGGGGATACTGAACTCTATCCGGTTCGTGTAAGAGGGCGGGAATGAGCTGACCTTATCTTTCACTCCTTCTCCGGCATTCCAGTTGCCACGTACATAAGGCATGAAGTACATTAATAATAACTCAAATTCCCATCCTGAAGCTTTCTTTAACTTCCATGCTACCTAAGTAATATATTGTCTTTTTGACGTCACATTTAAGTCGTCGTTAAACAAAATAGTCGTCTACTCAGGTTCAACTAACAAGATGGTCTTCTTTCTTGACTACATCCAACATAAAAGAGACTGGTAAGTATTTCATCCCCACCATTCCTAATTTCCTACCAATTATCTGGCATGAAATAACCGATTTCGGAAACTCAAAATAAAAAGTCTATTTCTCACAGTAAAATAGCAAGTTCAAGCAGAATGAGCGTGCAGAGAGACTTCGGGCCTTGACCAACTATCGCGGCCCCTTTACCCCTCTAGACCGGGATATCATCAATAAGCCCATCGAGGAATTGGTCGAAGATGTACACAAGGGTGAGCTTAAGCCCATTGACCTACTTCATACGTATGGCAAAGTTGCGCTCAAGGCACATGAGAAGACGAATTGTGTAACTGAGGTTATGATATCTGATGCTGAACGTTGGATTGCCGACGGGTCCATCAACATTAAGGGCCCATTGGCTGGTATTCCGATCAGTTTGAAGGATACAATTAATGTTGGCGGGTTTGATTCGACTGTCGGTTACAGCAGCTTCGTTGGTAACAAACAGCCGCAAGATGGCGCCACTGTTAGACTACTAAAAGACGCTGGTGCTGTTCCCTACGTCAAAACCAACCTACCTATTACACTGCTCAGTTTCGAATCTACGAATGACGTCTGGGGACGATGTACCAATCCACACAACAGCAAATACTCTCCTGGAGGATCAACCGGTGGTGAAGCAGCCCTATTAGCGTTAGGTGGGCGAATTGGAATTGGAAGCGATGTTGCTGGCAGCGTCCGAGCCCCGGCCCATTTCTCCGGCATCTACAGCCTGCGATGTTCAACTGGACGATGGCCGAAAGCAGGCTTTGCGACAAGTATGCCTGGCCAAGAAGGCGTGCCAAGTGTATACAGCCCTATGACCAGAACCTTGAACGACCTGACGTATTTCACCCGTGCTGTAATTGGTATGCAACCATGGAAGTACGACCACTCTGTTCATCCTATACCGTGGAGATCCAACGTGGAAGAAGAGTATGCAACAAAAAGTAAATTCCGCGTCGGCGTAATGAGGACCGACGGTGTGGTTGATCCCAGTCCCGCATGTGTACGAGCGCTAGAAAAGGTAGAAGCTGCCTTGAAAGAAGCCGGCCACGAGATTGTTGAGGTTGACGTACCGTCACCATACGAAGCACTTAAAATTGGTGCTCTCCTATTGAACGCCGACGGTTGCAAGGTATTTAAGTCTTTTTTCCGCTCCGGCGAATGGAACGACCCGGGAGCTCATCAGATGGATTGGCTCATACGGCTTCCGCGCCCGTTCAAATTTATCTATTACCTATGGGTTAAGTACGTCCGGAGAGATGATATCTGGGCAGGTCTTGTTAAAGATTGGCATGAGAAGAGCGCGTATGAACAGTGGCAATTAGTTGCTCAGCGTGAGGCTTACAAGGGTAAATTCTTCGAATGGTGGAATAATGCGGATATCGACTTCTTGATCACACCTCCTAATGCGACACCAGCCGTACCTCACGACGGTATGAAGGAAGCTGTAAGCAGTTGTGGCTACACATTCCTATTCAATATTGTAAGTGAACCCCTACCTAAATCTGTGTTTGCTTAGGTCGTGCTGAACGAGATAGGTTGATTATACTTGCGGCATCATTCCAGTGACACATGTCGATAAGACCCTCGACAAGCTACCGCCCACCTTCAACATCAGGAAACTAAATGGTGTTGCCCAAGGTGCATATAAACTTTATGACGCCGAGGCGATGCACGGATTACCAGTGGGTGTTCAGGTTGTTGGACGAAGGTTAGAAGAGGAGAAAGTACTTGCTATTATGAAGAGAGTTGAAGATGCACTCGGCGACGACAAGTACCAGCTACTCGACATAGATTAATGTTTTCGGACCGGGACATTATTGTAGATCCGATGATTTTATAAGATACCCTGCTCGCAGCGGTTCCACGGCAACTTTATTATTAGACATGCCACTCAAGCAAGACTAGAATTTAACGAATTGCGACTTACTTCCAAAGCTTTCGTGGAATCATGTGTACATGCATTGCTATAAGGTAGGAAGGACTCCGATCTCGGGCGACTTTACGGCCGGTTGGTACGGGTCGAGTCCCTTATATAAAATATCCCTAGACTCGGAATAGACTCGGACTAAATATACTATAAAGTCAATTGAGGAATATTAACTCATAAACGTTATATCTTATAATAACACAATAAAAAGTCACCCACGCAGAAACCGGCTCCTATCCTGAGAATTTCACCCCTCGTAATGGCGGAGAAGAAAGACCATTGGTCCTCTGAGGTAAGTCGAGCGAAAGCTACTGCTTAGATATAGGATATTCTTGTGTATACATTCTAACAGGATTTTGTAATTTAAGGCATATCAACACTCAGCCTCCTTCGTGCCGAAGCTCGCTACAAAGATCTTACAGTGGCTCGACCCACAGAAGGACGATGTGATTCTGGATATCGGTTGTGGTGGTAGGTTTCCTTTTATAAATAGGGTTACCTAGGTACACTAGTACTTCATTTTGAGATTAGTTTGCTCCAATGCTTACCATATCTATAATTCAGACGGCGTGGTCAATATCCAGTTGCAAGAAATCCTAGCCCAGGGCAGCGGTAGCATCCATGGCACGGACTCATCGCCGGCTATGATCGAGGCAGCGACACAAGCAGCTGGCAAGGCCGGTGCATCAAAATGTACCTTCGAAGGTAAGCAAGGCCATCCTTGCCTTAGTAGCAAACTTACGTGACTAACACAAACCCAGTCGTCGACGCCCTCGAACTAGCGCAGGCGCAACACTTACAGCGCGGGCACTTCACCAAGATCTTCTCTAACGCAGCACTCCACTGGGTCTTCGGATCATCTAGGGGCGACACAGAGCGCCAAGCCTCCGTATTCCGCGCAGCACGAGACGCCCTAGCTCCCGGCGGCACCTTCGCGTTCGAGATGGGCGGCCTCGGTAACGTAGGCGAGATCCGGGCCGCGCTGCTGGGAGCCGTAGCGCGACGCATCGGGCTCTCTAAGGCAATCGAGCATGACCCGTGGTTCTTCCCCGACGAGGCGTGGGCCACGGATATGCTGGAGAATAAAGTTGGAGGGTGGAAGGTCGAGAGGGCGGAGCGCGAGTATCGTCCTACGCGGGCTGATGCGGGTGGTGTAGAGGGGTGGGTGAGATTATTTGGAGCGCAGTTTTTTGAGGCGCTGAGCGAGGGGAAGGAGAGGGAGGAGTGCATTAAGGAGGTGGTAGATGTTTTGGAGTTTGTGTGTAAGAATCCGAGCGGTGGGTTTCATCTGGGATATGTGAGGTTGAGGGTTTTGGCGAGGAAGCTGTGAATGCGTGGTTTCTTCTACGTTCTATAAATATTTTGCGAAGAAAAGATCTCGACATATCGAAATGCTTCCGCTTTATTGAAAGTGTTTAGTAGCTGAGAAGAGATATGCTTTTAAAAAAAAAGTATTGGCTTATCGGCTTATATAAATGAAATAAATAACAGCTTAGATTTAACTTTTTTAACTTCTGATATGAGATGCGTGACGTCATCATCTGATTTATCTCGTGGGACATTCATCTGATCTCCCTTAATCTCATGACCTAAATCTATAACCTTCAATGTTCTTAACCTTCTTAAAATTGTACAAAACACCATGTAACACCTTCACCAAATGGTATATACCATATTCCTAACTACATTAAAATCTTCCTGCTGCTAAACATATTCTCATAACGTCAAATCATGTCCAATCTATCTAATAAAATGCTAACCCCAACCCCCAATTCCATCCGCGCCCTCCAAGCTATCAGCATAGCACTCCTCACCACCACCGCCGGGGCCAGCGCAAGCCTCTCCGTCTTCCTAGTCCCGCGGCTCATGGAATCCCCCACACCCCTCATGGTGGGGCAGTTCTTGCGCGCCATATCCTCCGCCCGTCAACGATTGACGATCCCGCTAATACTTCCGGGCATCCTTCACGCGTATCTCGCGTATCTAGTACCCGGAAAGGCGCGTGTGTACGTTATTGCGGCTACGCTAACACTCAGCACATTGCCGTGGACGCATTTTGCGATTACTCCGCTGAATCGCGAGATGGAGGAGCGATTCATGACCCTGGATGCGGAGTCCAAGACTGCGCACCAGTTGGTGGATTCGTGGGCTATGAGGAATTTGTATAAACCTATTGTGAATCTTGCAGCTGGCGTTATTGGGTTGTATGCCGCCATGTGGTAAGAGGTGATAACATGGTTTTGGCTTTAGCACCAGACTACTAGAAGATTAGGAATATGGGTGTTAAATTTGACGGTTTTATTGACTCAAGGCGATGCTGACCTACTTAAGCACAAATACTATCACGGATCTCAGTAAGATGTTCCTAAGATAATACTGTAACTAAATGGCAGGCCGCTATCACTATATTCAAGACCAACTCAAAGTCCATTCATCTGACCAAGCATCACCCACCGTCAATGTGTCAAGATCCGTAATCGTCAAGACTTTGCTCGAGTCCTGTAAGACCCACGCGCTACTTGGGACTTCTTTCCCGTTCAACTCTACTTTAGATACGGGATCTTGAGCTCCTAGGATCGTCACATTACCCAGCACATTCTTATCTTCGAAATTTCCGCGAGGCGTAGCCTTCAGTGACGAGTTTCCAACGGTGAACTGACAGATGTTAGCAGCTTTATCCACTCATGAGCAATAAAAATTAGGAATCTTACATCAATCCAGGTAGTAGTATTAGGCACAAGGCTCTCTCCATCGTCAAGATATAGTCCTCCACTGGCATGTCCGTCACCATCTAATGCGACAAGGAGACTCCAGGGACTGGCTCTAACGGCAGCAGTGGTTAGACCTGGTTCTTGCAGCGGTATGACTTTCCCGCCTCGCACGTAAACCGGGATATGACCTAGTGGCGCATCAATAGTGACGTTTTGCCCGGGCGCAACTCCTGTGATTGACGTCTTGTTGTACCAATCATACCAGATGGTACCAGAACCTACGCCAGGGAAAACACCGTCGACGGTCGTAGCACCCTGGACTAAACAAGGAGTAACTAGGACCGCATCGCCGAGAAGGAACTGCCTATCAGCGTCAGCCAGCCATGGCTCATCCGGAAATTCCCAGGCCAGAGCACGGAGGGTCGTTGAACCAGTAGAATGGCTAAGATAGAAAGTTGTGTAGATGTATGGCAGCAACGCGTATCGGATCTTCATGGCCACCCTAGAAGCTTCCGCTACAGATGGCCAAAGGTACGGCTCCTGGCTAGCAGCCCCTTGCGTATTGTGATTCCGGTAGAACGGGAAGAAAGCAGACAACTGCATCCAGCGAGAACACAACTCTTCATCCACATCATCGGCAAACCCGCAGGTGTCAACGCCGAACATGGGGATACCGAAAAGGGAGTAAGATAGGCCCTGTGGGATGGAGAAAAATAAGAACGCCCAAAGAGAATAGTTATCGCCCCTATTTTAACGGTGAGCTATGGTTCAAGAGTGAACAGATCAAATAGAGCTATCTTACCCCCAGTGACCAGCCCATTTTCCAGAGCCCGCAAACTGAGATCGTCCGATGATGAATGGTCTCTTTTCAGGGAAGACATTTAAAAGGGCATGATAGGTAGCGTTCAATATCTGATGCCCGTATACGTTATGGACGTCGTACTCTACAATCCCACCGTGGTGTGTCGCATTGGGGCTGACGGCATGGACGGCAAGATCTCCATGGAAATTGTTGACAGCGTACGGAGGCCAGTTGACGTTCCGAACGCCCGGAGTCGGGGTACTACGAAGATAAGAGGTCGGAGTAGGATCTTGTCGGACTTCAATAGCTGCTTTCTTAATGTTGGTCGGATCGACACTCTTGGGGGGCTGCCGGATCTCATTTCTAGATTCGCTTAGAAGGTCTAAGTTCCGTTCATCGCTGCCACAGCTGCCTACACAGAATGACGATACTTCTGACATATCAATCCAGATACCGTCGAACTTGATTTTACTGTAATACTCGGCGACCTCGGATATCCACCACCGGTTGGCTCCAGTACCATTAAATAAAGCACCAATCCAGTCAGGGAAAACTAAATACATCAGCACAGCCATTGAGGGGAAGTGGTATTTAAAGACACATACCAGTGAAACCAGGCCAAACTTCTCCGACGTAGATAGACCCATCAGGGTTAAGTAGAAAAGCGTCTTGCTCAACACCTCGATTAAAAGGGGTATACGCATCGCTAGAATTGGTAGGGTCCGGCACATATATAGCCGAGTCGATGATAGGCACGTAATGTTGACCATTTTGATGTAGGCGCGATAGGAATTCGGCCCCTTCATCATAGCTAAAGCGATCTGGGTCATTTTCAAAATCTCTATACCCTTTCATGTAATCGATATCGGCTACAAAGTGTTAATGATAAACCTTTATAACTACCAAGTATCCCAGTTAAAAAACGGAACAATGACTTACACCAGATTGTCTCGAGGGGAATTTCAGATTTAGCAAAGTTGTCAATAACGTTTTGGAGGTCAGTCCAGTTGTTGTAACCCCATCTGCATTGATGGTAGCCAAAGGTCCAGTACTGCTGCATCGCAGGTAATCCAATCGCACTCTTTTGGTATGACTTGGTAATTTTATCCTGGGTAGGGCCCTCGTACAAGTAGAGATCGATACTGCCACCGAGCGCTCTCCACGTAATGTTGGTTTCTCGTAACAAGACTTCTTGAATATGGGCGCTACGTTGGAAAACACCGTGGGTATACGACTTATACTTAGTCGACTTATCTGTGGCATCCGGAGCGTATGTTAGAGCCCCGGTATCTTTGTCTACCTCAAAATAACGAGTATCAAGGTAAATAGGATGGTTTCCATAAATATTGGCATCAATATTATCGCCTACGTCAGCTGCGAAGAAGGTCCCTAATATGAGTTAGCACATGCTAGAATCTAAGAAAAGCAGTAGTACTGTACGAGTAAAGTTATTTCCAAGTCTGAAGCCGTGGATTACCTCTCCAAGGCCGTACAAGTTGTAGTTCTCAGGTAAAGACGAGCCAAATTCAATGAACTGATTTTCATAAACTAATTGGGAGCCTTCCGTGGTAAACAAGACATCGTTGGTACTTCTTCTAGTGACTTTAAATGAGAATGTAGGCTCATTACTCCAAGTGAAGTCGAGATCGCTGTCCGAGGAGTCAAAGTCTTCTTCGACCTGAGGCTTCGGGATCAATTCATCAGGAAGGATAAACCAAGTATAATTCTCAGTACCAATGTAGCGGGGTAGTATCTCGACGTGCAGTCGATCTACCGCTTGATACTCAACTGTTAGGCTTAGAGCTTCGACGTCGGTGCCATAAACATTGCAAGCTTCTCCAGCCAATGTGAGATCCGCCGTAAATCCAGTACTCGTGTTCTTCACGTTAGAAGCTACATAGCCTGGACAGACAGTTTGGGGGTTGATGGCTTGGGGATCAACGATATTAGGGATGATGGGTTGACCAACGTCTGGATTAGGATCGGGATCATCTTCAGAGGTGAGAGCATATTTTGTGATGGTCGATGTCGGCTGTCCTGGAACGAGGCGCGACAATGACAGTAAAGTCGCCAAGAGCAACATGATATATCGAATCATTGCTCCCCTATTCAATCTTCCAGAACACCAACTCCATGTGATTGCAAAGGATGAAACGAGACTTGAAAACAGGAGCAGACGAGAAGCGATGTTCAATTGATCATACCAGGAATCAAGCCGGACTATAAATGACATGAGAAATGGGTCAAGGCTGAGAGGGTCGGCGGATTGTTCGGTGATAGTATACGTGGTACCACTCCGACTGGGCGGAAGCCACCGACTTATAGAGCTGAGTATATTCATTTTGAAGTCTGTTAGTATGATTAACTACCCCCACCTACGTAGGTAGATCCTATAAGGTAGGGAAGTAGGTAGTTTACACCCAGGTAGTTGAATAACAAAAACTTAGGTACCTAAGGTAGCTATGATGTATCTTCAAATGAATAGTTTCTACGCAGGCTGTTATGAAGTCATAGTTTAGGTAGTTAGGGGTACTAAAACATCATCCCTTCACAAGGATAACATGAATTGCTGTTGTTGCATCACTAGAATAATTGTAAAGACAATTGTAGTCGGTGAACAGGACGTATAGTAATTCAAAAAACAGTTACGATCTCCAAATCCCCGCATTCTTATGCAATGTCGATCCATCCGGGGGACGCATCCAAGCCTTTTTAAAGCGTGCAGTGCTCTTTTTGTCTTGCTCAGCAGACCGGCAGTCTGCAGAATACCACCGATAAATACCACCGATATTGTTTCTTAAAGTCCGCAGGCGGACAAAGTGTATATAGTCGCATACCCCGCAGTTTATTATACTTATGCGCTTATAGCACATAGTTTAGTATTGCAAATAGCTTAACTGCGCCCCACATAAGCTTTTATTACTGTTAACTTATCGCAATTCGCATTTCCCAACATTCATCACCTCTAAATAATTCAATCACATCTTATTGTTGCCAGTTAAACGTCACCCAAGAATAGGTATACTATTGCGAACAGTATCAATCCATAAAATAAACCGATTGAGTATAGCCAGACATAATCAGTTACCATCTCCGGCTATGGCTTCGCCAATGGCACCTCTGCCGCCTTCCGAACTTGCGAAGCAGATCCTCGAGCACAAGGCGCCCAGTTACACCTTCAGTTTCTCACCATTCTTACGTTCTAACTACGGTCACGGATTCCCACCAAACAGACCTGTATGCAAAGCATTTGTAGCAGGGCACTGTCCTTTAGGTACATCATGTCCCGACCGTCACGTTGCGCCCAACGCGGCCAGCAGCACCAACGCCAGCTACAACTCCCTAGTATGCAAGCATTGGCTGCGAGCTCTATGCAAGAAGGGCGAGAGTTGCGAGTTCCTCCACGAGTACAACCTACGTAAGATGCCCGAGTGTAACTTCTTTGTACGCAACGGGTATTGTTCCAATGGCGACGAGTGCCTTTACCTACACATCGACCCACAATCTAAACTACCTCCCTGCCCACACTACGACCGGGGCTTCTGTCCTCTGGGCCCCAACTGTTCCAAGAAGCACGTTCGTCGTAAATTATGCCCCTACTACCTAGCCGGCTTCTGCCCCGACGGCAAGACCTGCAAGGAAGGTGCTCACCCGAGGTGGGATAAGAATCTCGAGAAACCCATCGCCAAGGCCGACGTCATACCCGAGGAGCCTATCAGAAGAGACGACGGTTTTATGGATGAGGATCAAAGAGATTTCGGAAGACAAGATAGGGATAATAGGGGGGGTCGGGGCGACAGATTCGGTGGCGGGCGTGGCGGTCGATGGAGAGGAAGAGGCGATAGGAAATTCGGGCGTGGAAGAGGTCATCACTAGAGACGACGCGTCTTATCATACGCACCTGATACGGACAGGCAGGTAGACGGGACGGTTGCTATGCCGTAACACGTCTCGATCAACCGCCTAGGTTCGAACAGGTGGGGTATACTGCCACCAATTTCCACCCATATGCAAACATTTTGCTCGCCTTGGTTGGCTCATTCTTATGACAAGGCTCGTAACCCTCGAGGCATTCGATGCAATCGAGTTAGTTACCATAGGTGGGGTACTTACAGCCCCAATACTTCCGAGCATGGAATGGTCCTAAATTGGAATTTTTAGGACTATCGTCTACGAGGACAGCAGTGGCCAGCCACTGTAAAAAAGTCTCAAGGAAAAGATGATAGGAGAGGACACAGGATACCCTCCATGATATATTACTAATATAGCAATAATGCAGTCGTTACCTGCGACGTCAATCAAGCAAGACTGCCAATTTGTTATGAACCATCTATGCATTCGTGTGAACTAAACAAGCTATATAAGCCACTATCCACGTAAAAGAGAAGCGAGATATATCCAAGCATTGAATACGGCCATGCCATCTAGCCTCGTCACCAGCCATATGTACAGCCTTTGTAAATCCCGTCATCCTATTCATCAGTCATCACGACACGACGCCATCCAAAAAGCAAACCACCTAACCCTTCCCTTAGCCTAACCTTAACCCTCGTAAATTTCTCAATATTCTTATGATTTCCAGACGTTGTGCCCATCATGCTCCTTCGCAACGGCAATAAACTCACTGCCTTCACCAATCTCGCTCCCGGCGCTCTTCTCGCTACTACTGCTGCCACTAGCACTATCCGGACGCGCGCCTCCCTCCCAGGCGCTGAGCTCGTCCACCCTGCGGATTCCCATCATCCACGCCACTAGACCACGCGGAGCCCAGCGGCCGACGAATCCATAGAGACCGGCGCCGAGGCCTACACGCACCACGTCGCTCTGGTTCGAACCGTCGATCACGTCGAACACAGCGTTGTGTAGTTCCCGCAGGGAGCTGCCGCGTAGTCCGCGGATGCGGCCGGCTGAGATGGCGGACGACGACTGCGACATAAAGTTACGACCGTATGCGTTGCGTGCGGACTCCGGCCACTGCAGCGTCTCGACCGGCGACGGCGGCAACAGCGGGTGTAAACCTGTCGTCGGGAGAGACGCTACGTTTGCTCCGGCGGGGCCTGCACGGACGGGCGTAAAACCTGCGAAGTCGAAGGTGCCGAGTTGCATGTGCGTTACAGGGATGGCGAGGGGGCTCAGTTCCGCTGTTAGAACCTCTGTGAAGGCGGAGAGGGCGGAGCATACGGTTGCTTCGGGGGCGTGGAACGGCGGGTTGATCGAAGAGATGATGGACGGTGTGAAGACGAGGACTCGGGGTGTTCCGGTGGTCTCTCCTTGGGGCGTTATTCTAGATGTAAGGAGAGGTAGGAATGACTGAATCGTAAGAATGGGGTGGAGAAGATGGGTGTTGAAGAGGTCGGCGAAACTCGAGGGAGGAATCGTAGCGATGGGGGAGGTTTGGTAGTTGAGCGAGGGGATCAGGATAACCGCCTTCAACACCAGGTAGGTTGGCTTCGCTCGCGGGACAGCGGCATGCGGGGTTTGGAGATAGGTGGCGAACCGTTCGATAGCTTGGCCAGCATTCGGAGGCTATACCAAAATGTTAGACACTAGATACATCGCGGTGCTATTTCGACTATGAATACTTACATCGGTTATATCGATACCCAAGGGTCTAATATCGGATCGTGAGAGGCTCTGCACCGTGACTTCGTCTTCGATAGTACTGCAAACAATATATACGATAAAACCCCTCCTCTCCAAATCCAAGGATAAAGCTTTGGTCAGCGGTAACGTTGGTGATCCGGCGATGACGACGACCTCGAGTCTGCCACCATTTCGAGCACGCTTCGCCCGACGAGGTTTACGGAGCTGCTTGGTATATCGTATTGTTCTGTATGTTATATATCCAGCAGTAACTACTACGACGCCGCAAAGTATCTTATGACGAGAAATCCAGTTTTGTATACTCTCGTATGTAGTCAACGGTATGATCTCGACGGGCGGTGGTCGAGCAGTAGGTTTTGGTCGTACATATTCGGGTACCCATTCTGCTGAAGATAGGGTATCCCTAATCTCATCTGCAACTTTGTCTACTGTCTTGTCGACATAGTCGGCAACCTCTCCGGAATATCGCCGGATCTGGTTGGGGATGGACGAGAGCTGTCACATGTTTCCTCTATTAGCCTTTTTGGTTCTATTCATTTCGATGCGCAACAAAGTGCAAGGAGAGAATATTGAACTATAGGGCACTAACCAAGTCCAAAAACTGCTGGTCGTCGGCAGACATGACCGGATATCAGTTGTTTATATTTCCAGAGTTGAATGGTGAATTAAGGATTGGGTATCGATGAAGTTCGGCGAAGACGGAATATCGGTGTTCATCAGCAATGTTGAATTTTTTTGAAAGATAGCCCGCCTCACATGGACCTATCAATTATCTTATCAAGCCTATTAACTTTAGCACGTCTCCATGCTTACCAAATGGTAATTGCGGGATGATGCAATCCCCCGCATGCACTTAAAATGAACCTAGACTCGGAGAGTACCGAGGTACTTAGACACAGGGTTAGGTACTTAAATACATACCCCTTTTCAACGACCAGAGCATCAATGCAAGGCAGCTCAATGCAACTTAAACACTCCCAAGTTCTGTCTGATGAGAAGAATCAAGATAATCATCGCAGAAGAAACGCAAGCTTGTCATAAAAGTCGGTTAATATTTTATAAATAACGAAATATATACGTATATTAGTCGCAAATAATTAAAACTAAAGGTTATAAACTAAGCCCCTATGATTACAACGATAGCAGTTAATGATTCCATACTCGGCGAGAAGAGTACATATTGCACTTAGTCCTCATATGTTGTGGCATGTTGTAGCTTATCAAGTCGCTATTAAACCTAAATACAACTTAAGTATTTGATAATCACTACCTAAAGCTTTAATTTGTAAACGAGACACTGTTTGTTCACGAGTAATTGGAAAGTGCAAAATTATAAACTCTTCAGACTTAGATTTATAGTCCACTGGAGACATAAAGTGCCAAAGTCTGATATCAACAACTATAGACTCCAATAATCACTTAACTATCCGAGAGCCTATATCAGAAACACTTTTATGGTAACAAACCAGATATCTAACTCTATTTTTAAACCTATCCTAAACATACAAATATTATTTACCCAGGTCACAATACCATAGAACTCAGAGTTCACCTTGTAGGAGATAAAACAATACTATCATATTGGAAGATGAAGAGCATTACCTAAAGAAATAAACATAGTAGACACAATGAATTGTACAAGACAAAGGGGCTTATGGTATAAGTTTTATTACAATAGAGGAAACCCTGAAGTACAACCTAATAACTCCTCTATCCTGCAATACAATTTGGTAACAAGCAATAGAAATTCCCCCTAAAGCACCACATAACCTCGCCTCAGTCATTGGACATATGATAGTAGTCCATCCCGCTTAATCCGTGTTGCCCCACCCCGATCCCCAAGGTGATTCGGGCAATTTCTTCTCGATCTTATCATAGATGCCGTCAGGATTTTTGATGCAATCCTTTAGGTCGACAGAAGGGCGGATAAAATCCGGATTGAATAGTGTTATTCGTCGGTCGCCAGTACGTTTAAGAACGAAGTCGAGACCTTCGCGTAAGAGATGTCCCCAGAGAGGATTGAATTTGCCAGCCATTTCTATCTTCCAGGCTTCCGAAAAACACCGAATGATACCCTCGACGAACCACATGTCTTCGTAAACTTGGCAGCGGCGGTATTGATAACCGTCCACCGGCATACCGTCTTCTGTCGTATGGTAGTCTTCGCAAGGGTCGTAATAAACCATGACGCTTTTAGGCTTTACGTGTCCGTGATAAAGGCTCCGAAATATTCCTTCCCATTTGTTGTAGTTATCTTTGTATTCATCCCGTCCCCAACAGTCCGAGGCACCTCCCCACAGCGAGCAGTTGTAGTCGATCGTGATGTGTTGGAAATGGCATGTATTGTGAGGGCCAATCTCACAGAAGAATCTATGCCAGTCTTGGAGAGGAAGACCTATTCTCACTCTCTTATATATGTGCGGAGTAACTTCGTTGTACATTTTTCTGCAAACTAGAGTGAGTCCCATGGATGGGAATGATGTCTTGTAGTAGTATAGACCTTGCTGTGCATAGTCGAGTATACCGTCAGCGGCCCAATCATACTCATAGATTGCCTCGTAAATCATTCGCCGCACCTCCAGTGGCAGCGAAAAGAAGGTTTTTTTAGGAGGGGATTCTAGAGCCCTCTTGCCGGTATGATGAACCTCTTTCTTAGGCATCGCGTCCTTCTCGGGCTGGTTCAAGGACAATACAGCTAGCCTATGCTCGATATCCCTGAGTTCCTCCGAAAACGTTGGAATACCCATTTTGTTTAGATTTTGGGATAACTGTTCCGATTTCTGTAGTTTAAAGAGTTGAATACAACTGTTACTTGGATATATGTGTCGAATAAAAGTGTGCGTGTGATTAGGGAGAAGGTATAGGGGGGGGATAGTTTTATACCCAAGCCCCGAGAGTATGGGGAGGGAAAATAAAGGAATTGTTTTGGACAAGAAGTTTGTTCGAGTTGTCTGTTGCTCAAAGAAAGATTGAGAATGAACTTTGTTTCTGGCTTGAGGAATAAATAGATATTTGTTTTGATTAAGCTTAGTCCAGTGATTCACGGCTTTTAGACAATTGGGAAGTACGATACGGGTGAGGATTGTAACAAACATCATTTTAAGTACCTAAGGTGGCAGTAAAAGCTTATTACTAGACTCACAAGATGCATTATGTACCTCTTTTAGTTTAGGGACGTACCTTGACACGTACTTACATGTAGATAGGTAGGTACCTATGTAGTCAACCTACACAAACACTCGAGACTCTTATTTAGGTACCTTAGTCTCAAGTCCTGCGTGGAACCATTTTGCATGGACCACCATTAGGTGGGCTGTGCAGAATCGACGAGGAAGTTACGATGAATAATGACAAGCAAAGTTTTTCCAGAGCAGCGCACGGTAGGACGCACGGCATGACAGACGGCATCAGCGGGCAAACAAAGTTTGAAAAATATTCTATGAATCATATTTATCTTGCTATGTGATGTCCTTAGAGCTTTCCATTGTATCTCTATAGGAAGGTACTTTACCTAAGGTAAGGTAGGTAGCTACCTGATAGTTTTATAGTTAAATGCCTCCAGAGACTAAATCCAATACACTGTAAACTGCTGGAGCTTAAGATATCAGTAAACTAAAATTAATAAAAAATAGTCATATTAAGTACCTAGGTACATAAAGATGTAAACTCATATTAATATCCTACGAAGATTTCTATATACGCGTGATAGAAATAAGTAGTGATAGGGTAGTTTTATATTGTACCTCCCTATTTGTGTTAGATACCAAGGTACCTACAGGCATCCAGTTATAGGTATTTACTAGGTGGCTACTTTAAAGCTGCACAGATTGGCGAAAGTTGATAGTGATACTCCTTAGAGATTGGTTGTGTTTACATTCTCTTTACAGCATTTAAGTCAAGCAATTCTATATCTAACAATGCCCCCCTTCCCCCCCCCTTCCAATTTTCAGGGGCCCAAGCTTTAGTCAGAGGGTAGTGATATAACCCCTAAAATAGCATAAATTTATACCGTATTCCAGACTTAGAGTTCTAATTAATACATGTTATAGTTTTACTAACATTCGATTACTTATTTTTGTGGCTTTCCCATTGCCCTCAGCTTAGCACCATATGTCCATAGAAGAAAAGGGGCAGGCCACCCAATCACGACAAACGTGAGCGCAAGGACGCTGTTACCCCAACCATACCCTAAGTTCTGATACATCGCCGGAGCAAAGATTGGGAACGCGAATCCGGCAATACTCCGCAGGAACTGCGAAGCTGCCGACGCAGACGCGACATACTGGCGATAGGCGTCCATCACGTACGCCTGCATTGACTGTGTATTGTTGATGATACCGCAACCGAGAATGGCAATGCCAATATCAGGGACTATCCAGGGTAAATGCTTCTCTGCTGTCCATCCATATATTAATAAGCCGAGAGGGATGAGGACAGCTCCGGGAATCATAAGTGGCACGCGATATTCCGGTGCGGTATTGTTACCGGCCTTGGACTTTAGGTACGCCCACATGCGGTCCATCACTCTGCCCCCAGCCTGCGCGGCAATGGTATAGCCGATGACAAGAGCGATATAGTTAAGTCCACTCTGTGTCTCGCTTTGCCCGTATCGCTCGATCCAGAGGGTTGCAAATGTCGACAGGACAAGATAGAGCATTCCGAAATTGTAAGCTAGGAATATCGCAACAACCTGTAGAATAGGTTGGGTTATAAGGAGTCGCAGAGGTCGGGTCAGAGAAACAGATAGCCTACTTCTCAAAGTCTCAGACGCAGCTTGTGTCGCGGTATAGTAGGGGTTCCCTGTACTTTTTCGTAACTTAGCCGCTCTTCTATTGAGTAAGATGACTTCGTATGTTTCTGAGAATACAAAGAACGCTACAATCACGAGAAAGCCATCGTATATAGAGAGGATCCAAAACGTCCACCGCCACCCAATTGATTGCGAGACAGCACCTCCTATAATAGGTCCGAGTGCTGGTCCTAGAAGAGGAATAAATGTGGAGATGGCAAATGAAGTTCCGCGTTCTGCAGGTATCCAAGTGTCTGCTAGAACAGGATTGCTAATAGCGAACTCGGCACTAGCCCCAATACCCGAAAGAATGCGGCTCGCAATGAGGAGACCTGACGTCTGGCTGAAGCCAGCGACGGTGTTCCACAGGATGTAGAAGCAACTCGATAGCATCCATACCGGCCGGCGTCCGAAAACCTCGGCAAGGGGCGACAGGACCATAGGACCAAACGCGAAGGCCAATACAAAGATAGAGAGGAATATTTGAGCCTCCTCCTCGTCTGTCTCGAGGTCTGCTGCGATGCTCTTAAGGGCCGGAGCCAGCATCGCACCAGACATGAGAGTCACCAAGCCCCCATTCGAGAGGAGGATGGTGATTATCCATTTGCGCGTTAGGGACCAGTTATAAGGGTGCTCAGGATCATCATCGCCGTTCCAGGTTACCTATCAATAGTTTAGTGATTGCTGCCTAGACATTCTACATAGTATCTCTATTGTGTTTCGATCTTATACCTCTCAGCTGACATCGCTTTCATTGGAATAGGAACGTTAGGTAGTCAACTCACCAATAATGGATCTACCTCTACTTGTGCTAAGTGGGCAACAGGCTCTACGGATTCAGTGTTGGCCGGATATTTTTCAGTGTTTTGGGTAGTCATGGTGTATAAGATGCTTGGGAATTAGTTAACCCCGTGCAAAAGATGGCTGTGTATTTCAAGAACAGCAAAGGGGACCCAATATAAGGAATCTCAAGGATAAGGGGAGAGGTTCTTTAGCGACAGGCACAGCTGCATTACCATTATATATATCATTATATCTCGCTAGGATGTCAGTGCAGGCAGCCCAAAGTATAGTACCTAACAGCTGACTGCATTAGTGAAATTTGCAATCATCCCCTGCCATACATTGAACACTCGAATAGAGGCTCCCCTATCGAGACTCCCTGTTAGGTTCGGGTCGAAATCATCAAGCAAGTGACTTGAGAAATGTTAGAACAAGATCCAACATACATCTTTTGTCTATTAGTGAATAGGGATCGAATCTTGGGTTGAACACGCAACGACGACCTCCAGGTGCGATCTCGGCGCCGTAAATATGAAATTTTATTCGTACTAAAAAATGGAAATTCAGCGTAATGCGAAAATTACTCGCATTCCGTCGTAACTCCGAGTTTGCATGTCAGTTGCTCTAGTCTGTTGGTAACACTGCATATTAGTATCCACAACCACTCCAATAAAGAAATTCCGGGAATAGAATCCTATTATCAGATGCCCGGCCCCCGCCTTATCAGATCGCTCCTAGGCATTTTACTGGTGGAACAGATTCACTAAAAAGCCCTCAGGGTGTGAATCATTAAGTGTTGACCCCCGCTATTCAGGCTTGTGATACTTCAACTTCAAAGCTTCTCGGTCATACCTAAACTGTATCCATAGAGCTAGAACCAATCGGAGATCGGAATACTTGAGTAACATTCCTAATACGGCAGTGGAGAATAACAAGGCGTCTAAGTGGGAAAATTCATTCAATATAAAGGACCTGTATCCCTTTGACGAGCTAAATAGATGGAATTTAAAAATAATACAGTGGCAAGGTAGAAAATGGTAGACGGGCTTAAAGCTTGAAATTAACGACAAATAGATAAATATCATTGACCACGTTATAAGTGACATCAAATAAAAAAAAATAGCTAAAATACATGATCCTGGTATCCCAAAGTTTCACCACCATCCTTTCATACACTACTGACTTTTTCCAACAGAGCTCTTAGCTACAACCAAGTCTCCAATAGCTGAAACAGGCACGTTACCCATGATATCGAAAACAGCCACGCTAGCTTGGAAGTCTCTTCCTATCCAGTTACGTAGCTCGACCGCCATCAGGGAGTCGACACCGTAACTAGAAAGCGGCTTGTTCAGCTCTACATCGTCAGCCGAGATGGCCATGGAGCGTGCCAGCTTCTGGGTCAATGCGCCAATGACGATCTGGATGCGTTCGCTAGCATCTGCCGTAGATCTGAAGAGAGCGGCCGAATCTACACCAGCATCCTTCGAGGCGCTCTTAGCCTCTCCAAGAACATGAGAGAACGGAGCAAATAAGGGCCTGGTTAGCAGAGACGGAGGTGTCTGACCCTTGACGAGGAAATCAGCTGGTGTGCGCAGACCGAAAAGGACTTGGCTACCGGTGGGCGACGGGATAGGCTCCGAAGGATCACATAGCACACTAAGGAGGGCCAAAAGCTCCTTGTCGTCAATCTTCTGCATATCATCCCAGCTCTTTCTTTGACGCTGGTATGCTTGCGTCTCTGCGACAATACCGATGTTCCTCATCCAGCCGATATCAATCGAGACTCCCTTTTGGCCGTGCGCAACGCGGTACCGTGCGAGCGCATCTTGGAACGAGCAACCACCAGCATAATTAGACTGTGCCAACGCTCCGCACACACCGTTAAGTGAGGATAAGAGGATGAAGAAGTCTAGGTTCTTGGGTAGCAGCTCATGTAAGCTCAAGGCTGATTGAACCTTCGACTTAATTGTGAGATCCCACTGGGCAAAGGTCATGTTGTCGAACACAGCGTCTTGAAGAACCATGGCAGCATTAATGCAACCCTTGACAGGCGGCATCGTGCGTCCAGCCTCCTCGAGTACCTTAGCAACGGATTCAGATGAAGATACGTCGCATGCAGGTGCAAAAACGTTGACGCCGCGTTTTGCTAAGTCCGAGATGACTTCGGCGAGCACAGGCTTCGAGCTACCTGATCTTGATGGCACGATCAAGTGCTTTGCGCCCCTGTCGGCCATCCATTTGATGATAGCGCGACCGAGACCACCGGAACCTCCGGCAATCACGTAAGATGCATTCTCTTCGAATCTCCACGATCGTCGTTCCAGAAGGAGTTGCTAGATTACACGTTAGTTTACTTTTTCTTCGAGGTATTTCATTACGTGGAATACTTACTGGAACCACATCAGTGGGCTCAACGTTCAGGATAATACGTCCAATATTCTTTCCGCTCTGGAGGTATCGGAACGCCTGTTCGACCTTTGATACGGGGTAGGGGTGTAGCGGGCCAGGGTGTTTTACAGTACCCTCATTCAAGAGACCAATAGTGGCCTTTAGAAGGTCGTAGGTTAGCTCTGGGTTCTTGAGGATGACATAGCGCAAGTCAACAGCTGAGTAGCTGACGTTCCTAGCGAAGCCGGCCATAGGTAGCGAAGAGTTGGCCTTGATATCAATGACACCAATCTCTACAAAACGACCAAATGGCGCCATGCACTCCCAAGTCGATCTCAGGCTATCCCCTGAAAGTGAGTTGAGGACTACGTCGACACCATATCCGTTGGTCACTCGTAAGATTCCTTGGGCAAATGAAGTATTTCTGCTGTTGAAGATGTGATCGTCAGCAACGCCGAAGGTTTCCTTGAGGAATTGCCTCTTTTCATCAGACCCAACTGTGGCGAATATTTCTGCGCCCTTTGACTTCGCCATCCAAATAGCCATCTGACCAGTGCTGCCAGCAGCAGAGTGGATGAGAACCTTGTCGCCCTTGCGAACGCGGGCGAGTTCGATCATGGAATAGTAGGCTGTCATACCAGGAACTAAGATCGATGCGGCGGCCTCAAAAGACAGGTTATCGGGAATCTTCAGAACGGCCCTGTCTGAAGCGCGTGGGTGTGTTCGCATACAGTCTATCGAAATCATGCAAACTCTGTCACCTGGTCGGATCTCCGGGTCAGTGTCGGGTCCTACTCTTGTTACGATACCGGCACAGTCAACACCTAATTCGTTGTCTTCCAAACGACCCAAAGCACACAAGACATCTCTGAAATTTAGACCCCATGATTTGGCCTCGATCTCTACCTCGTGTGGGAGAAGTTCAGCTTGCTGCGCAATATCTTCCACAAGTTGTAACGAGTCTAGGGTTCCAGTCTCGCCAACGGCAAGTTTCAGTGACGGTCCTTCCGAGAAAGGCTTTTGCTTCAATTGCGGATATAGAAGAGACCGGAGCGTATCGTTACCAGAGATATCTTCAGCAACCCTGCCTGTAGTGAGTTGGCCGTTGCGGACAATATATTCTAGCTCTCCGGTTTGCGACTCAAACGCCGCCTTATAGGCCTTGGCGACATACTGAGCATAATCTGCCTTGGTCTCTCCTTGAGACTCAATCGCGACTGTGACGATGTGCTTTTCGCTTTCTTCGTGTCGAATAGACCGCAAGAATCCACTCATAACACCATACTGTGAATACTGTGGATCTTCTAAACTTGTAGACGTAACCCACAGCAAGGTCTGTGTGTGTTTTAAGAGTCCTTGGAGCAACTTGAACTTGTCTTCGGACAGCGTCGCGAGGAAAGGCTTGCTCATCTCTGCAATGCAGACTACAGTATCATCTTTGGATAAACCTGCCGTTGCGACCTGGTCGAGAGCCACGATCCGAGCCTGCTGATCTTGCGACTTAACAATGCTGGTGTGGACCAAGTTAGCCAGTTCGTTCTGCTCGTCCGACTGGCTATCGACAACAAGAACAAGTCCCGGCTTGCTGGAAGCTATCTCTTGGACTTCTTCCGCAGCCTTCGATACGATGATACTGAAGATATGGCAAGCTTCACTCTTGTAGTCTCTTAGGACAAGGTCGTTTCCGCTGAATCCTGTCCATTTCAAGACGTCATCCCACTGCTTCTCGGGTATCGCAGGGGATAGGCCTCGCCACTCTTCTCGACGACCCCACCATCCAGGCACGAGACCGAATGTAAAGTTTGTGACGACATCCTGAGGTGCAATGACCTCGAGGAGCAAAAGGTGTCCGGTCGGCTTAAGAGTGGTTCGCACGTTCTTCATCGTAGCTACTAAATCCTCTGTGGCGTGTAGAACACTTCCGGCGACGATCAAGTCATAAGAGCCCGGCTCGAAACCTTGGCTTTCAGCGCTACGCTTCATATCAAACGTCTTGAAAGTCATCCTTTCTTTGTAGTCTTCCCATCGTGCCGTGGCCTTCTCAAAGAAGGCAGGCGAGACGTCAGTATACGTGTATTCTGCGAACTTGAGTGCGCCACTCTTCTTTTCGAGTTCCTTTAAAGCGGCAATGACACGGGATGTCATACCACCCGTTCCAGCACCAACTTCAAGGATGCGGAGCTTAGGGTTCTCGTGGGTGGCGAGGTCCAGGAATTTCAACATTCTATCGTCGCACACGTGCTCAAACATGTCTGCGTAGAACACATCGGCCAAGTTCGAATCGAAGATAACCTCTAACGGATCTATTTCACCCGTCAGGATATCAGTTAGACGACGTACTACCGTCGTGTGGAGCTTCCATGGCGGGTGAAGAGCTTCGACTTCTTGTAAGAGAACCTCGAGTTCCGTCTCGCTTATATCTTCAGCTATCCGTTCCGCAGGGACTGACTTGATGTGGTGTTCAAGCCACTCTATATGCTTCTTCTGAGAATCGGGTACCTTCTGACCCTTCTCTCCAGACAGCAGTTTCAAAGTCTTGGAGACGACTTTGTCTAGGACGAAGGTCAGCTTGTGATGGTGATGTAGCATCGTGTTCTCATCCCTAACGAAAGTATCGGCGTCGACTGCAGATTCCAGCTGCTTCGGTTCGATCAAGCTTAGTTGAGGTTTCCAATCAATGCTGTACAACAGCTTCTTGGCAGCCTGG